AGGTCGTGGACAGGCTTGAAGACGTAGAAGGATCCGAGGTTGACGAAGACGAGTCCGAGGTCGTAGAAGATGGACTCGAAGTCGCAGACAGACTCGAAGACGTAGAAGGATCCGAGGTCGAAGACGTAGCGAGATCCGAAGTCGGAGACGAGTCCGATGTTGTAGACGTCGTGGGAGACGAAGACGTGGCGAGAGTGGTGGTTAAAGTCGAGCTTGTAGGCGTCTGACTGGAGAAGATCGAGGATGTCGTTATGGAGCTAGAAGACGTAGTAATGCTGCTCGAACTATCATCACCTCCCACAACCGTCATGGCATTCATGGTAAAGACTGTCGGATCTTCCACAAAAATACCATCATCTGCCACCAGTCCGTTCCAAAAGCCACAATGCCATTCGAAGTCCGACGTCGACTGATAGTAAGTCCAAACACTAGCGCCCAGCTGCTCGGCAGTCGCCACACATTGACTCAGGAATGCAGTGGGATCGTTGCTATATTCTCCATCGCCCGAAGTAGCTGAAGAATAACTAGTTCCCAGAGTCGTAGGAATGGCGGCAAAACAGCTGTAGAAGAATTGGGTGTACTGAGTGCCATCCGGTGCTGTTTGATCTGCCAATGGTAGAATGGAACAATTCGGTCCACTCGTCTCCTCGGATATCGGCGTGGTCGTTGTAGTAGTGGTCGTCGCTATAATATCCGAGGTTGTACTAGAGATGGGACTAGTGGTCGAGACGTAGATCGCTGAGGTAGTAGAGCTCGAGGGAGGACTGGCAGGGTCGGAGGTGGGGCTCGTAGGACTCTCAGCAGAGCTAGAGGGGGTACTGCTTGTCGAGACGTAGATTGCTGAGGTAGTACTAGAGGTAGGGCTGCCAGGATCGGACGTAGGGCTGGTGGTAGGGCTGGTACTAGGGCTGCCAGAGTCGGACGTTGGGCTCGTAGTTGGGCTCGTAGTTGGGCTACCACCATCAGAGGTAGGGCTGCCAGAGTCGGAAGTCGGGCTTGTAGTCGGGCTACCAGCATCAGAGGTAGGGCTAGTGGTAGGATTACCAAGATCAGAGGTAGGGCTCGTGGTTGGGCTGCCACCAGCATCGGAAGTAGGGCTTGTAGTTGGGCTACCATCATCAGAGGTAGGGCTCGTGGTTGGGCTGCCACCAGCGTCGGAAGTAGGGCTTGTAGTTGGGTTACCACCATCAGAGGTAGGGCTAGTGGTAGGACTACTAGGATCAGAGGTAGGACTCGTGGTAGGGCTGCCAGAATCGGAGGTAGGGCTCGTGGTAGGGCTACCACCATCAGAGGTAGGGCTGGAGCTCGGGCTGGTGGGACTCGAGGTAGGATTGTCAGCAGGGCCAGTAGGACTCGAAGCGGCCGAGTCGGTGGTGGTACTAGCGTCAACTGTTGTCGAGCTGGACCCCGGTGTGGTCGTAGTCGTGGTTTGCGGCGACGGTGTTATCGTGCTGGCGACATCAGTATTGTAGGAGTCCGGATCTGTATCCGGCACAGCAGTAGCAGGGGTACAGCTACTGTCCGTCGCAGTACCGACAGTCACGGATAAGACATTGTCGGCACCAACGCAGAAACCAGCTCCTGACAAGACAAGAGCGCCCCCAGAGAATGACCATACAATTGTTGTTGGTATTGCCGAGGCTGATGAATAGATCGTCAGAGCCGAAGTTCCTGAATCACCGCTGAAGCCCACCACCAAGGTAGTGCCGAAGATCATTAGCACGCCATCAGATGTGAGCACGAAAGCCACAGCATCAGCATCAGATTCGACAAGCACAAGCTCTCCGTCGACATAACCAACCACCAGGATGTCTCGCTTGTGTTTTCCTGATCCACCAGTGCCTACACGAAGGGAAAAGGGCTGACCAAACGTAGGGGCCGAAGTGTCTGCAGTCGAAGTAGTAGAGGAGACGCCCGGGGTGGTCACAGTGACGGAGACGGTAGTCAGGCTTGTTGGGCTGGGTAGACTGTCACCTCCTGCAGGGGTCGAAGTCGTAATGATTGTTGAAGTAGTAGAATCGGATGGAGTACCTGAGCTTGTGTCGACGGAGGGACTTGAATTGGGAGTAGTGGTCGGTATTCCATTTGCAGGTGTCGTTGTGCTTGTCGATGCTTCATCAGCAGGCGTTGTACTGGGAATGCTGCCCTGGTCAGAAGGCGGGTCATCTGTCGTTGTTGTGATATATACGGCAGAGGATGTGGTGGTGCTTGTGGTTGTGGGAATGAGAGAAGAAGACGGGTCCTGTGTCGTTGTTGGAATATCCCCAGTAGACGGTGTGGTCGAGCTGGTACTCGCTGGAGGGAGGTCAGAAGGCGGGTCATCCGTCGTTGTTGTGTGATACACAGCAGAGGGTGTGGGAGTGCTTGTTGTGCTTGCTGAAACGATAGGCGAAGAGCCGGTTGCAGTGGTGGTCGTGGCTGGTGAAGAGCTAAGAGGCGTGGGTGTAGAGGAAGACCGCCTTGGGATGGAGCTCGTCGATAGTGTTGATTCAGACCGAGAACTGCTACTTGGTCCTCCGGGCAAATTGGCGGAGTTAGAGGTCCCAACAGGAGAAGTTGGTGACGACCCAGAAGCAGAAGGTGTAGTTGTATGCAGCGTAGTCGTATGCAGCAAAGTCGTTTCAGACGTCGAAAGTATTGACCAGGAAGTGGAGTGAGACAGCGAGCTTGACTTTGGGTTCACGGCTCCCCATGAGTGCGAGTGCGGCACTGAACTATTCCAATCATCCCAACCGTGTCCCGATGAGTGCGGCGCAGAACCATCCCAATCATCCCAATGTTGTCCGTCAGACGTGCCCGTAGCTGCGGGAGGGTGAGGATAAGCGGTACCAATGCTGACGGAGGTGGTCGAATCGCAGGGGCAAGTAAAAACAAATCTAGTGAGGGACTCTGTGACGGTAGTATCATGATTACCTAAAAGATTGAATGAATGAGCGGACGCCGCGAGGGCTAGGGCTACTGTAACACGTAGCAAGCCCATGGCAGCAAATTTGTGAAGAAACGAAAGATGAAGGTCAGTATACAAGGTCAAAGAGAGTGCATGGTGGCCTTGGTACCAAGGAGAGAAGTCGGATGTGAGGAGATCTGCCTGCTTTTTACTGAACCTCCTGTCCTCCTACCTGCGCCATCTCCTCTGAAGCCAGCGCCTCGGGAGTGTCTGTGGTATAGCATTGTAATCCACATCGATCCCGTTTGACAGCGAGGGGGAAGCGCCCAGGTGGCAGCCTGAACATAGTTGAGCCGGGAGCGGAGTCTGTTTTGTCTTGGAAATCGCTAGAGTTGAGGATGGTGGAAATAGGAAGAGGGAGTCTTAGGAAGTATTTTGGCTCGAAGTGGACTGGGCAGCTGGGCAGCTGATGTGGCGTTGGCCAGAACCGTCACCCACCGTTAACTCGGCGTTGAGCAAACCACGAATCCACCACGTGGCTGAGCTGAATCCGGCGCCCCTTGGACCGGAGAGGAAGACGGCACAATTGACGACAGACGCCAACGACCCCTATCGCCCCGAACAAACAGCGTTTCTCTCTGTTGAAGGAGCACTTCGCCCCCTGATGGCCTGTGAGTTGGCGTCAATACTGGCGACAACGCCTTTGTCCGTGGCACTATCCGGACTCTCCGACTTGTTCCAGCCTTATTCGGCACTCGGGTACTCTGCCTTGCCTTCACCTCATCATCGCTGCTAGTGGAGCACGCCAGAAGCTAGAGGGGGAAGAGAAAGGCAAAAAAGAGAAGAGCTCCACACGAGAAGGAACGAGACCACCGAAAAGGGGCCAAGAGACGAACCATTGTAGCAAACAATTGTCGTCGCACTCTCTTTTTCCGGACCTCGCCGGCGAATGCACAAAGTGTTCGCAGACCTTTCGTGGTGGATCGATCCTGCGGGTTTGGAAAATACGACGGAAAGAACAGCCCGGTATATTTGGAGCGGGCATGGCAGCGCAGGCAACTGTCAAGGCTTGGGGCCAGCAGCAATGAATATTGCATATCAGCCTCGCCTCTACAAGGTTTTGAGCAGATTTCCTGTGCAGACAGACATAAAACAAGTGAAAAAGTTGGCCCCATCGCGCGCCTTTTAGCGACTACATCTTAGCGTTGTCAACGTCAAAACTCAGTTAGGCTGCACTTTGCCATAGCGCTTCGATGGAGGCATCTACTCCACGTCTATGTCGTAGTGTACTCATCTCTCGCCTGGGGCTGAATACTCCGTATGCTCGTAGCTTGATTATAACGCAACGCCGATAGTAACTACAAAAGGATTGGCGAGAGCTGGATTGGCCCTATCCGTGGGGTCGAGGCGCGACTGCTCGGAGCTCATGTACGACTCGCCCCGGCTGTGCTGCTCCTACAACGAATCACTTCCTTCTCTCCTCGCATTCACCTGTTATGTCAAGTTTACCAGGATTTCATTGCTTCGAGGATTCAAACGATGATATGGACGGGAGGCTCCTTCGACGGCAATCTGGCTTTGCGCAAAGTGCGGCGCTAAGCGACGGGAAACGATCACAGCATATCGCATGGACGCTTATGCAATGGTATTACAGTGATCTTGCTCGAGGAGTCTAAAATGCTCACTTGTGCCAATTCAAATCCCAATGGCTAATTAGTTCTCAGATCAGCTTGATTTGTCTAGTCTCTGGCTCCAGCTTTTTGAACGCCGTGTACCACAGCACGCCAACCCCGTTCCTCCTGTGCACTCCTGGACTGACCTCTTCGATCCAAAGTACATGAGCGAGGCGGAAGTTGTCAGAGAGTACCCATAATGGGCGCAAGCAAGCAAAGTAGAATCCATACATGACTGGCATAACCACCACCAATGCAAACAGAAATAGTCCGAAAAACAACAACGAAAATGCGAGCACAATAGCAACAAAAGCCAAAACCAGTACCGCAGTAAGAGTGGCGAAGGTAGCGACCCAGGGCTTCACGAGCCAGGGGAATTGCCGCAACGTGGGATGATCCGTCCCACGGCCGAGTTCGAACCGTGTGCCTTTGGTGTGTCGAGGCTGCTGCTGGTATCTTTGCTCGTAGCGATCATTGACAGGCCCGAGAAAATCATCTCTGAGAGCGGCCCGGTCCTTCTCTTCGGTGCTTAGGTCGATGAAGGACTCAATGTTATCGAACCATACCAGTGGAAACCAGCTAACACCGACAAGCACACATTTGCAAGGGATGCGAGGGTTGTCATCCGACTCAGGGAAGCTGGAAATGTGTGATGTATGACTCAGAGATCCAACGCGTTTTCCAGACTCTGCTCTCACGGACAGATAACCCGTTCGCACATTGTCGGCGATCGCCGCAACTTCCACTACTTGGCTGGAGAATGATATCGACACTTGCAGAGGCTGTGTATTTTGCGCAGATCGTGTATCTGAAACTTCTGTAGCTTGCGGCTGAGAAGGACCTGCAACGTGCTGTAGGTGGCCTTTGCTGTCGTAGTTGTAGAAAGTGGAGCCTTTGCCGTCTTGAACCTCAATCGTACAAAGGACAGCCCGATACCTGTCAAAGTCAGGATAATTTATCGACCCGGTCCATCCAGTCCACGTCCACGATGGACGTCCCTCAATGCGACGAGGCTTCTGCTCAAGCGGATCCCATTGGACAGAGCCATGCCACCAATTGAGGGCTAAAGGCAAATGCTCGATGGGCAGTGCCTCGATGAAGCGCATTCCCCACGATTGTTCTTGTTCGTTGAGTATACCCTGGAAGGCGAAATATCGATCTGTGTCCAGAGAGGCACGCCTACCAGAGTATAGTTCGACATAGCACTTCCACAACTTCCATTGCCACAAGTTTGAGCGAGCAGGGGGGTCTAGAAGCAGCGATCCAGGATGATTGTACAGCTTTCCGCGGTTGTTGTGACTTTCAACCCGGTCTTCACTATACGTTGCAGACAGACAGCTAAAGTATACTTGTCCTGATCCGAGGTAGACTATTCTTCGTGATAGAAGATGCTCCTGGAATGTCCAAGCCCGCGTGTTCCACTTGCAATCTGGGTGGGAGTACTTTTCGGCGAGAGAGGGAAAGACAGGCGTGTACCGGACACCCTCGACTGTCTCAACATGCTGGGTACGAGATACTGAGTACGCGGTGACGCCGTGCAATCCGTTGTCAGCATCGTCTGAATCCAGTGCTACGATTGTAGCATTTGCTCCCAAGTAGATCTCGTTCATCATGGCAATTTGTGAAGCCTTCTCTGACGGATCGTCTTGGTTGATACAGAGAGCGTCGACCCACAGGTAAGTCTCCCCAAGCTCGGAGGTGAGAGAGATGGCGTCCTGAATGACGCGTGGTAAGCGCATATGTCGTATACTAACCGGTGGCCCCCCTAAGAATTCGCGACCAAGGCCTGGTACCTTTGGCTGTGGTGTGTTTCCCCACACATACGACAGAGCTAGATATGTGACTGGCCTCGTTATCGACTCGATGGTCAGATTCGTGGCGTTAATCAGGACGTGCGGATGTCGCATGCGACTGAGAATCCGCTCTTCGAGAGCTCTGCATTTAACATGGCTATTTGAGCATCGCTTCAACCATTGCATGACGAGGTTCCGGTCTGCGTAACTGGACTGTAAGCTTCTCGCATAGCCATCCGATAGCCTGCCGATTAACCTCGCGTCTTCACCAAGGGGTAGAATAGAACGAGCACCACGGATGTCAGCTTCGAAACCCCACACATCCGTGGGTTTGCCTTCGAGATCGCGTGTCCGACCTAGCTTGTATCGTGTCAGAGACGAGATCTCAGAAAACTCCTCTCCACCATCTATACTAAAAGCCAACAAACGACACAACGGACACAGGGCTTGGGTGCTGATCCGTTGTGGGGGCTTAAAAGTACATAGTACCTCGCAGTCCGCCCTATACCTCACATGCCATGGCCAGGATGCTTGGATCCGATCCTTTAGCAGTATTTCCGGACACGCACATAATGAATCGACGTTGACGCCTTCTAACCTGAACACACTCATGTTGATTCCGGCCATCATGCCGTACCACGACCTCACCGGCACCGAGGTTAGCGTGTCCAGAATCTCGAGTATTGTCCGGGTAATCCAAATCCAACCGCGTTTCAAGATCTGAACGGTGGAAGCGTCCATGGTGCTTACGGCTGAAAAAGTGCAAGCCTTGTCGGACGAACGTTGCTGATTGATCTGAATAGTCTCTTAGCAAATTTAAGCAGGTCAAAACACAAGGCGGCAATAACAATCGTCTCAGTTCTCAGTCTCTTCGGCTCAGTTGCCTCAGTTGGCCTAAGAACCCACTATAGTTAAAGTAGGTACCTACCTAGGTAATTACTAGGTAGCGAGCTAGGTAGGGCAAGTAGGCATAGCTCAGAGCGGCAGCACTATCAGGCCCATCCGGGGCGTTGAGGACCTGGAGGCGCGACCACGTTTTGCCCATCTTGGCCATTTCTCCAATCTTACCGGCCGCTACTGCGCTGCGCATTCGTGTCTTCCAAAGTCGCTGTCAGGCATCAGTAGGACGATCGTGAACATTCACAATGTTACCAGACAGACCCTCCGAATACTTGATGTCCCTATGACACGGCATGTCACATTGGACGCCCTCAGCACCCTGCGCATGCCAGGGAAGAAGATGAGATGGCCTCTCCAATTCGGCCTGCATCCCAGGGAACATATGCCTCACCCACAGCCACCTCACCCACGACCGAATACCCTTTTCCTAGCATTTCGCAAAGACAACATGGAGGTCCAAGAGGTGCCTTGCGCCGTGGATCGACCTCAAGCTCCATTGCCAGCACTCTCGACACGGCTTCGCTCAGCAACGCTACAATAACAGAGACCAGCCAAAATGCCATCTCAACATTACTGCAACACCCCATAATCCACACCGGCTTGAGAACAGCCAATGTCCCTTCCAGTTCAGGCTACAAAGCTCCCACGACTCGCGATATTCCCCCCGTCGCCCTCACGAATATCCCGCACATCGAAGCCAAGGCCTTCTATCCTTACCTATCGCAGGTTGGTTCGCTCTATGAAGCATTCCAACGGGCAAAAAATGAGGGCGAGGGCGAGACATCATTGTTCCACCGAGACAAGAAGGAAAACAAGAATGAAGAGTGGGAAGCCATTCTCAGCAAGCGCCTGCAAAGGCCTGGCCATTCACGGACAAGCTCCGTGAGCTCGACGGTATCCAGTCCCTTAGAGCCGCCTCAGCCGAAAAGAAGACAGAGTGGCCAACGTCGGCAGGCGGTCACGCCCTTGTCGACGATCCCGACCGTCTACTCGGACGAGGATTTCCACCTCGAGAACCCCAGGACGTTTGATATCGTCTCTGAAAACTCGGAGATCGTCCGTGACCCAAGCGGCACTCCTTCTGGGAGGAAATCCCTGGCTACAAATGCGATCCTGCAGGAGAAATTATCGTGGTACATGGATACAGTCGAGGTCCACCTAATTAACTCGATATCAACGGCGTCCAAGTCCTTCTTCTCCGCACTCGGCTCTCTTCGGGAGCTGCACAATGAGGCTGCGGACTCGGTAGACCGCATTCAGAAACTGCGGAGGGAGCTGGCGAAACTCGACAAGGAAATGGCTATCGATGGACTGAAAGTCGTCAATCTGAAGCAGCGTCGTGACAACGTCCGTCAATTGGCACAGGCCATCATGCAACTCGAGGACATCGTCATATCGGTGCAAACATGCGACGAAATGGTTGAAAGAGGCGAGATTGATGAAGCATTGGATCGTTTAGATGACGTGGAAGCCTTGATGTCCGGTAAGGAGGGCAAATCTCTCCAGACGGACCAACAGTCCCGATATAAGCGACGTGATTTACGAAGAATCAAAGCCCTCGAGGGTGCTTTCGACGACCTGAATCAGTTGCGCCAGCGGGCCGGTCGGGGATATGAAACCCGATTTCACAACAGCCTGCTCAGCGATATCCGAAGGCATGTGGAGCAGACAGAGACTAGCATGACCCTCCAAAGGTGGGGAGTCGCCTATACAAGACCTAAACCGGGCCAAAGGAGAGCACCGTCTGCGTTCCCCGGGTACATGAATATTGGATCGGCGCTACGAGCTGAACTCGAAGCTGAGATGAGGGGCCTGTCGAGGGCCAGGTATACCACTCCGGCAGCTACTAGTTTCAGAGCAATCGTCTTGCGCGAGATGAAGAGCATGATTCGGAAGCAGCTCCCGAGCTCCAACGACGATGACAATGTTTCTACAGTCTCTGCTTCAACAATGGGTGGAAGAAACATGAGCCAGCAAGAGAAGTCGTCGATTCTGGCTAGAAATCTGAGAGCCTTGGATGCGCAAGATTGGTATCAGATGCTGGCCACCATCTACACAAACATTAGTGAAGGTCTGCGCCGGCTCAGCGTGCAAGTCAAAATTTTGCTGGACATCACGAGCAATTTGCCAGACCACATGATCAAATCGCCTCCGAGAACTCCTGACCCTGCAAGTATCGATAGAGTCATGAGCCCTCCGACAGGCCGAGCTCGGGCTACCAGTTCCGTGCAAGCAGAAATGCAGCAAGTTCTGGATCTCTCCAGTCTTCTGGGAGAAGGTGTGGATCTTGCACAGGCACAGATCACTAAGGTAGTCAGGGTCCGGTCACAGCAAAATTCGGAGTTGTCGTTGCCTGATTTCTTGAAATACTTCACGCTCAACCGACTGTTCGCCGATGAATGTGAAGCGATATCTGGCCGCAGCGGCACCGGCCTCAAAAGCGTCCTCGACACCCAAATCAAGGATTTTGTGGCGCGATTTGCAGACTCTCAGAAGCATGAAGTGATCAAGGTGATGGACGCCGATAAATGGGATGCTAGAGATTTCGGCGAACGCGAAAATGAGATCCTCACTCGGGTCATGGAAGGCAGTACCAACGATGCTCTTCCCTGGATTGAAAGCACGATGATCTGGCAAGCTTCGACTAATGGCGCTGAGACAAGCAACGGTGCTGCAATTAATGGGACGGCTGCTGCAGGCGCAAAAGTGCGCAGCGCTGTAATCGACGAACAGAAGTACATACTCCCAGAATCTGCCATCGCCATGCTACGATCCATGGAAACATTCCAACACCTAGCAGCTGGCATCCCGAGCATGAGCAGTGAGGTGGCGACTTCCTTGCTGGAAAGTCTCAAGTTGTTTAATTCACGAAGCTCCCAACTGATCTTGGGGGCCGGCGCCACTAGGAGTGCAGGGCTGAAGAACATCACGACAAAACACCTGGCGTTGTCGTCCCAAGGATTGAGCTTCATCGTCGCACTCATACCGTATGTGAGGGAATTCTTCCGCCGTCATGTCCCTTCCTCGACCGCCTCACAAGTTATGACCGAGTTCGACAAGGTCAAGCGTCTGTTCCAGGAACACCAAAATGGTATACACGAGAAGCTCGTCGACATCATGTCCGGGCGAGCGTCGATGCACGTCAAGGCGATGAAGAACATTGACTGGGAAGAAGCGGCCAAGAACACGGCCGTGCACGTGTCACCGTACATGGAGACCTTGACGAAAGAAACGGCCACGCTGCAGAAGGTACTGGCCAAGCATTTACCGGAACCTGTGGTTGCGGGGATCATGGTACCGGTGTTTGCCAGTTACCGAGAGCAGTGGACGAACGCGTACAGAGATGTTAACATCAAGTCCATGAAGGCAAAGGAAAGGTGAGTTTGGGGTCACAGAACCAGGGTTCTTGGACCATATGCTAACTCTGCTGATCTTAGGTTATTGGCCGATGCATCATTCTTCAATCTACGAATCAGCAAGATTGACGGATCGGGCGATCTGGGCGAGCATATCGTCAAAGTCGTCGAGGGAAAGGCAGTGGTCAGCAGTGCAGCACCACCAGCTACCGCTCCATCTGAAATACCTGTGACAGCAGAAGTGGTAGAACAGAAGCAAGAATCCTCTGCACAGGAGAATGGAGAGAAGAAAGACGAGGGTACGAAGAAGCAGGATGATGACAAGACGTAGAGCCTATAGGCACCTAGGTAGTATATGTCAGGTGGCACGGTCAGTGGATTGTGACTATATGTGCGGATGGCTTCTGTGGAATGGATGAGATATAGCTAGGTAACTTTGACGACCTGCAGGATAGACATGTACCTAGTAAGGTATTGACTGGACTGTGCCGTTGAAGGCTCCGTTTCAAGATCACTGGCCCAAATTTCTTCTTCAAGGGATGCAGCAGGCATACATATGTTGTTGGTGATTCGTGCCGGATCAACGTTGTCTACCTAAGGTATATATGGTCGTATCGAGCATGCAGTTATGATCAATATAACACTGGCGGCACAATTGTCTGCATTCCGTTACAGACAATACAAACGGGCACAACCTGCTAACTGCCTACTCGTAACTTGATGATGGATGGCCTTGAACCATTGGTTTCTCCCCTAACAGCCTTGACTCGTAGAATCCCCGTTGCTGGAAATGCTCCCCTTCAGCACAACACGGGGCATGGACCACATCAAAATATCTCTCTCGCACCAGCCCCCCTTCCCAACTCTCCATGTGGACGACTAGAAAATAGCCGTGGCGTTGACGTGACTGCTCACGCCGCCGCGACAATTAAAGGGGGCGCTACTAAAGAAGAAGGTCCAGCGGTTGTTCTTCTTGCACAGCTCGGCGAGTTTCTCGAGGTCGAGCATCTCGCCGAGCGGCATGCCCCAGAGCGCGAGGATGAACTCGTGCAGGTAGTAGGACTCCGGGGTGGGCCAGCGCTCGAAGGAAGGCGCGTCGCCGCCGACGGCGGCGAAGTAGCAGTCGTGCAACCAGTCCTTCATGGCCTCTTCTTGCTTGATGCCGCACCACTGGGCGTCGGGCCCGTGGCGGAGGGCGAGGCGTTCGCGGTCCTGCGGGGCGCGCTTGTGGTAGTCCTGCACCCAGCCGGAGCGGATCAGCAGGATGTCGCCGATCTTGAGGTCGCCGCCCTGGGACTGGGGGCGGATGTCGAGGCCCTGGTGTTTGCCGCAGGCGACGAGGTCGTCGTAGCTGATGGCGTGCGAGGTCGCCGTGTCGTACTTGATGCCCACGCTGTCGGCGTACGCGCGGTAGTCGAGCAGCACGCCGCGGCCCGAGAAGCCGTGCTCGGACCAGTGGTGGATGCTGCACTTGTCGTTGGCCGTCGGGCCCATGATGTCGCTGCCGTGCGTGTTGTTGTAGAAGGTCTGGGTCGGGACGTGCGCGAAATGCCGGAACCCGTCCCACTGCGTGCCGGACTGCGTGTTCATGTGGTACACGTCGTCGTACGCGATGCCCTCGGCCAGCGGCAGGATCTTGTGCTCGAACTTTTGCCGCCCAAAGGCTGGCTGCTCCGGCACGTCCAGCGGCAGGTCCAGGCGTGCCATTTCCCCCGTGCGGATCTCCTGAGACGCGGCCTTGACCCGCGTCGGTGTCAACAGGTTCAGCCGCCCGACGTAGTCGTCCTTGCCCCAGACCCAGGCCGCCTCGTCCGGCGCGCCGACGATCTTGGGCAGGTTCTTGCGCGTCGGGAACGACGTCGAGTCCGGGTCGAACGGGATCGTCGTCGCCACTTTGCCCATGATGGAATCCTTGATTTGACTCAACCGCCTGCTTGCTTGGGAGAATGCGTCCGTCATGGCCGTCTCCGGGATTCTGGCGGGGGCTGGAGTTGGTAATCTTCGATCTTTTATATTAATTACTATAAGGGACTTGCCAGCACCACAGCTCCACCACAATGCTTTTTTTCTCCTTTAGCCGTGGGAAGGAAGGAAAAAGTGCTTACCACAGCGACCGGGTCAACGAGTCGAGCTAAACTTTTCTTTGCTTATCGCCGTGGAAGCTTGGTTCGAGTTCCCGAGGTCTATCGGTCAAGAATATCAGGGTGGCCTTTTGTCTGAAGTTCCATTTGGAGGGGAATAGCCGGTGAGAGCTCTTCCCCGCAGACGATGGGAACTTGCATGTCATGATGCAGCCCGGCATTCATCTCACTTCTCGCATGCGTATTCCCCGCGAGTGAGAGTCGATGACGATTGCCATCACCCTGGACAATTGGTTGGGACCATGGTGTTGGGTAGGGGTGTTCAACCCCTTCAGCAGCTTGTGTGACGACTTGCGAGCACAGTGAGGGAGGGGGCCAATACATAAGCCTGTATCTCGTATCTCGTACTTGTAGCTGTCCTCGGCCTGGCCTCGGCAAGTCCAAGCCCAGAAAACGATCAGACTAATAATCTCTGGGTAGTAATCTCCAAGGGGGCGGCAGAGTAATTACTCTCTGATCTTGACCCTGATTGGAGCACCTGTTTTCATTGCTGAGGCGCCCGTCGAAGGTAGCGGCGGAGCTCGTTCCATGATTCTGGAATCTCTACCTCCTGAGAATCAGGGGACCATTTTGGTCTTCGCTACGCACGGTTTTGGGTTGATAATAGAGGATGACGGTGTAGATTTCTGATCAAAGTGCTGTACAATTCACGCTCTTTGAGCCTGCATCAAGTTTTCGACGAGTGAAAGATTTCTGGTCCGGGAGGTACTCGTCTTTCTTAACTCGAGAACGAAAATACCTGATTGCCCTTCTCAGAACAGGGTTCGATGTTAAGCAGCGAGCGTAGGCCGCCTTGACCTTATCTCCACCTGAGCCATCGACCAGAGATCACTGTAGTGCTCATCGAGCTTACTCCCTAAACGACCACGCCGTGGGCCTGACCTGGCGCGCTCGAAATCGAGGTACTGCAAGAAGCATGAAATAAGTGTAAACATGCCTGACGGAGGTACGGGGTACAAAAGTGCCGTTTGCTCGTATCATCTTAGGGTCATGCACGTGTGAAATCCAAGAACCGATTATACATCGGCGGGGTTTGGGTGCAAGAGGACTGTATGGCAAGCGAATCCCTACATATCAGCCTCTTCGCCTTCAATCAAGTGTAGCGTACCCATCTCAACGAAAAAGGGGGCCTCGAATCACTGTCCATGGCCAACTTCTGGAGTGATTATATCACGCACTATTGCTGCAATAGCGCTTGCGGCGTTCCATGCTATAAACATGAATATACGCTTAAAGGCTAGATCTTTGAGGTTCGTGCTTTCCCACGAAGGAGGACGAGATCGACCTCCCCTGTTGCGGGAACTCGAACAGCCATAGACACGTTACCGGACCTCTCTGCTACGTCTTCAATCCTCTGAAGGTGGCCATTAACGTAGAGTCCCCACGTGCCTTGAGAGAGGTTGTTGAATGTAGGTGTGACCTTATGATCCTGGCCATCCCATGATTTGAGAGTAACCACCAACGCAGCATCCTCGGCTGACCATTGGCCTCTCAGGAAATCCACACCCTGCGAGAGGTCGACATTATCGACGTAGGGTCTCTGGGCCAGTATCTCCTTGGTCCACGGGCGCTCGAACATCTCCTTCTGACCGTTATGGACGTTGAGACGGCCGTAGGCGACCCCGGCATTGCTAGAGTATGGATCCATGCATATGGCCGTGGCCGGCTGGAAGTCATTGCGCCTCTCATAATACAAGCCGCCGTTCTCCCATCTCGGGTGCATTTCCCGGTCGATATACTCCAGCAAGGGGAAGAGATATTCTTCTTTGCCCAGCTCGCTGAGCCACTGCAAGACCATACCCACACCGGGAGCTTTGGCGACGTTGGGATCCACCTCGGGGTTCTTCTCCTTTACAATTCGAGTAGCTTCGGCGACCGTGGCAGCGTTGTCTGGGTGGTGTCTGGCCAGGTCCCGCGCAGACAGCTTCAGGATCTCCCTGGCCACCCAGAAGCTTTGCAGGCGCACCTGGCCATTGACTTTGGTGAGGTGTCCTAGTCTCTGCTTTTCGAAAAGATCATAGACAAAGTCGGAGTACCAAGCGTTCATGTATGCTCCGCACCACGCCGACCCGACGACGCTGGAAGCGGTCACGATGTCATCCTGCTGCACCATCCACATATGGATGATCTGGCCGTTTGGTCCCAACATGCCCTTTTTCTTTTCCCAGGCAGCGAGATACTTGGGCTTGATATCGTCAAAGATATGGGTTCCGTTCCGCACGTCGTTGTACCGGATCGCAATCAAAGGGAACTGATTGCAGATGACAAAGACCACGTTCGGCTCGCAGCAGACTCCAAGCCATTGGTTCTTTTCCATTTCGGCGACAATGACGTCTTGTAACGACTTGGTCGAGTATTCGTACCTTTTAGGGGTTCCCCAGAACTGCGGATCCCATTCAAAAGCTATAGACCCGGGTTTCTCGTACTCGTCGTCGTCGAATAGCATGGCGTATAAGCTGACCATGAGCAAAAGATGCCCGCTATACATAATGTTCTCGCGTACCACAGGGTCCGCCCACTGTGCCCGAGGTGTGACTTGGTCCGGATTCAAAACTTTCCCGCCCTGAGAAGTGTTCCACCAGTAACCCCATACATCACGCAAGAGCATTTTTTGGATGAAACGGCGCAAGAGGGGTTTGAAGACCGAGCGCAGTGCCGGCAGGCGGTGGAAGTGGGCCACACCAGCTCCATAGACCAGGGTGGCAAGCTGGTATCGGTATGCATCCATAGACTCTTGAAGGTAATCCTCCGACCACATGTGGTTCCAGCAGTTGTCCGGCATGCTAGCCAGGTTGTGGTAGTGCCGAATATGGCCTGCTTGCTCTTTATTGAGCTTCGGAAACGCACTAATATCAAAAGGAAGAGATGATGGCATAGAATTGGCGGAATTGGCAAAGCTCCCCAAGCTGCCGGGTACATTTTGTGTCGACATTGTGGACGTTGGGCCAGAGTTACTGTTCCTCGATGATCAGGCGGCAATGTTCTAAATGCGAATAACATAGAGTAGCTGGCATACAGCAACCTGTGAGCTCTTTTTATGTTCAAGTCCTGCTGAGCATTGCTGATGGTCCTTCACACGCGAAGGTTACTGGAAAGCGCCCTTCTCCCGGCCCGAGGGTGCGTGCGCAACCGTCCACAAAGTGATCGGACGTGGTTGGCGTTCTCCATGCTCCGGACACGGAGGTGGTTGGGCTCTTGCATACCCTCGTACCGATCAGCCTCCCATGGGCAATCTTCTGATAGGTATCCGGTACTCATGCTCTGAATGTCTGGGGTCCCAGTTTGAAATGTGAAGAAAAGCAGGAGCACCAAGTAGGGAGACTTTGCTTCCTATCTAGGTCAAGTCCAGAGCATAAGTGGGCCTCTTTCCGTCTGTAGTGGGCCCGGAGATCGGGGTGCTGTGTGCTGATGGACGCCTCAACTAGCCTCAACATGCCAAAGCCAGCCTCGGCTTTCAAAGGCTCGAGATGGGATTGGTAGAACTTCACTCCGGCACCAGCAGCCCCAGACTCCCCAGACTCCCCAGACTCCGCAGGCTCTCCTCCATGCTCCGTGTGGGGGTTCTTTGAGAGGACCACGCGTTAAGACAGAAGAAGCCATAAATATTGCATCGCGGGCTCATCCAGCTGGTACAGGTCCAAGCAATTCCCCTTTCGGAGCAGGAACCATAGAAAACGACGACTCTCACAGCACCAAGGTTTCCATTGTGGTTCGAACTGTATCTTCATGGATGAGCTAAATCCAAACCGGTACAAACGCAGTAATGCGAGACTCATACGGTATTGCCTCGTCCCTTCGACATTGGCGGTCATCTATGGCATGGGGATTGCGCAGACTGGAGGGTTCCTGGCCATGTCCGAGTAAGAACGCTCTGCCACTGCTGGGGCAGAAGAGCAAATGAGTTCCCATGCCCGGCTGACATGACGATATAGATACAACCAGGACTTTGGAGAGTACAACTCGGCGACCGGAAGCAAGGCGCTCACGGCGCCCCAGATTTCTGGCCTCACAGGCACGACACTGGGCGCGGCTTGTGTTTCTGCCATTTTCGCTGGGACTGTGGGCACCCGCTATGGTCGCAAAATCGGCCTCACATTGGCAGCATTGCTGTATGTCATCGGACTCATACTCAACTGTGCGGCGACAAGTTACGCCTTTGTCATCGTGGGTAAAGTCATTCTTGGGTTGGCAGTTGGACTGGCTGCGAACTTCGTCATCGCATACTGGGCCGAAACGTCCCCTGTCAAGATGCGAGGCCTCATCACGCTCTTGTATGGGGCCATCACCAATCTTGCCCAGTTTGTTGGGGCTTGCATCGTTAAGGGCACGAGTGAGTTGACGACGAGCTGGGCGTGGAGAGCCTCTTTGATGACGGAGTTCATCCCGCCTCTTATCCTGCTTACCTTCATTTATTGGATTCCCGAGACACCCAGTAAGTTTGAATTTTCCGTCTTCGCCCTGATCCTCATCTGCCCTGAGATCCCCGTTGGCCAAGAGTTCCGACGGTCTGACAGAGTCAAAGGATGGTATGCTTCGCACGGCAAGAATGCACAGGCCCGCGAAGCAATGTGTCACGTCAGAGGACCGACCTGGCCTGAAGAAGAGATCGACGCTGAAATCGACGACATTGTCGGCATGTTAGAGATCGAGAGACAACTCGAAGGCTCCTCCAGCTGGATCCACTGCTTCCAAGGGACTGACTTACGGAGAACTCTATTGGCCATCTTTGCTCTTCTGGGTCAAGAGTTTTCCGGTGTCGCCTTCATCGCTGGGTCAGTATCACTTTACTCCATTCGTGAACCCGCAGCGTAGCTGACACACCTGTAACAGATACGGAACGCTATTCTTCTCTCTCTCGGGTGTAACAGATCCGTTCACCACGAATGTTATTTCCTCCATGTGCGGTATTGCGGGCTCCCTGACCTCTTTCGTCCTTGTCAAGTACGTGGGACGCCGAAAGATCCTCGTTGGCGGCACAGTCGTACAGACTTTCTGCATGTTCGCCTTTGCCATCATCGGAGTTGCTACCCCGGGCACTCATGCAGCTGCCAAGTCCTTGGTCGCCTTTGTGTGCATCTTCAACTTTTCCTATGGTGCATCCTGGGGCCCTGTGGCATTTGTCCTCATTGGAGAACTGCCGTCGACCAAGTTAAGGTCCAAGACCTTGGCCCTGGCCACCTCCGTCGGCTGGAGCTTCAACGTACTCATCTCGGTCGGTATGCCTTACTTGCTGAGTGACGCCTACGTCATGCTAGGAACCAAGGTGGGATTCATATTTGGGGCAACCGAGCTGTTGGCCTTCGTCTTTGCTTTCTTCTTTCTCCCAGAAACCAAAGATCGGACGCTTGAAGAGATTGACGAGATGTTCATGAATGTGAGTGTTTCCTGGTGGACAAGGCTCAGCGCTGACACCCTTATACAGAAAGTACCGGCTTGGGAATTCAAGAACTATGTCACGACAAAGACTGTGCAAGGCATCTCGGTAGGTAGTGAAATGGTAAACGTCATTGGAGAGGATAAAGGTGCCATCTCTCATGTTGACCGAGCGGCTTGAGTTGGTTGTGTTGATGCCTGGGTCCATGGCATTGAACCTCGTTGTCGAAAAGGAAATAGCCGTGAGATCAGGCACATATATTCTACTTACCTGGGTGTCGCCGGAAGTGGTAAATCAGGAGGAATGTACACAGAAAATCGGGTGATATATTCACTTATTCCAGCTTCAAATCATAGGTGGTGGTGTTTTTTATCCGAGTGAAGCACATGAATCCTCTCAGAAATGACTCCCGTGACTGTATGTCGTAGATACAAAATGCAGCGGAGGGATTTGCGTTTTCCCACCTGTCAATCGTGCAACAGTCCCCGGACGGCGTTTAAAAGGATGTGCTTAATGCCCCAAACGGACACCTTGCTGAGCACATCCGCGGTTTGCTGTAAGATTTGCCTCGGCCCCGGCTCAGAGAATACTTCCGGAACTCCATGCATGCGTACCAGTGATGGCGTGCCATTCTCGATCCAGTCTCGAATTGCGATTACTTCCGGTCCATCTGGAGCGCCTTGCCAGTCAAGCTTGCACACAGGAAATGGACTACCAGGACTTTCGCTGATAGCCTTCGCCTGATAATCTGCCAACAGTAATGTCGACAATATGAAACAAATAAGCCCACAGTGGAAGATATTGTAGGCTTCTTGTGGATGATTGCACGGATATAATCTGGTGATCATGAGCCCCTGTGCGCACGTATAGAGAAGAGCGCGGGGGTTTCTTGGGTTCTCCCTGCACCACCGCAAGATCCGATTCCGTGCAGGAATCGCACGGGAGTCGTCCTGCCAAAGCATGATGCCGAACAAGTCACAAATAACGACACCTTCGGCGAGCCCATGAGCAATACCGACCTGTAGCCAATGCTGGACTGTATACTCGTTGCTAGGCTCGGCAATAGCACTGGGATAATAGCCGGTTATCGGCGACGCAAAGTCGTCGAGAATCTGGAGAAGTTCGGCCCTTCCCTTGAGAAGGGCGTCATATGTGCTGAGGTGCATTGCTGCCTGATGGGTAGTAGCTTCTTTGTTGTCCCAGACCATTCGCGTCAAAACTGTTAAGATGATGAAGCGAACATAATCGTCATCGTACACGGAATGAGCGCTGGCTGGGTGTTCGACGACACGAGAGATGCAACTCTGAAACGAGTCTGTTCGGGGGCATTGTTCTGTCCATGGATGAATGGCAGCCCAAGCCTGTTTTGATGCTGCCTTCCAGTGTTTAGTAAGGCAGGGGAGGTCCAGCTTGAGTTCATTCAATAGAATGTAAGGCCGGGCATTGCGCATGCCGGCAGAAGCAGCGTCGTAAGCCTGTCATATTCCTGCGTCAGAGACAATCCACTGGCAGATCAGTTCGGCAAAGACCCACAAAGATAGCCCAGCCCATTCTTAAAGCCCGTTCTGCACAGATCCAGCTCTCCCATCGACTTTGGGTGTCAGAATGATCTTTGCTTTTCTGCGCAGTATGATGTGGATCGAACAATCCCATGCATCGAGCATAGTTGACAAGAGCACCACGACTTGACTCGGCAAGCTCATATAGACGTTGGCTGCCACTTGCAAACCCAAAAACGGAGTTCAGCAGCTGCGCAGAGATATAATACTCGGTTCTCACGAAGCGAGGGTCGTGCTCAGCCTGAATGAAGGATCTCAGCTTCACCCTATGTAATGGGCCTGATACTGACCATAAAGACCAGCAGTCTTCGAATAAATTCTGAAAGAGCAATTGAGAATGCTGCTGCTCCTTCAAAGTCTGTGTAGCATGCTCCAATCATGATCAGAACGAGTGTAAGCACCGGTTCTTTGGCAGGGTCGAATGATGGCTGATGAATTATCGGAACCCACTATTCAGCCTATGCATCAGACACGGTACAAGAATACTCCTCAGCACGGTTACCTTGTCAAAATGCGCAAAGTAAAGATCAATACAGTGATCGAGCTGTTGGGGTGTGGGAAACGAAGGAATTGAGGCAGCTGGCCAGATGGATTGCTCAAAAGGAGCTTCCAAGATATCTTGTAGTATGGAGGCACCGCGGGAGCCGATGCTAGGCAGTCCAATATAGCTGGAAAGAGGGTTCGAGCTCTTTGAAGGACCAAGACGCGGTAGGGTTAGATGCTTCGGCTGGGTCGCAGGCCATAACATCGGATAATGCTCCTCCTCATCCGCGTTTCGAGAACCTCCTGGAATTCGTAGATGCTTGTGTAAAGGGTCGTCCTTCGAAGACGCGCTGGCTTCGAGCGGCTGTGTTTGGGAAAGAGACCTGCCCAAAGGAGATAGGCCGTCGAAATGAAAATTTGGCGGCTCGGTTGGTGGAAACCATCCAGTACTCGGCCAACAGGTCATGTCGAAATCATCGAGGTTGTCGGGATAATTCCAGTCCAGAAGAGAGAGCATGTCTGGGCCAGAGCACGGCGCAGACTGAGCAAAGTCGGGGAACACCTCGGGGAGTACATAAGAGCCATTGGAGCCAGCCTCATCTTCGTGGATCGCGGCAGAACCCATCTCTGGCATGGTCGCCTCTTGCAATATCGGTGGAACACTTGACTGGCTGTCTGCCATATGACTCCACGTCGCATCAGGGCTATTACGCCTCGCCCCTGGAAGGACTTCTGGTTCATACGAACAAGGGACGCCTCGCCGAAGGCATGAGGAACAGCTTGGATATTCTCCCAAGCAACGAATCTTCAGCCTAGGACAAAAAGTCTTAATTAGTCACGGCGTCCGATAGAAATCTCTCGACCTACGAACCTTCGGCAGACGAGACAAGCCTTCTTTCTCGGTGGGGGAGGAGGCCGGTGGCTGTCGTGTATTTGCGCATGTCGACGAAGGGTGTAACTGCAATCACGGTGGCTTGTGAGTTGCCTTCTCAGCGACCAAGCAGATGTGCATACAAGCGGCCAAACCGTTTTCCACACACTGAGCATTGTTTCTCCCTAGGCGAAGTTTGTTTCGGTGTATGTGGGCTCGGCTCATCTTGGAATGATGCAGCGCCATCAGTGCGACTTACGGACACAGCAACTTCAAACGAGGTACCAGCCTCCATTATCAGCGTTGATGGAGATTCGGCTGTGCTTCGTCGTCAGGAAAGCGAGCAATGTTATTGAGGGGGTTGCCAAGGCGATGTAACGACTATCCCGCCTGCCCGCTAAGCCCCTTGCCCGAATGCCTCGGAAATACTCTAGTAGCCCTTTCCGTAATTACTTCATACCTAGGTACGATGGACTAGGTAATTAGAGAGTATTAGGATCCCATATGCTCACTGTATATCTCTATCAGGTCATATCAGGTAATGAAGCTCTGAACAGTCATCGCTCCGCCTGGACAAAAGCCTTCGTAAGGTTCAATCTCTTCAAGCAGTCAGGAATTGTCCCGGATCTACCGAAAGATGAAGCCAAACAATGCTCAGGGGGTGAGAAACGCCTTTCGTGGGCCGTCGGGGTTTGGTGGACAATGTAACAGCACCTCTCGCGCACCTAGTCCTGCTGAACACTGCGAGTGGACTAGCAGGGACACAGTCAGGCTTATATGAAGGATGATTTTCATCTCTCTCGCGCGACCGATTTTCTTCGACTCAATATCATTTTGATCGGCTTCAAGCCAATCGTGAAATGATCCACGGAGTTCAAAAGAGCTGTACCGTCCTCGTCCGGTGCTAGGGCTACATCGAATTTTGTGATCAGCTGAGCAGTTAACAACCGTATCTCCATGTATGCTAGATTCTTGCCTATGCAGCCGTAGGGACCAATCGAAAATGGGGCAAATGCATCTTTGTTCTTGACGAGCTCAGGCCGGGAGTAAAACCGTTCTGGAATGAACTGTTCAGCCATTGCAAAATTGGACTCGTCTGGACCAAACATATAGTCAGTCAAGCTTTCAACTTTTACCTTGCCGTGGCGAATCTGAAAGAGTGGAATTATTAGAGAAAGCTTACCACGAGCCATAGAATACAGATGTATTTGAATCGTCGTATTTCCAGGAATCCATTCATCACCAATGTAGACTCCATCAGGAGGAGTTTTTCGATAGAGCCCACTCGGGACAGGAGGATGTAGTCTGAGGGTCTCGTTGATGCAAGCGTTAAGAAGTGGTGCACACTGAAGATACTGATGTTCGATGTTGCCAGCGTCGCCAGAAATTGTCTCCAGCTCGTCCCTAAGCCGAGTCATTATACTCGGTTCGATAGCAAGGTGATAGAATAAGAATGTCAATGTCGCGGCCGTTGTGTCACTTCCAGCAACAATGATCAGCTTGCTGTCGAGATAGAGCAGTGGCAGGGCATCCCTTTGTCCTTCAGCATCTTTGGCATTCAAATCTTCAATGAGATAATGTGTGATGTCTGGGTTTTCTTGCTTCCCCTGTAAGAGGATGCGGTTTTCTATCTCAGAAGCACAGAATTTGAGAAATCGATCACATGTTGACCTCAGTGGAGCAATGTGCCAGCAGAGGCGACCGATCCAAGGCGGCAAGGCAAGTCCCATGCCGTCTTGGGAGCTGTTCAAAAGTTTGATAGCCCAATGTTCTCCTGCGGATTCCATCATGTTAAACGACCTTCCAAATGCCAGATCTCCCATGACATCGAAGCTCCAGTAGTTGAACCACTGGGACATATCAACCGGCTGTCCTGCAAGTTTGCATGAGCACAAATCGTCGAAATCTAAAAAGCCCATAAGCTTACCGGAGAACGAGTCAATGTGCAGAATGAGGCATTCGTTGTATCTGTGGACTCTCTTTTCATACCCTCGCAGAGCCTTGTCGCTGAATGCGGGGCTCCAGATTCGCCGACGCCTGTCATGCTGCGACCGTACCCGCGTGGATTGCAGTGACCATGCAGGCGCTTCCCCTTCGTACCACGGCGCCTTCTCACAAACTGCCTGAGACGATAATGCCACACGGACGACATCTGGATGCGTGACAGATAGGTCATTCGGACCCGTCCGTACAAATTTGCCCAATTGTTTGTGAGATTGATAGAGTTTTAGGAACATGTCTTTGTCTTTGCCAACGCGGAAGCTGTGATCAAGTGCACTGAGCCTTGAAAGAGGACGGCCTGGAAATTTGTTCAGAGGGTTCAAGAACAGTCTGAATATAACCAAGCTGAGGTAGATCCCAGCAATATACGAGCCCAAAATCTTCCCCGTCTCTTGTATGGCAACTGCCATTGTAGCGGTATCTCTGGCATGTTTTATGGTGGCTATGCCCACGAGAAAGAGGATGAAACAGGCTTGTATGTACCTCTGGGGATGGAGATGGCGCTCACGGCCATGAAAGTGGAAGATATGAGTTGCAGCACCGAGCATCCAGACAATTAGGAGATTTGGAATGGCTAGCATGGTCGAGCATAACTCTTTCTCAATGAAGTGCTATTGATACTTGATAAAACCACGAGAGTTCGCAATGTATTGCTCAGATGGTACTTTTGATTTGTTTACTTTGAATTTTGCGCATTTGCAACAGGTCTCGGAGCTGATGGCGTCGAGAAGGCCACCAATTTGGACCTGTGACTGTACTAGTCAGCAGATTGTGCCAGATCCGAGGATGTTGAATCCAGCTACCTGACAAGAAATGGCTGATTTGGCCAGTTAGTAGTCGGTTGCCAATCACAGCCTAGGCGAGTGGAAAAGATAGTGCTCTCATGTTGCGGGAGCCAGTAGAGGATGATACTGACCCAAAACAATATTCCGGGGCACCGGGGGCACTGGGGTCACCGGGGTTTGCGAGGGGCGCTGTGGGGTGGCAAGCCCCAGAAGACCAGCTTCCGCACTTCTGCAACTTCCGGGGACATCTGTTTGCAAGCTACATTCTTTTTGCAGTCCAGTTGGAGGCCAATCTGAATAGCCATTCGAATAGCAATGCCTAATACCCACATTAAGTGCCCGTAGACGCGGTCGACGGACGAGGCTGAACAAGGCTAAAGTTCATTGTCCTTATCGCCGAAAGAAGCTAGTGCAAACCCGGAGGTCAATTAGACTCCCCGCCAGTGCTTGAAATCCCGGCACTCCGATTGGCTCCGGCCTTTGTACTATGAACCTCAAGCTTCTCCGCTTACGGACTTTTCGTTTTCCTGGGGAAAAATTGCAGTTTGTGCTGAAGGGTCTGGATGAGTGCCTAGGGTAGTGGATTCCAGATCTTCAGGTGCAGCTGAAAGCGTTGTCGACAGAGAGGGAGGCTGGCTTGTCTCTCACTTTCATCTCATCTTCCCTGGCCTCATCAAGAACTCAATGCGCCCTGGTTCAGAGTCTCCCCTCAGCTTTTCAAGGTACTGGTAGCTCGCCATGAAAGCCTCAGCAGCCTTCAGAAGCCTGCGTCTCAGGCAAGCAAGGCTTACACTCGGCAAACAAACCATGTATGCTCGCCGCAAATCCCCCTGACTTTTCTTTCACAGCTAACTCTCCAGCAGTCGTCCCTTCTCATCATCACCTCTTCGCCGCGCAGACCCCTCCAGCCCGTCAGACACCGAAGGCCTCAATAGAGTCTCGCGCCATGTCACGCAGCCTAAATCTCAGGGCGCCTCACAGGCAATGCTCTACGCGACCGGCATGACCGAAGCAGACATGAACAAAGCAGAGGTGGGAATTTCGTCGGTCTGGTACAGCGGGAATCCTTGCAACATGCATTTATTGGATCTGTCCAACGTGGTGAAAAAGGGCGTCGCGGACGCAGGACTCCAGCCCATGCAGTTCAACACGATCGGCGTGTCAGATGCAATCTCAATGGGCACGACAGGCATGCGCTACAGTCTACAATCAAGAGAGATCATTGCCGACTCAATAGAGACGGTCATGCAGGGTCAGTGGTATGATGCGAACATCTCCATTCCAGGGTGCGACAAGAACATGCCTGGCGTGGTCATGGCCATGGGCAGAGTGAATCGCCCGTCAATCATGGTGTATGGCGGCTCCATAGCCGCTGGGTGTGCGCGGACGCAGAACAACGCCCCTATTGACGTTGTGTCGGCATTCCAGGCCTACGGTCAATTCATCGCGGGTGAAATCAATGAGGAGCAGCGCTTCGACATCATCCGCAATGCCATTCCGGCTTGCGGCGCCTGTGGTGGTATGTACACTGCCAACACCATGGCCTCGGCTATTGAGACGCTAGGCATGACATTGCCTGGGAGCGCATCCAATCCCGCTGTCTCGCAGGAGAAACAACTCGAGTGTCTGGCGGCTGGAGGTGCCATTAAGAACCTGCTTAAACTCGACCTGAAGCCGCGCGACATCATGACTCGTGAGGCCTTTGAAGATGCCATGGTTGTGGTGATGATCACGGGTGGTTCGACAAACGCGGTGCTGCACCTAATCGCTATGGCCGACGCGGTGGGCATCAAGCTCACCATCGACGATTTCCAGGCTATCAGTGACAGGACCCCATTCCTCGCGGATCTCAAGCCGAGCGGGAAATATGTCTTCAACGATCTACACGCAGTCGGCGGCATTCCGACCTTGCTAAAATTCCTGATCAAAGAAGGCGTTGTCAAGGGGACACACACAACCGTTACGGGTCAGACGCTCGCCAAGAACGTCGAATCGGCCGCCGACTTCCCGACGGATCAAGTCATCATCAAGCCGTTTTCCCAGCCGATCAAGAAGACCGGACACATTCAAATTCTACGGGGTAGTCTCGCACCGGGCGGCTCCGTCGGCAAAATCACCGGCAAAGAAGGCCTGCGTTTCGAGGGCAAAGCCAAGGTCTATGACGCAGAAGACCTGTTCATCCAGGCTCTGGAGAGAGGCGAGATCAAAAAGGGCGAGAAGACCGTGGTGGTCATCCGATACGAAGGCCCCAAGGGAGGTCCCGGCATGCCTGAAATGCTGAAGCCCAGTTCCGCCATCATGGGCGCCGGCCTGGGTAAAGATGTCGCCCTGATCACCGACGGCAGGTTCAGCGGCGGGTCCCACGGGTTTTTGATCGGCCACATCGTGCCCGAGGCGATGGAAGGCGGTCCGATCGGCCTTGTGAGGGACGGGGACGAGATCGTGATTGACGCCGAGAACAGGACACTCGATCTGATGGTGGACGAAGCGACGTTGGCAAAAAGAAGGGAGGAATGGAACACCAACAAGCCTGAGCCCCGGTACAGGAGAGGCGTCTTGGCCAAATATGCCAAACTGGTCAGTGATGCCAGCCACGGGTGCATCACGGACAAGGAGGATGTGTTGGATATACATGCATGAGAGATGTTTGATAATACAAAGACCTGAACCACCGCTTTTGCTCCTCCGCGGCCGATCACGAGAATCGTCCAGTATTTTCATCCAGGAAAAAATAAGAAAGCGCTTGATCAGATCAAACTTTCTCTGAATAAGGTCGGTAATCCCCCTACAATCCATCCTCTGTATTTCCTTATTTCCCCCTCCCACGCCAAGGAGCGCATAAACCATACGAGATGTGACAAGAATTACGTTAAGGCCTTTCCGCCCGATGAACGTTATGCATGTCGTTATGGAGGTGGACATGGAGACATGCACCAGAACCAGACGCAACGCCCTCGATCGTCCCGCTTAGTGGATATACTTAACCCCGGACAGATACTGGAATGGACACGGCTTAGAGATCGGAGGAAATACACAGTATGTCGTGGACCCTGGGGGGGGGAACGGACGAATTTGCAAAGTTACGGCATGGATGGACGGAGATGATCGAACGTCCCTGCAGGGAAGGGGGTGTCGGCATGTTCTTCTTCCTTCAGCCGGACAGACAGGCAGGCATTTGAGAGGACGGGCCACGGGCCACAAACCATGCTCTAACGGGTCCAGGCTTCTGTACGAAACGCACTGCACTCGTCCTGGTTGACGGACCGGATTTGGGCAGCTTATGGCGGACGGGAAGGGAGGAGAAGACCAAGGGAGTGAGGTTGGAGGAATGATGTGGGCATGATCAATGGGGGTTCTATGAATCTATCGCTCTTGTGTGTTTCTATATACTCTATGGTCATTATCAGATAGTTAAGACAAGGAATCATACACCCTGGGTATATTGCAGAGAGCAGTTCCGCAGACATTGGCATCGTAATCTTTGTGTATATCTGTATCGAAGGAGGTCAAGAATTAGTGCAAGCAGAACGCCATCCATGCAAATAAAATGTGTTGACAAGCGCCCGCGCCAGGAAATGCAAAAATCGCCCAGAGACACACCAGGGTTGAGAAGAGAGCTATATACGTAGCCTGAACAACAGAAACCAACTTGTTGTTGAAGGCAAAGAGCTTGTCCCATCCACCTCGCTTGTCTCCTCTGCTCGCTCACGCTCCAGGCCCGTCCATCTTCACCTTCCCCTTGATGCTCTCCCACCTGGGCGTGAAACTCAGCACAAAAGCAAGAGACGCACACGCGATACAAATCGCAAACGGCACTCGTAAGCCGTCCATATACGCGTCAAGGATGCCTGGGATGTCACTCGCAGCAAAAACTTTCCTCAGGTCGGTCGCGCCAGTCGCCAGCACCAGGCTTGCGTCCACGTGCGGCGCCTTGATGGGCAGTTCGTGGAGCATCTTGTTGGTGAACCCAGCCTGCGCGGCCGAGATGAACACCGCGCCGCCGATTGTCTGAAAGAACAGGATGATGGCCGACACGGAGCTGAGGTCCGAAGGTTTGACGATCGCTTGGCCTACGATCACGGGAATTTGAAAGATCAGTCCTAGTCCGATGCCTGCGAGGGCTTGGTATCCGATCCATTCGCCTGACCCAGAATCGATTTTCAGAGTGTAGATTAGTCCCCCACCGACCGAGGCGAGGATCGATCCGATTGCCATAAGAGGGATGTATTGACCCCATACTGTAAGGAGGATGCCAGAGAAGACTGTTAGGAGTGAGGCGCCAAGGACAAGCGGGAGATTGTCGATGCCGGATTTAGAGGCGGAGACGTTGCGCGTAGCTTGAAAATAGATCGGCAGGTAGTACAAGAGCACGAAGAAAGCCCCTGCCACGGTAAATATAAAAGCACAACCAGCTGCAATGGATCGGTCTTTGAGGAGGCGGGGCTGTAGCAAGGCGCGGTCGCCAGAGAAGTACTCGATGACGACGAAAACGATAATGAGGACGCCGAAGAGGACCAGGACGGCGATAACGGAGCCGGATGACCAGGGCTTGGTGGATCCACCCCATTGCATGGCGAGCAGGTAGCAGACGATTGCAGCCATGAGGGTGAATGTGCCGGGAAAATCCATTTGGAGCAGTTTCTCTTTCAAAGGAGCCACTTGAGGACGGGCAGCCTTGGGAGTGCGGAAGAAGAAGAAGATAATGACCGCAGCGGCGCCGCCGATAGGCAGGTTAATGTAGAAGCACCATCTCCAGGTAAGATTGTCAGTGAAGACACCACCCAAAAGGGGACCGATGACAGATGCGACGCCGAAGGTGGCACCCATGACGCCGGTGAAAGCAGGGCGTTGCTTGGGTGGAGCAGAGAAGGCAATGATGGTATATGACCCCGATGCGATACCCGCGCCTCCCATGCCCGCAATCGCTCTTCCGACGATCAAAGTGGTGGAATCGTTGGCGACACCGCAGATGAGGGACCCCAATTCAAAGATGAAGATGCTTGAGAGATACGAGATCTTGAGAGGGAAGTACTTGTATAACTTTCCCCATGTTGCCTGGAAGGAGCCAATTGTCAAGAAGAAGCCACTCCCATACCAGCCCACTTGATCAAGAGAGTGGAATTGATCGGTGATTCGAGGGATAGCTGTGGCCACGATGGTCATGTCCAGCGCCACGAGAAAGATGCTGCATGCAAGTGCCACGACGATCATGGCCAGAGGGAAAGCAGAAGGGTAGTCGGACGTGTCGATGCGAGAGAGTTCGCGGCCCAGCCCCTCAGCCTCGCCATCTTTCTCAAGCACAGTTTTTTCAACGGCAATGGATTGAGGGGGACTGGAGTTCTGTTGGACGGCAACAGCAGTTTCTCCGTGCCGCTTTTCATCCTCAGTGATCGCCAACGGTGGTTTGGAGAGATCGCTCGATGATGTAGAGGCCGAAGTGTGAGAGGTCGGAGAAGTCGCCATTGTTTTCAATTGAAGCTCAACAGCGCCAGAAAGGAATCAAAGGGAGGAAATTCGAAGGTTATGAGCGACGAAAGCATTGAGCCAGCAACAGGGGTTGAGACCTCCAGTGATATATGTAACCAAGTCACACCGGACCGGCTGTGAAGACAAACTCCGTTGTAGAAACTCAGGGATCACGATAGCCAAAGCATTGAGACATACAATGACGCAGAAAAGCAAAGTAAATTCGTCCGTGTTTCAACATGTGGCATGGACAGAAAACACAGCACATGGAATCCGCGAACAAGAAATGTGGACTCACTAAAGGGGGGAATGAATCATAGTCGCCAGCTTGCATCGTATCAACCATAAAATTGGAGGAAAATACGATTTTGGCGCCAAGTGCCCACAGGGGACGAGGCTATAGGGCCATGCCAGTCTCTGAGAGATCAACACTGAGCCCGGTAAGGCTTTGATCCGCGATCCGAAGCAACACTGATGAAGACTTCCCGACGACAAAGTTCGCGTTGATCAGGCAGCAGCCAGGCCGTCAAGGCCAAAGGGGATCCGCATTCAGCATTCTAGAATGAGCTCCAAAGAGGCAGGTCGCAAATTTTAAGCCTGGACACGGGCGAACGCGAACAAAACGCCCCCACTGGCGAAATGGACGCTGAATGTGACACAGGCTCCGCGAGGCTGGAATAGCGTGCACGCCCTTTCCATCAGGGAGCATCGAAGCTGCCGGAATGTCCCACCCGAAGATCCGGGCAGTATGTCGTTATGTTCTTTGGGTAGCAGTGAGCCATTCAGCTACCTAGGTACCTAGGTACCTATTCCAGGCCGGAGATACCAGACCGAAGTGCTTTATTGCCACCCAGGTGCTCTGGAGTTTCGCTCTTGTGCATGGCAAGATTCGAAAAGGGAGATTGAGGTGGAACCGTGGGTCTTTTGTCCGTCGATTGGCGAGCAGGTCCGGGCGCCTTGGGACATGCTTCCGTATTCGTGCATTATCGGACGAAACATCGGTCGGACGAAATTGGCTGAGCCTCTCGACCTTGACACAAGAAACAAAGAGCTGGGCTCACCTGGAAGTCATGACTGCTGCTGCTGCTGGATTGGTAATCCTCATGGCACAATGAAGTTTGCAAGAGGTCGATGAATGAAAATTCTGAGTTGAAGGATACCTCACGTGATAAGACCTAAACCTGTTCAGGCATCCAAAGACAAAATGCCAGTCAGACAGCCAAGCAGAAAGCAGTTTTATCTGGGGCTTGGGGAGGCTGGGCTCTGTCAGACAAAATGCGTCTCCTCTGGGCACGGCAGATACGCCAATGACCCCATGGGTGATCAGAGTGCTTACAATTCAAGGGCACTGATCTGGAGGTTCCAGCAGGCGACGATGACGCTTCTAGAAGCATGGCTCATTGCTTGAGTATTCTACCAGATCATTCACTCACATCTCAACTCACCTGTTTGCCAGCAGTCAACGTCTAGACCCGGGAAACCCTTGCGGCGATCACCTGAGTCAGCGACTCTTCGGGGATAAAGTGCGCAGTCTCGTCTTGCTACCGCTTTTCACTGCTGCCTATCCTATCCCTCGTCGTCTCTCGACTCGTTGATACCTGGCGCAGACTTCCGTTATATTGGCTGCCATGTCTCGAGCCGGAAGTATGTCTACTTCACCGTACAATACCGATGCCACCGGGCTCGGATTCGACCATAATCAAGGCCCACCAAGGAAGAAGATGCGCAAGGGCACAAAGAGTTGTTTGGAGTGTCGGCGGAGAAAGATCAAGTGCACTTTCGAACCTGGGAGGCCTGCGGTATGCAACGAGTGCTATGCCAGAGGCTCGACCTGCATTGATCAAGAGCATGGCGATATCCACACCTACACCCAGACCACTTCGGAGCAGTCGTCGTACAGTTTGAGGGAGAGAGTATCCCAACTCGAGGATCTGGTCAAACAGGTGCTGAACCGGTTACCGGAGAAGGATGCCAGTGGCCATGGTGATAATTCCGCTGCAGAGTCCGACAAAAGCCAGCTTGATGCCCAGGCGGCTGAAGTGTTGAAAAGTCTGAAGAGCTCATTGCGACAGGAAAGCTCCAGTACCGAAGAGTCTATAGTTCTCCCAGGCGGTCTCCGAGATGACGCCCCAGCCTTGACCCTGTTCGACAATGCCGTCCTTGAACGAAAAGAGAGCCAGCCTGTGGTATCAAGAGCACAGTACAATAAGTCGAAAACGCTTCTGGCGGCTTTGAATAAGTTGCTTCCACCACCGAGTGATTTGGAGGTTATCCTGGAACAGTCCCACGAATGGTGGACAATATGGAGGAAGATGTTTCCCGAAATCACCGACAGTCGATGTGAAACCATCAAAGAATCTGTCTCTCACTCGTTACGGTCAGAGAAACCCGCGGAATTGGCAAAGATCATGTTGTGTATCGCGATCGGCATCCACCAACTACCGAATTCCTTTAACTGGTCGCGACTTCAGATCAAACAGGAGCCTGCTGAGCTAATGGAACGATATATTGCTACAGTCGACAAGCTGATTGTCTCTGACGATGAGATTGCAGCAACCCTTGATGGCATCGAGTGCATGATGCTCGAAGCCAAGTATCATGTCAACATGGGCCGGCCGCGACGTGCGTGGCTGTTATTCCACCGAGCGCTCGCCTTTGCACAATTATTGGGCATTCACAGGTTAGCTGCGCAGACAGACAAAACGTCCCTGGATTATCAGCGTTCGGTCAACATCTGGTGTCATCTTGTACTGGGCGACAGATACCTATCCCTGCTCCTGGGTCTGCCATATTCTGTTAGTGAAAGCTTTGTGACCCCCTATATCCCCATATCTGGACCTCCGCCCGCGTCGGTCACAGCTGGCGAGTACTACACAGGGAAGATGCTCCCAATAATCACCAAATTGATTGACCGAAACCAGAGTGTCGTGCCCATGGGATACTCGGCGACGCTAAGACTTGATCAAGAATTGGAGGAGCTGCACAGTACTCAAGATCCTAGTTGGTGGTCGCCGGAGCTTGTTCCTGGTAATTCGGTTGAGGAACATTTCGATCGACTCCAAGCTCACTTTTTCCATCACCAAACCAAAGTCATGCTGCATATGCCGTTCATGCTACGATCATCTACCGACAAGAGATACCAGTACTCTCATACCGCAGCCTTGGATGGCGCACGAGAAATGATTCAAGTCTACAAGGCTCTCCGAACCAACAAGGCCGTGGGTCCGTTCATCTGCAAACTGATCGATTTTCAATCTTTTACCGGGGCCATGCTGTTGCTGCTCAACCTGTGCGGCTATTCCCAACAACACCGTGGCAACAACGCCCAGCAGACGGACCTCGAGCAAGACCAGAAGGACTCGGACCTCATCGACCAGACGATCGCGCTCCTGAAGGACGCGGCCAAAGAACCCGGTGGCGTTGTCGCAGCCCAGAGCGCTCAAGCACTAGAAATGCTTGCTCGTGTCCGTCAGGGCTGCGACGACGAAGGCGCTAAAGAATGCAGGGGCGAGACTTGTCAAGTCTCAATCCCCTACTTTGGCACCATTTCTATTGGAGTAGGCAAGCACTTCGTCCCCATCAAACCAGGCACATATGCGCAACGGACACAGGATGCCCGCCTGAATACGACAGTCTCAGCGGGCGGTGTGTCCACCAACTCGGGACTGCCGACTCCTCCATCTGTCGCTTCAAACAGCACACAACATTCACCCTTGTCGACGACGATTGACCAACATCATTCGCAATACTCTCAAGCCCGTCGGCCGCCCGTCTACGAATCAGCGACCTACATCGCTCCGGGCCTTGACCAAGCCTGGCCCGACACAGCCGACGACCCGTTCATCACCTTCGACTCGTTTATGGCCTTCCCACCCCAACCACCTACAGACTTCCCCTCGGCCGGCGGCGTCAGTATATCCTCGGGCAGCGGATCGGGCTTCACTCCACAACCATCCCACTCCCTCCAAGGCCAGAGTCCGTTCAACACTTCGAGCGCGACGCCATCACAGAATGACTTGAACGCTTCGGTCGCTGCAGGCGGGCTGGGCGGGATGGTGACGCCAGGGTTTCCATTCGGTAGCTTCCCCTTCGGACAGAGCGGGGTGGATCTGGACCAAGGCTGGAATTGGTTCGGTGTTGACGCGCCTGTTATCCCGTGATGGATCCAAGAAAGCAAAAGGAAATATAAGAAAAGAGCTCTGCTTGACGAAACTTCACATGAGAGATGTTTATATAGCTAGCTAGCTAGCTACAGTATGTAGGGCCCCTTTCGGCCCCAAATATTCGCCAATAATAGACTTCGGAGCTTTCTCCCAGCTATATGTCTCCTTCAAGAGATAGCCTTAGGCCTCAAAAGATAGTATTAAAATCGGTATCAACATCAGCATCGATATCACAACTTTGCCAACGATTTTGTCGTCATCTTTCCACTCTTCCTCTTGAGGTGCGCTCTTTCCGCGGGTATTCTATCTATACCATTTGCTTGTATACCTATCACTATATCTACAATGTACATCTAATATATCCGCCTCTAGAGAATATAGGAGATAGAGGAGCGGAAGAGAGGAAGAGGAAGAGGAACAGGATAGTCAATATCATAGATATTTCTGGAGTTTCAAAGTATATATCTAACTCCATGATCCTCGCCGAGCTATGCTCAAAGCGCTCAAGTATATATAAAAACTCCAGACCTCCCTGCCGAGGTGTGTATATGCAAAAAAAACTAGTACCAAATATAGACCCATGTATCCCAGTTGGGCGCCTCGAAAACTCCTCCGCAAATGCATAGAAAACACAAAAGTTTCCCGTTATTCGCTTCGGTCCGGTGTCCAAATTTGGGGTATCTCAATGCTGTGCCGATTTTTCGGTCTGTGTATCCTTTTTTCCTATTCCCGGTCATAATCCTGCTGGCTCTCTATTTTCCCTTTTTCCCTGTTGTTTCTATATTAAGTAGGTACGGTCCTTCCCGTCTTGTACAATGTTCTCGTCATGTGTTGTCATTCCTTCGTAAATGTGGTGCTGTGTATCCCTCTTTGTTTCCGAGGTATCAAATATCGCTGTGTAGTGCAAATTCGTGCGTCGTCGAGGAGATGCGTGATGCTCGATCTTCTCGTGTTGGTGGCTCGGCCAAACTTCGCTGATGATTGGTCCCTTTGTCTGTTCGGATCATCTCCTCCAGCCATTGCCGCCACGGTTTCCCCAGCCAGCGCCGTTGTTGCCGTTGTCTGCACTGCTCCAATCGCCCCAGGTGTTTGAACCACCACCGTTTGCTCCCCGGTCTCCACCGTTCCATTGCCCATTATCGCCGGCGGCGGTATTCCAAGGTGCACCGCTCCAGGCTCCTGATGAAGGCCACGGAGAGGATGCGGATGGAGCCGCGGTGATGAATGTGGATGGCTGAGAAGTCTGGATCGCCGCAGGGGTAAAGGTTGGGCTGGTTACGGCTGGTTGAGTTGAAATGCTGGTCGCTTCCACGGATTGTGTCGAAACCACTGTCGCACTCGACGAAGTGATTGTGAGCAGGGTTGTCACAGATTGGGTGGCAGTGATCGAGGTGGCAGTGGACGCGGGAGTCGAAGTGGACGTTGAGGCTGAGGTAGCGGCGCCGTTCTCGGTATACACTTGTAGACCGTTGATGAGCCAGTACATATCCTGAAAAGCCGAGGGGTTGTTTTGCACGTAATCTTGGCATGTAGATGCCAGGGGCGCGCAGGTGGCGTCGGTGGTCCATACCGATCCCGCCCAGTCGCCACAGAAAGTAACGTCAAAGACCAATTGTTGATCCTTAACCATGTCGTCAATGTCGCAACCACCGGTGAATTGGCCTTGGGGCAGCCCCCAGTTTGATGTATCTGGGTTACCGCTTGAGATATCCGAAGGGATGGCGTCCCTGGAGAAGAACCAGATGCTGATGGCCTCGCTTGTCCATTCGGTCGCGTAGACACCACCGCCGTTGGAGTTGAAGCCGTTGCCAAAGCTGGTTGTGTCTTGACTGCGCATGGAACAGCCGGCGTTGCTGGGCTGATCAGGGGCAGTGGTATCACAGTCGTCGGTCTCGAGCGTGCCAGAGAAAGCTCCTGTGTTTGTGATCGTGCATCCTGGATCCGTGTGCATTGCCATGTTGTTTGAAGTTTGGCTGTTCACTCCTTCGATGATGTCGACCTCCCCATTGTTAGGCCAGTCCGGCCCCAGCATCCAAAAAGCGGGCCAAGTGCCACATGCGCCGGCTGGCATGTGTGCAAGATCAAGGATAATGAGGCCGTGATTGTATGATTTCTTGGTGCTTAGTCGCAGACTGTCGCGACCCCGGCCAGATGCAACGTTGGTGGAATCGACGCCCATGTAGACAGTCCCGTTGTCAACTTTGTACAGGCCAGAGCTCTCTGCTTCGTCGTAGGAAATGTAGTTCACATAGCCGTTTGTCGGGTCATTGTCCTTTGCCAGAAGTTAGTCTTCGCCAGTGTTTAACAGGAGTGATTGTGACATACCGTAAAGAAATCAAACATGTCTGCAAATTGTGAGGAGGAATAGTCATCTTCTAGAACGTAGGCCGCGGAAGCAGCTGATGCCAGGATGGCAAGAGTAGTGACTGAGACGTGCATTTTGCAGTGTCGATTTCGTGTCGATGACGCGAAAACAATTGATGTCTTCTTGGAAGAATGGAATGAGGAAAGCCATCCTGAAACCAAAGCACAGCGCCATTATATAATGGTGCTTCCATCTTCGAAACGAGTGGTATAACAAAAGAGGCTGGTAAAGACTGACGAAACGCAGGCAAGTACGAGGCGAGGAGCAGAAATCGGCGCGCTGGGGGAGGCTTTTGTTGACGACTTACCAGCCTGAGCGAGGTGGGTTAGACACGTGGGCAGACCAGATCGACCAACAAGAGCAGAGAACAGGTATAGAAGTGGAGAGAGATGTGCCATGGCAACGATGCAGTTGGTTCCTGCTCAGACCGAGGCCCGGTCTGGCTGTGTTGCCATTGGAGGCTGGGAAACCTGCCAGGCGCAAACCTTGAAGATTGGCGAGAGGCCGGGGGATCGACGCTAAGGTCAACAAGCGAGCCCAGGCTCGCTATAACACCAGCACGATGGCGCTAGGTTCGCGAGCCAGTCCATTCTGCCAATGGCAGAGCGCGTCGCAGTCGGTGGCCAGGCGTAAAACACGCTTCTAGTGTTGGTGCAGTTGAGGCAGGATGTCTCAGGCCATAATCCGCCACGAAGGGTGGCTCAGGGAGCCTGTCACTCACCTCTTCCTGAAGATTGTGGGTCGAGCCCATCTCGCAGACACCCGGAGGTGGGAGCTTGTCATATCTTGGCCCATGTCTTGACTCTTATCAGAGCGTTCCTCCATCCAAGACCATGTCAGAACGGGAAATCACATCAAGCCCAGCAGTGGCTATCTCTCAGCACGAACTCTAGAATCGGCCAGGGACCTACGAGGTCCTCGAGACGAAATCTGAGACATGTCGCGGGAGGTGGGAAACCAGCCGGCAGCTAGGATGGTGAGCTTTGTTATCAGCGCAATCAGGTGTCGCGCTGAGGTGGTTTTCGCCCTAGGGGAGGATGGACGAGGGTCGTGAGGAAGGTCTGTTTGGGAGATGGAACCTTGGAAGATTGAGAAGAAGCTGGAGCTCGAACAGAGTTTGGCAGGAAATTAAGCGCTAGTCCCGAAGAGGAAAGGCGGAAAGAGAGACGCGCCCAGCCCAAAGTCAGCCGCCCAAATAGTTGCGGCGAGAGCATGAAGATCACAGAGATAGACCAGATATTGATTATTTTGTTTTCAAACGCCTTCGTAACCGTCATCAAACACCTAGAATTACATCTCTGGAGTATGGATCCTTTTTTCTTGCCCGCCTCTTGCCTTTATTGACATCCCGCCATCCCCTCACGCCGTCACGCCGTCACGAAGTCCGTTTCCCCTGCGGTCTCCATGGGTGTGAGCCAAGTGATTTGATCTGTGCGTGTCCATGATCCCGTGCCGAAGTAGAGAGCCAGTTCACTCGGAGATTGTTTACACCTTGGAACCTTCTCGCGGGACATATGTGTTGGACCACGTCTCCCGGTTCGGCTTGAGGAATCTGGCCAATCCCAGAAACGGCGTGTTGATGGGTGATTCACCGGTGAACAGGAACACGTCGTATAGGAAGCCACCAAATGTGCATCCGAAGAAAGGCGCAACCATAGGTACCTGCAGAAACGGTCAGCAGAGAGCACCAACGTGCTTGTGCCGTGGCCGATCTTACCCAGAAGTAATAGTTGCCAGCGTGCCACACATGTGGACCGTACCCAAGCATATACGACATCAATCTCGGGCCAAAGTCTCGGGCCAGATTGATTGCATAGCCGGTTTCCCAGCCGCTGTTGACCGGGAGAGTTAGTGTGCTTGCTTTCTCACATTGGGTCCAGCACAACTTACAAGCAAGCGCCGATGCCGAAAATGACGAAGAACAGCCCCAAGGGCGTCAGGTTGCCAGCTCCCAGATTGCCGTCGTCCTTAAGAGCGTAGATACAGAACATAAGGATAGAGCTAGCGATGAACTCGGAGAAGAACTGTCCAGTCTTGGTCATAAACGCCGCCGGGTAGGTGCAGAAGATTCCCGCCGTTGCAGTGTCTGAATAGCCCGGGACAGTTCGAATGTGGGCGCCGCCTTCAAAAACGTCGATGGCCGATTTATAGTTGGCGTACACCACGCCCGAGGCGCAGAGGGCCCCCAACGTCTGAGCAACCATGTAGACGGGGAACTTCCGCCACGGAAACTTGCGATACACGCAGTTGGCGAACGTTACTGCAGGATTTAAATGGGCTCCTGAGATGCCAGCGGTGTACACTCCCAACATAACGCCCAAGCTGTGGGAAATTTAGCCTTTTTGACTCCCAAAGGTGGATTTTTCACTCACCCCCAGCCCCAGGAGATCGACTGGTAGTCACCTTTGGTATCGTTGCTGAGAACGACTTGAGCTACAACGCCGTCGCCAAAGAGAATTAGGATAAAGACGCCAAAGAACTCGGAGAAGGGTTCCCGCATGTAATGCCGAAACCTGCTCCAGGCCAGATCTGGCTCGGATTGGACGACATCCTCCTGGGGGATTTTGTGATCGACCAGAGGACCGTGTTCCGCGTAGGGGGGCTGGCCGTCGACCGTGGTATGGCGGTATTCATGCGGGTGGGAGAATATGCCATGCTCATTGTGGGTGGCGGGAGGGGTAGAGGAGAGGGATTCCTTCTCGAGGGCCATGATGTCGGCGTCCTTGGCTTTGGACGAGTTCACAGGAAGGGGAAGTGAAAGAGACTGAATTTGATCAGAAGCAGCCATTAGAGGTCAGCATCCCCAGAGCGAGGCGGACCAGAGTCTTATCAAGTTTTCGGCTTTACCTTGGGGCCCCAGTGAGTTGGTCACGAACCAGGGTGGGAACCGCATTGTGCGGACAGAAGCAGCCAAGTCCCAGTTCGGAGGCGGGCGGGTACCAGCCAGTCATGACGAGGGGAGGGATTGGAGACAATTTTGTTGCCATCGACAGGTGAGGTTGCATGCAGGGCGGAACCAGCTAGGTGGAGGTGATGAGGTACAAGAAAGCATGTATCACGCACGAATGGAAAGGGTGGTGGTCAAAGGATCTCGGGTCCACGAAGCCCGAAGGCGAGGTTTGCACTGGCTACTTAGCACTGGCTCTGGTCTGGCGGGAGGTCAGCAACAAAGTGGGAATCTGGAGAGTCTGGGGAGCCTTGCGGATGGCAAGGGAGGCGGACCGGGATGGGGAGGAGATGTGCGAGGAGGAGGAGGAGGAATCGCTTGCGAGGCGTACTCGGTACTTCCGGTAGTGTCATACAGAAGACTGGTGACTGGATGGATTCTTCATCTCGTACAGTACTTCCCACAGTCGTGCAGTGCGCAGGTTGTCATCTACCTAGGTATGTACCATGACTGCCATGACTGCGAACGTGACTTGTGGACTTGCGTGGACTGTGGATTGCGAGGCAAATAAAATGGACCAACGAGAGACTCGGCCCAGATCTGACCGAGGCTGACACTGTCTCTGTCTCTCTTCTCGACTCTTCTTCCTCTTCTTCCTCTTGCTACTCCTCCTCCGGTTCCTCGTACTCCAGTAATTAATGCCTTGTGCCTCCTCCCCAGCCCCCTCTTCCAACCCCAGTCAAACCTCTTGCTCGACCGCTGCTCCCCTTTGGGAACTGCTTGCCCACACCCACGCCTAGGTACGGACGCCGTACAACAGCTTGCTTATGATTAATCATCGCCATCTCAGTCCACCATCAGGTGCCATCATCATCATCACAGCAGCCTTTTACCAAGTTGACCTCCCTCTACTCGACCAAGTATTGCATGCCCTCCTTGATTGTCCTCGCTGTTTTGCTTCCGCTGGCCCCCCAGGACAACACGCCACTGCCGGGGATGCCTTCTTTGGTCTTAGGCACCAAACCTACCTAAGGTAGGGCCGGTAGATCTAGATCTCTGCCCAGGACACCAACCATCACAGCTCTGCACGTCGACACTTCTGCCATCCTCGTCACCGTCGTGGTTTAAAATAGTCATTTCCTGTCGAGTGTTCGCCAGGAGACTGGCCGGCTGTCGTGGTTGTAAACGTGGCAATCCATCCATACACATTCACAAACAGGTGTGCTATCGGCTGTACAAAATCCACCGAAAGACCGCACCAAGCGGCCAGACGGCGCGATCTGTCGTATATTATTCCTCTCATCATGCTACCCCGCAGAAGTTTCTGTTCCGAGTACCTCGTACTGGTCCAAGACACGGCGAGACGGTTGATGACGGCAAGGGGCCTGATGCCTGATTGCCACAATCCCTGTCACAGCCAGTGGTTCCCCTCCGCGCCGAGAAACCGCCACCGTGTCTTGCAGAAGCTCTGCCGTTTGCTACACATGCCCTTTATACGCTTTTCTGATGATGGTGCTCTGCTCAATGCTCAGCTCAGCCTCCGCACAGCTGCCGAGGGCTGCCGCCCGGATGAGAATCTTTTTTTCAGCTCCGGACCATTGGCACTGGGCCTGCTTGACGCTACACGAAGTCGATGTTGCACTCTTGTTGCTGTGCTAAAGAAAGCTGCCTGGTCAAAGTTACCCCCTCATTTGTTCCATCACGTTTGTATCAGCGCAGGTGGTTGGCCTGACGTGCATTAGCTGGGACGTAGTGCACGGGATCGATGCCCGTCTTGCATTTTCTCCTAGACCAAGCTAGGGCCTTATTTATTATTTCGTTGCGTCTCGGACCTGGCGAGCTGGATCGGCATGTCGCTGATTGAACCGAGTCCATCGACCAAGGAAGTCCAACGGTGCTCTTGCATGCTTGGCCCCCTCTCTGGAGAAGTTGATCACCACTGTTCCGCGTGGGCAAGCCACCGTCGCTCCCCCCCGAAAACCCCGGATTCCGCACTCGTACCAACTGACTTGACGGTTCTGCATCTCGGGGTCTGACACACCGAGCCCCAGCTTCGAGAAAGTGTCGAGTCCACCGAAAGTCAAAGCCCGCATCAGCAGACGTCTCGAGAGATAGCTTTTCGTCGACAAAGACTGATCATCTCTTTTTGCGAGCTCCATCCGAATCAAGGACAAAAGCAATTACCGAGCTTCTCCTCCCCTTTTTCGAAACAAATAATCCTACATCCCAGCTAGCAACATCGCAATAATTCTGGCTCTCGGGTTGATTGGATGTTGGCTACAATCAGGAACAAGATGGGCGACACCACCACGAGCAACAAGTCGCATGAGACCTTCATAGGCTCCATCGACCAGGGAACCACCAGCACCCGGTTTCTGATCTTCAATCGGCACGGCGAGGTGATTGCATCGCATCAGATCGAATTCAAGCAAATCTATCCGCATCCCGGGTAAGTCAGCAAAGTCCCCCCCCCCCCCACGGTTTTCCCCGGGTGTAAAGGAGACCAGAGGAAGACGAGATGATGGGTGGTGGTGCCATGTGTTTCTAATTTCACTCTCTATTATAGATGGCATGAGCACGATCCACTCGAAATCATTTCGTCGGTGGAGCAGTGCATCGACGGCGCCGTCAAGGACCTCGAGACCCAGGGCCACGCAAGTGCCAACATCAAAGCCGTGGGCATCACGAACCAGCGTGAGACAACGGTAAGGGACAAATCCCTTTTTCAATACCCCTCCCACACCCCCCTCTCCTCATCATCCAGTCGTCGCCTTTGGCTGGCTGAGCCAATCGTTTTCCCCCTTGAGGCCCCAAAAGTTGACTCGCCGTTCTGCTCCGGAAATTTTAGGTGGTCTGGAACCACGAGACAGGCGAGCCATTGTACAACGCAATCGTATGGACCGACACTCGTACACAGGCCCTGATCCGTAAGCTCAAGCACCGACTGGGATCGGATCAGCTGCAGCAACTTTGCGGTCTCCCACTGTCGACATACCCCTCCGTGGGCAAGTTACTATGGCTTTTGGACAACGAGCCCAAGGTGAAAGAGGCCTACGAGAAGGGCAACCTCGCCTTCGGCACCATCGACGCGTGGCTGGTCTACAAGCTCAACGGCGGGCCCAAGAAGAACGTGTTTGTATCCGACCCGACCAACGCCTCGCGGACCATGTTCATGAACCTCACGACGCTGGACTACGACGAGTCGCTCATTGACTTCTTTCGCCTGGATCAGACAAAGATCCATCTCCCCAAGATCACCCGGTCGTCGGATCCCGAGGCGTACGGGCGTCTAGAGGTGAGTGTGCTCAAGGGCGTCCCCATCACTGGCTGCCTGGGCGATCAATCCGCCGCCCTGGTCGGCCAAAAGGGGTTCACTCCCGGGTTGGCTAAAAATACCTATGGCACGGGTTGTTTCCTGCTGTACAACGTCGGTGAAAAGCCCGTCTTCTCCACCCACGGCCTCCTCGGCACGGTGGCCTACGATTTCGGCCCGGGAAAACGCATGTATGCCCTCGAGGGCAGCATCGCCGTCGCCGGGTCCAGCGTCAAATTTCTCGTCGATAATTTCGGCTTTGTCGAGTCCTCGAGCAAGATCAGTCAGTTGGCCGCCACGGTCGAGGACAATGGTGGCTGCGTCTTCGTCACCGCCTTCAGCGGCTTGTTTGCTCCGTACTGGATCGACGATGCGAGGGGAACAATCTGTAAGTTGCCAACAGGTCTCTCTGCTTTTATCAGTTTTCTCGATGCTGATTCGTTGTCTTAGACGGCATAACCGCCTACACGCAACGCGGACACATCGCGCGCGCCACCCTCGAGGCAACATGCTTCCAGACGAAAGCAATCCTCGACGCCATGGAGAAGGACTCGGGCGCTAAACTGGCCGAGCTCGCCGTCGACGGCGGCATGAGCAACTCTGATCTCACCATGCAGGTATGTGCACACGTTCACCATGTCACTCACCGCCTTTGTTGCGGGGGCTTTTTGGTCTATGCCATTGCAACTGCGGACATGGTCGATGCTAAATATCTGCTTTGTTTGTCGCAGACACAAGCGGACCTGATCCAGATCCCCGTGCGACGGCCACAGATGCGCGAAACGACAGCCCTGGGCGCCGCCATTGCCGCCGGGCTAGCCGTCGGGGTGTGGGACAGCATCGACGAGTTGAAGGACATCAATGTCGAGGGGAGCACCGTCTTCAAACCGCAGCTGCATGAAGCAAAGAGCAAAGAAATGTTCGAGCGATGGGAGAAGGCGGTCCAGATGTCCAAAGGTTGGTCGTCATGAACAAAAAAGGAGACAGACAAGCCGCATGCATTGATGGGGAAAATACTAAAGTCTTACATTATTGCGGCTGGTGCGGCCGCGACGCCACTACCCACCAATTGATGCATGGATGAGTTTGTTGACGGCATCATTGCCCACTGTTCGATTCCTTCCTGCGCGTCGTGAATGCTGCACGTCTGGCTGGAACCTCTCTTGTCGTCCAGCCCCCGTAAAACCAGAGTATTCGAACGATCTGGCCGTCGCCAGGTTTGTGACTGACCGACTCTTGCAGGAGCACTGGTGCTGACAGGATCATTGGTGTCGACATGATGCAGACGGCGCAGCAGCTAGCGGCTCTTGTGGTTGGGCATCTTTCGACGCCAGCGCGGGCTCCGAGACCTCATATTGGTAGAAGAGCAAATATCGGCGTTCTCTCAGGCAGTAGATCTCGCAAGCATCGGAACTCTGTGCGGGCTTGATCTTCGTCATTACATCTGTGATACGCCAGTATGTCGCAGTGATTCTCAGGAGAAGTTCCATGTTTGCGTTTTGCGGTGCCGGCCGATACCCTGCATTACATTTGTTTTCGCGGTATTTCACCCTCTTTTGGGCGATGGGGTCGGCTATTCGGCACTGCTCGAAGACCGCATTACCCCAAAAAGCCCACCGCTTCAGCAGAAAACTCGAGACGAGTTTGTGTGATGCAGCCGCCCTTTGGAGACACAGTCCTGCATGCAACAATGTCATTCTTTCGTCCTCTTGCTCAATTCCCTTATCTTCCTCAGATCCCCGGAGGAAACCCCAGCAACAACCTCTTTTCCAAAAGCCGACAGCCCGGTCCGATGCTTGTGAACCAAAATACCCATCATGTCGAGTCAAAATATATCGGAGTACGAGAAAGACGTCATAGAGAACCGTCCCGACGGTGAAAAGACTTTTGAACAGACAACGTTCCCGGAACTCAAACAAGTCGCCAGCAATGCTCTGAGCAGGATCACCTCACATCTCAGCACTCGAGATATTGTCGATCCTGGGCCACCGCCAGATGGAGGCCTTAAAGCATGGACCCAAGTCGCCATGGGGTTTGTTGTTTGCTTTTGCACCTGGTATGTGGAAGTCCGGAGACCCCCAGAGGATGGCCGGAGCCTTGCGCCGAACAGACTGCTCATGCTTTCATCAGGGGCTACATCAATTCATTTGGTGTCTTTCAGACCTACTATACCGAGACCTTGGGTGAATCCCAGTCAACCATCTCCTGGGTGGGTTCCGTTCAACTGTGGATCGTTTTCTTCGTCAGCGCCTTCTCCGGTCGGGCGCTGGATGCCGGGTTATTCATTCCGACTTTTCTCATCGGATCGATCGTTCAAATCATCGGCATCTTTATGACGAGTCTGTGCAAGAACTTCTGGCAGCTTGTACTGGCCCAAGGCCTCTGTACCGGCCTGGGGAGCGGAATTTTCTTCTGCCCAACCATTGGACTGGTGACGACATATTTCAGGAGGAATCGAGGAGTTGCCGTCGCCATTGTGTCGAGCGGTAACTCGCTGGGTGGCGCCATATACCCCGTGATTGTGCGCCAGCTCCTGCCAGAAATCGGATATGCATGGACGGTCCGTGTGCTCGGTTTCGTGAATGTAGGATTGCTTTCGTTGGCACTGGCATTCATGCGGCCGAGATTGCCTCCTCGAAAAGCCGGTCCGGTGGTCGAGTGGAGAGCATTCCGTGAAGTGCCGTATGTCTTCGTCCTCTTGGGCATGTCGCTCGTCTTTGGGGGACTCTTCTTCTCCTACTATTACATCGCCTCCTTTGGCCGGACCATCTTAGACATGAGTTATAAAGATTCACTCACCTTGCTCATCATCTTCAACGGAGCCGCTGTACCCGTTCGACTTGTGACGGGCTTCATTGCGGATCGGTTCATGGGGCCGCTAAACGCCATGGTTCCGCTCCTTTTCATCAACGCGCTTTTTGCATTTACCTGGATTGCAGTCAAGTCGGAATCAGGCATGTACGTGTTTGCAACGTTTTATGGATTTTCGGCAGGAGCCTTTCAGTGTCTCTTTCCGACGACGGTAACAAGTTTGAACAACGACTTGAGTAAGAATGGGGTCAGGATGGGTATGGCTTTCTCACTGTTCAGTTTTGCGGGACTTGCCGGACCTCCCATCGGAGGGGCGCTGTTGACGACGAACGGTGGCGGGCGAGGCGGATATCTGGTTGCACAAATATGCCTTGGAGTACTTACCGGGGTGGGTGCTTGCTTGATGTATGCCGCCCGTGTGTATAAAGTTGGCTGGAGTTGGAAGATCAAGTGTTAAGACAAGGTCGAAAAAGGCGCTTGGGAGAGGACAGGAGCCCGTCACGGTGCCACAATGACTCGACGGCTTCATCAACTCGTCTGGCCCATCAGTTGTCTTCGAGATAACAGTGATTATCCGAGGTCCTAACTTTTTGAGACCGTACCAAGTCAGCCCTCAGCAAGGTAGGCAAGCCTCACGCGACATTTCGAAGCTCTTAGGGGATAGCTAGGGCATGTGCTGTGAATCATGGTAAATGATCACAGTCTGTCCTCTCTGTCGCTCGGCGGCTGTAGGATGTGTCACAGAGTTTCGCAGTTGGCCGAAGGTGAACAGATCAACTGGGCGAAGAGGCACCAAGATGGCGAAATAGCACCAAGATCCATTGTATTAGTATTCGACATGGACAAAACGACGTTCTCCGGGGTTCTTGGAGGAGGTTTCGACGCGAAAGTGTGCAAGCTGAGGAGGGAAGAAAGGTAAAAGAGAATGGTTGGCGTGGGTAGTGATCGACTTTGTTTGATGGCGGCATCTGAGGTGAGATGACGCGAGCACACAATGTCCCGCTGGTGCTCGTTGTGCTCGAGGGTTGCTAGATTTGAATCCTACTCATCTGTTTTAGTACATAGAAGCCATCAAGGATGGAGTATAGAGACCGGATGAAAAAAAGAGGAGGACACGATGATGGCGGCGATAGGAGCAACTTGATTGTTGTATGGAGGCTGCGCTGCATGCAGGCAGGCAGGCAATGCAACCACCACTGGGTGACAACCTCGCCAACTACCTCAGGGCCTGCAAGATCTGATGCCAAGAATCGTCAAACAGCACCGAGTAATTATTGATCGTCACCCACAGCTTCACTATCTTCCATCTGCTTGTGTTGTTGATGCTTTTGCTTTTCCTTCTCCCTACGGTTTCATATCCATCCTGCTGTTTTCCTTTTTCCTTTTGATGCATTGACTTCCCGTGCCTGAATAGTCGCTGCTAGCACCGGGCTTGTCCAATCCTTCTCTGCGCGTCGTTGCTACACGTGGGCCCTAATTGTCATGCGAGATCGATTCTTCATCGGCACCAGCCTTTCCACCGTCATTTCTCTGGGTCTCTTGGGCCTGTAAGCACTGAAAGAGCTATGAGGCAGCGAGGTCCCCTAGGTAAGATCTGGCAGCTCCATGGAAGATCTACCTCGCATGGGTTCTGAAAAAGAGGTATATGACCTCTTCGTCCTCCGTCACGATGGCTTCGGTCGAAGACATTCGTCCCAAAGCATTCATCGAGGTCCCGTCTTTGTCATCATGATCCTGGTACCGTTGGCGACTCTCCTTGTATTCTTAGGCTGGAGGTAAGCTGCCAATGCCCCAGACACGATCTCTATGCCTACCCATGTGCTCATCTCAAAACACAAAGCGGGGTCCAGGTAGGAAGCTCGACGCCTCCAGTATCAGATTCGTGCGACACCGTAGCGGCAGGTTTCCAATGTCAACCCGCGATCTCTCACTACTGGGGCCAGTACTCGCCCTACTTCACTGTGCCCTCCGATATCTCGGCAGAGATTCCTGATGGCTGCGAAGTTACGTTCGTTCAGATCTTGTCCCGCCATGGGGCCCGAGACCCGACCGCATCCAAGACCAAGCAATACAACGACACCGTCAAACAGGTCCAGGCCAATGTGAAGAGCTTCACGGGACCCTATGCCTTTATCGCCAATTATTCGTATACCCTCGGCGCGGACCAATTGACGACTTTCGGCCAGGACCAGATGGTCCATTCGGGCACCAAATTCTACAGTCGGTATCGCTCTCTCGCAAAATCCCTCGATCCCTTCGTCCGTTCCTCGAGCGAGAACCGAGTTGTAGAGTCGGCCCTCAATTGGACACAGGGCTTTCATGCGTCGAGGCTGGCCGACAAGTCTGCGGATGTCGACTTAGGCTATCCGTATCCGGTTATTCTGCAGTATGAAGGTGATGGTTTCAACAACACGTTGAACCATGCTCTCTGCACCGAATTCGAGAACGGCACAGATAGCGAGATTGCTGATGACGCCCAAGATGCCTGGGCGAAGATCTTCATCCCTCCGATCCAAGCCCGTCTCAACAGTGGTCTGCCTGGTGCCAATCTCAGCATTGGCCAGACAGTGGACATTATGGACCTTTGCCCTTTCAACACCGTTGCCAATGATGACGGCACCATTTCTCCATTCTGTGCCCTCTTCACCGAATCCGAATGGCACAGTTACGGCTACTATCAGACACTGGGCAAGTACTACGGTTATTCTTACGGCAACCCTCTGGGCCCGACACAGGGTGTGGGATTCGTCAACGAGCTTATTGCGCGGCTGACCAACACCTCTGTCCAAGACTACACGTCTACAAACCATACTCTGGACGACAATCCAGCCACATTCCCCTTGGGCCGGAAACTGTACGCGGATTTCAGCCACGATAATGATATGACGGCCATCTTTTCCGCACTAGGCCTTTACAATGACACGCTACCATTGCCCAACACGACGATCGTGGAGGCCAGTGCAGCTGGCGGGTACAGTGCTGCATGGACCGTTCCGTTTGCTGCTAGAGCGTATATTGAAAAACTGCAGTGCCACGGGAAGTCGGAGGAGCTGGTTCGCGTGATTGTGAACGATCGTGTCCAGCCGCTATCCTCTTGCCAGGGTGATGGCCTCGGTCGTTGCACACTGGCTGAGTTTGTGGATAGTCTGGGCTTTGCAAAGATGGGTGGATACTGGGGGCAATGCTTCGTCTGATGACATCGGTTGACCAAGATTGAGCAATCTATGGATGGAACACATTCCAACGCTTGTCTTGGACATGTCTGCCCCTCAAAGTGTCAGCATAGGACCTCCTGAAGATTTCTAGTTATAGCAGTGTCACTCATTGGCTCAACCAGAACCACTGTGACTGTTCATCTACGCCTGCACAAGAGTTTCTGGTGAGCTGAGTCAAGTGCCAATCAAGAAATTATCGTGACAGCGAACTTCGGGGCGGGCCGAGACGTGCTCGTAGCGAGGGAAAGGAAGCAAAATGGTTGACTGCTTCGAATGCTGCGGATCGCTATAACCGTCAAAGTGACTGATATGGCCTTCGATGAGAGATCAGGACCAAACGGACGAGGATGACATCTGATAATGAACCTGACGCGAAAAGTATCGTAGGGAAATCGCTGATCGATGTCTTTCTCGAGGGGGCTTAGTGCCTTTGCGGCCGACCTCGGTCACCCCTCTTGATAAAGACAATGCTCCCGCTTCACATGATGTTTGATATTTGTTCACCAGCTCCAGAGGCCAACCTCGAGTGAGCCGCCGTCCAAACAGTCGTCTCTAGGGATCGATTCGTTGTCTCGAGCCACTGACTCGCCGAGATCCCAGTCAAGGCTCTGCTTTGTCTATCACGATTGAACCCATCGAGGGGTGGAGAGCACTTATCGCCCGCCAGTGCCAGGCTTGACGACGGTATCCAGCATGTCTCCTGTCCGGAGCATCGAGAATGTCAAAGAAGACTACACCTATATCATCTGGTGGGTGCGATTGATCTTTTGTGAAGCCGTTACCACTTCACCCTTCTACTACGCCAACTAATGCCTTTTTTTCTCTCTTTTCCCCCACCAGTGGAGGCGGCACTTCAGGATGCGTGGTTGCCGGCAGGCTGGCCGAAGCCTTCGCTAGCAGCCCCTCGTCGGATGTCTCCATCCTGATCATCGAGGCCGGGCCGGACTCGACAGGTCATCCGCTCATCACCATGGTGGGCGGCCTCTTCCAAGCCATGGGCGGCGAGCTGGACTGGGCCCTCGAGACCGTGCCCCAGGAACACCTCGACAACCGCGTGCTGGCACTCAATCGTGGCAAGTTTCTGGGTGGCAGTAGCGGCTTCAACGGGACGTTGTGCATCCGCGGATGCAAGGCAGACTACGACGACTGGGAGCTCGAGGGCTGGAGCGGAGAGGAGATGTTTGGTTACATGAAAAAGGCAGAGACGTTCCACGGCAAAGTCTGGTTCAAAGCGGCAGAGGGATACCATGGGACCGATGGACCCCTGCACGTCGAACCACATGACACGGCCCCGATTTCCAAACACGTCTTGGAATCTCTGCAGGACAAGGGCTTGCCGCTCGTAGACGACCTGTTCACCACGGGCCAGGCAGCGCATGCCTGCGGTCATGTTCCTCGGACGGTGCATAACGGCGTGAGAACTTTTAGTACAGACTACCTCAAGGGCCACGAGGATCAAGTGGATATCGTGGTAAATACCGTGGTTGACAAAATCGTCCTTGAGCACGTTGGAGGGGACGTTGTGGCGACGGGCGTCGAGGTGGTCGATAATTCTGGGAAGAGGAGGGTGCTGAAAGCTGGTAAGCAAGTCGTATTGTCTGCAGGTAAGTATTTTATTCAGCACTCGCATTCAGGTTCACTGGGTTCCTAATGCAAGGCAACAGGTGCGTATTGCTCGCCGACCATTCTGCTGCGCTCTGGCATCGGGCCGAAAGAAGAGCTCGCTCAGTTCAGCATCAACTGCATAGTCGACTCTCCGGGCGTGGGCAAAAACTTCCAAGACCACCTGGCAAGCTATGCTTCCCATCCTTGCCAGATCACGCTTCTCTAATCATGCCTAAGGTTGTATTTGTCCCGTACGAGGTCACGCAGCCGAACCTCACCAACGACCGATTCATCCACCACGCCAATGGCTTCGCAGACTCTCTGTCAACGTACCAGAGCTCTCGATCTGGCTTCTTTTCCACGTTCCCCTTTGGCGTCTTCGCGTTAGCGCGACTGGAGGACGAGCTGAACTCGTCCGCCCTGTGGCGGGAGCGGTCCGCGGCGATGCCGGGGACGACACGAGACGCTGCCAATCTGACACCGCAGCAAGCCCACGTCGAATACATGCACACCGAGTTGTATTCGGGCCACGTCCACGGGTATCCCATTCCCTTGGATGGGAAGCACGGCTTCGAGATGATGACGCTGCTGTTTAGCCAGCAAAGCCGCGGCACCGTGACACTTCGCTCCACGGACCCGCACGACAAGCCCGTCATCGATCCTCGCTACCTGTCCGACCCGCTCGATCTGCTCATGTTGGCCGAAGGCGTGCGCTTCGCCCACTCCATCGTGACGTCCGGCTCCGGCACGAGGGACATCGTCGCCCCAGGCGTGTGGATGGCAGGTCCCAAGTACGCGGCCCTGGGACCCGAAACCAACAGGGAGGACTGGGAGCCGTATGTGCGGCAGTACAGCGCGACGGCTCACCACCCGGCAGGCACGTGTCGAATGGGGAAGGACGGCGATTCGATGGCGGTCGTGGACGAGAAGCTGGCGGTCAGAGGCGTCAAGGGGTTGATGGTCGCGGACTGCAGCATCATGCCGAGTCTAAACGGCGGACACACACAGATGCCGGCGTATGCAATTGGGGAGAAGGCTGCAGAATTGCTTGTCAAAGCGTCGGACACAAAGGTATAGACGACCGTCTCATGACTTGTGTCGAGCTGTTCCCTCGTTGGAACAATCCCAGAGCGAATGAAGTACCGATTGGATAGAGAAAGGCTCTTGAGTAGAACTTGCCTGCTTTTTCTCCGTCGTGGATGCACTTCTCGGCTACACTCTTGGTGCAAATCTTGATCTCACATACCTCTCAGAGGGCTTCCATACCGGCAACAAACCGTAGTATACTCCCAACCCCTTTCCTACCATATCACCGAATTTTCCAGCTTCAACCCAAGCATGCCTTTCCCCTTCCATGGTGTGTCCTGACATTGTGGTGGCCAGACTCTGCGAGTAGGAGCTAGGAGCTCAAAGCTCGTTGTCACATGGATCATCTGGTGTGATTGCCATTATCAGGGCCATTTCTGCATTTGGCTCGCCAGTATGCTCCCAAGAGCAGGCCCACAGGGTCTGGTACAAAGGACAATTTCTTGCATATATTTTATTCTTTCCAAATTTCTGTCACACCAAGACCCCCTTACCTCGACAAGGGCGAAAATCGAACCGAAATCCGACGACTCTCAGTCCAGGTCCTGTGCAGGTCAAACTGGCACCGGGCTAGCAGGCAGCAGGACCTCGATTCGAATCCTATACTTCGCTCACCTCGATTACACACACACACACACACCAAAAAAGGAATCCAGGGTCTGTCAGGTCAAACTAACACCGGGTTAGCAGGCAGCAGGACCTCGATTCGAACGACCTCTCCTCCTCCGACGACCTCCCTGGACTCAACTTATAAATCTTCGCAGTATAACCGGCCGAGAAAAACCAACCCCGAAAGGGGTGAGTTTCGCTTATCACGAACCAGAGTTGAGCTGCTTCATGATAAGTTTTTGTCCCTGCGCCAGATTGTTCACATGGCGCTGTAAGTGATCACCACCCTCATAGAGACGAATACCCTGTCACATGTACCAATATGATTGAGCGAGTCGCTTGTAGATCTATTTCGACGACAGGTTGCTGACTTGCGCGACCTCGGTAAACACTGTCCGGGGTATTCGGGATTCGGTATGTGCGTGGAGCAGTATTAATTTATTTCTTACAAGTACTAACAAGTAATCCAGTAGAGGCTAGTGAGACTCGCTCAGAGGCTTCGCTTAATAATGTCAGCAAGCTTCTGCCCTCAGGATGCCGCGTCTACCACTCAGACAAAGCACACTATTTGTTCTCGTATGGCACGCTCATCCTTCTCCCCCCTTCGCTGTGTAGCGCATCCGATAAGCCGACGCATCCCCAATAACTGACCCGCCTTAGATCGGTCGATCCCACCCCCGGAGAGTTCTCCAGGCAAAGAGAAATTGTTCTAGCTACAGGGGCAGGGAACAAAGTTTGTCCAGACACTTGGTCACCCAAAAGCCTAGTTGAACATCTCTGGTATCAGAGTACACCGACATATCATCTGATCGCACACCTTTTCCATCGAAATGAGGAATATTGGCTATCACGGTCGAATGTCAGTGAACAATTAGCGGCGGACAATGCATCATGGATGGCTCGGGCGACTTCACGTTCCCCGTACCTGGTCAGAGCTCGCAGAGACAGCCAAATCGCCCCGAACCTCGAAGGACCAATCGCGCGTGTGTTGAATGCACAAGAAGGAAAATAAAATGCGATGGCACTCTACCCTGCCAAAACTGTCGAAAGCATTCTCTGGAATCAAGGTGTAGTTACAGAAAGCGACAGCGGAGAACAAATCCCTCTTGGAAGTGAGTCTGGGTATCTCGTGGCGAGGGCACCGTCTGACTGCTCGCTGTATAGAACAATAGACCAATTGAACGAGGCTCTGAATGCCCGCAACCAGATCATCAAGCAGCTTTTGCCCGCAGTCGACTTCGACAGCCTCCCCGGCCTGTCTCGCGAGAACATCATCCGACTGATTAGCAATGAGGTTGATACCCAGACACCTTCACCCATTGCCGAGAGCCGTGTCGCCACCGAGGTCGTCGAAGTCTCACAATCACACGACGATGTCGCAGCTGAAGAAGAATGGAATGAAGCTCAGAACGAGGAAGGACCCGAACCCCCGGTTGGCGATGCTGTCAACGGCCTCACCATCCACCAGCGTCCGGGCTCCTGCTCGCGCATCTCCTCCACTGGTGCTTTCCTGCATGTTCTTTTCAGTGTCTGCCCCCCTGCAAAACAAAAGTTCTTGGATCTCGGGCAATCGGCCTTCCAGAAACCCAAGCAACTTGTCCTTCGGGTCTCAAGCAAAGAAGGCCCTCAAGCCACACAAAATGTCAGCCCTGTATCCTCGACACTCTCGTCCTTGTCGTCTTCACAACAGATAGCAGTCGACGCGTATTTCGAGCAGATCCACGCCCTAATCCCCATGGTGGATGAGGCTCGCTTTCGTGATGAGTTCTCTAGCCAAGAACGCACAGACGACGGGTGGAAGGCGCTTTCAAGCATGGTCCTCGCATTAGGTTCCATTGCGGCAGGAGACGATCAATCGCACTTCGCTTACCACGAGAGAGCACGGAACGTCCTTGGTTACAACATATTTACCTCGGGAAACCTCGAAATGCTTCAGGCGCTGGTTCTCTTGAGCGCGCTGTACTTGTACTACATCCATTCACCAAACACCGCCTTCTTAGTTATGGGAACCGCCTTCCGGATGGCTATCGCCATTGGCTTACATCGTGAACCAGCTAGAACGACAAAACTCGGCCAGACGCCCGAGGAAGAAGCATTGGCATTGTCTCGAGCTGAAGTTAGACGAAGAACTTGGTGGTGTCTGATCGCCGCAAACGCCTGGCAAGGACTGTTGTTGCATCGTCCTCGTGTTGGAAGATGGGATCCGCTGACAATGGACACGGCTTGGCCTTCTACGACATTCTCTTCGATCCTTGCGCGGCCGGAGAGCGTTGCACGGCAGAGGCACGGTGAGTCTGAGGACAGGGATTGGCATGGCATTGCACTCCGCGTGACTGCCGAATTCTGCATCATCGCCCAAAGGATCGGGGATCGCATGGCACAGTTGTCATACATTACACCCCGGGAGATATTCGCATTCAGCGACGAACTCGAGATTTGGAGCAAATCCCACCATTTTCGATTCTTGTCGGAGAATTCATGTCCAAAACGTTTCTGGCTGAGTCGAGAGACCATGATGTATCGCTTTTTGGGTGTGCGCGTTCTGTTGTCTCGGCCACATCTGATGCGGTTGGCTGACGACGGAATGGCACACAATGCATTCACAGACGAGGACTGGAAAGTGGTATCTCTCTGCCAAAATTCGGCAAGTGAGGTTATCGACCTGATCTGTTCTGGCCTTCATCACGACAGAGTCTCAGTCTGGCACTCGACCTTCGCTCTTTTCCAAGCTTGCCTGATTCCCCTGATTTCTATTGCCGTGGCGAAGAAATTGGATCTCTTTGGCGAAGCCGCAGTCAGTGATTGGACACAGAGTCTGGATGGCGCCCTTCGTGCATTCAAAGATATGGACCCCCATACGAGGCCAGCGGACAGATACGGCAGCATTATTGAGGCCCTGCGCGATGGTATCGCGTCTTGGAATAACCAGGACTCTCAATACGCAGCTGAATTTGACCAGTACACAGAGTTTCTTGCCAACGCCAGATCAGTGAACGCGATGGACTTGATGAATTTCGATGCACAGGACATCACTGCGCCGGGTCCATTCCTGGAGTGGTTCAATTATGATCTTGCATTTGGGGATCAACAATTGAACTGGTATCCTCTTCCCGATACTTGAAGGCGGTGGTTTGCATGCGTCCAGGTGCACCTTGTGATCGATGGGAGGCTATTCGACTTGAGACTGCTGTTTAGCCGGATAATGTCTACCGATGAGCCAAATGAGAGAGCAGTTCATATTCCTTGCGCAAAGATGGCGCGGTCTCCGTGATGGCCTACCGCGGGGCAGTCCGGATGATACCAAGAAGACTGTGCAGGGCTTACATCGACAAGTTTCACATCGGGGAGCTTTGCTCGAGTTGTCTTTTACCTGAGGCATGGTATCCTTTGTACCGATCTGTTTGATGTGCTCGCAGCCACCTTCTTGCCATTCTGACCTCGGACTCCTTTGAATGTTCCCTGGAAGCCGATTCCAATGGACGTCTGTGTCTCATCTCGAACGCGGAGCCTCACGAGGACTTATCCCGGGCAGACATCGAGGGAGTATAGAAACCGGTGGACGATTGTGCCTGTCTCAAGGAATTCTGGAAGGAAGAGCAACGACTTATTGCAAGGTTGTAGTGGCCAGCGTTTTGCTCGAGCCCGTGATCGCTCATGGTACGGCTCTGCGGCTGTTCGTCAGCTAGCTTTTGCAGTAAGGATACCGTAAACTAACCTTGGAAGCGAAAGGCACAAAATGGAACGGTGGCACCAGCGCCTTACGCCGCTCTTAATACACCACTGCAGGGGGACGATTTCAGTACTATACCTTCACACTTGACACAATTGCAGCGGACGAGAGAGTCCAAGCATGGGCTGGTTTCGACCTGAGACCTGTTGACGACTAAATGCTGACTAGGCGCAACATTGCTTCTCATTGCCATCGGAATCAGATTGGGAAAGACACACCGACCCAGGTTATAGAGCAGTCATATCTCTTGCTGATGTTTGCTCGACTGAACTGAAATGAGCTGCAGATGGTGGACATCACCTCTCCGTGAGAGATCCTTGACGTCTCGACTCTCGATGACGCTGAGCAGGAGTTGTTGACGTCGAACGTACGATGTTGCTTTTTGCTGCCGAGACCACGATGCCTTCTCTGGCTAATTGGAGGAGATATGTACTGCCGTCGAGTGTGGACACGATCCGGGACTATATATGCCCGCTTACAACTTTGTCCCTCGATCCCATCAGTAACGGCAGCGTTGCACCCTCGGCAAGTACTCGGAGACTCCTGCCCCCGCAAGATGTTCACAACAGGTCCGCAAAAATACGTCCTAGAATCAATGAAGAGCATTAATCTAGGATTGGAAGCGGAGCGGAGACGAAGGCATGGCATCTGGCGTTCGGTTATACGAGAGGGATGTGTCGCGCAGTCGGACTCGGGTTGATTACGCAAATGGCTGCACAATGCTTGCTTGTGCTAACAAGGCTGCTTTATAACTTTTTGGTCAACGCGCTTTGTCTGTCTTCCCTAGCAACTCTTGTTACGATCACAAAATGGCAACAAAGCAGCAACATGGGTTGTCAGCGGGTTGGAAATGGCGCCTGGCAAATGCGAACGGCATAACGAAAGCAGATGACATTCCAGATCTCAGGTCTTGGTCTCCGGTCACCGCTTTCCCATCCGTGGTCCAAATGGAACTCCTGGCAAAGAAGATTATTCCGGATCCAAATGTCGGCGAGAATGAGCGGCAGATCCAGTGGGTTGGGGGAATGGACTGGGAATATTCGTGCTCTTTCCCGACACCGAAGGGTCTAGACAACTCCAGCATTGCTGATTTGGTATTTGAGGGTCTGGATACGTTTGCAACTGTCTCCCTGAACGGCAATGAGATCCTCAAATCCGACAACATGTTTATTCCACATCGAGTGGATGTGACAGGTCAGCTGAAGCCCGAGGGGCATGACAATGAGCTTTCTATACTCTTCGAGAGTGCCCTGAAGAAAGGAAGTGAATTGGAGGCAAAGTTCGGACCTAGAAAGCAAGTGATTCGAGACAAAAGGAGAAGCCACATTCGGAAAGCACAGGTACGGAACGATTCCTGGTGATCTCACGCCTTCATTGATAATGATATAGTATCACTGGGGCTGGGACTGGGGTCCCATATTAGTGACGGCAGGACCATACATGCCGATTCATCTGGAAACGTACTCTGCCAGGATCGACGATATCTACATTACTACGGCCCTAGCAGAGGATCACTCAACTGCCACGCTCACAATTGCAGTGCAGGCAGTAGGACCCCCTGCCAAGGTAGTCAAAGTCAGCATTCTCGATCAAGCCCTTTCACAAGTGTCCAATGAGCTTACCATCACCTTGGACGATTCGAAAAAAGGTTCCGCTACGGTCACCTTACCAGAACCCAAGCTGTGGTGGCCTAATGGTCAAGGCGCACAGCATTTATACAATGTTTCGGTATCTCTTCTGGACGAATCCTCGAGCAAGCTTGATGCAAGAACGATGCGATATGGCATCCGGACTATCAAAGTGATTCAACGCCCTCTCGACAATGCTCCCGGCAAGACATTCCTCTTCAACGTCAATGGCCGCGATATCTTCTCCCAGGGAGGCAACTGGATCCCTGGGGACAGTCTGTTGCCTACTATGACACGCGAAAGATACTTTGACTGGGTTCGGCTCTCTAAGTACCACCACCTCAATATGATTCGGGTCTGGGGAGGCGGCATTTACGAGACAGAAGATTTCTTCGATGCCTGCGACGAAATGGGCATGCTAGTGTGGCACGATTATGCATTTGCTTGCGGGGACTATCCAGTCCACAAGGAATTTCTGGACAGCGTCAAAGCTGAGGCTGAAGCTCAGACCATTCGAATGCGCAACCGCGCCTCACTAGCGCTCCTGTGTGGCGACAACGAAGATTTCGGGATCCAGGACTTCTTTGGGGAGCCGTACGATTTTAAGGATCACGTAGGGCCCTTTGAAGATAGCACTTTCCCTGCACGGAAGATCTTCCTCGACCTTCTCCCCAAGCTCTGCGAGAGTCTGTGTCCGGCGATCCAATACTGGCCGTCATCCCCTTGGGGCGAGGAGGGTGCAAATGCCAGTGATACTACATTCGGCGACCTTCACCAGTGGGCTGTGTGGCACGGACCACAGGATGCTTACCAGAAATATGGAGAACTTTCCGGTCGGTTTGTCTCCGAATTTGGTATGCACGGTTTCCCGATCATGCGAACGGTTGATGTTTTTGCGCCTGATCCAAAGGACCGCCATCCCCAGTCTCGCATCATCGACTGCCACAACAAAGGGCACGGCGCGGAGACACGCATCGCTCGATATTTGTCCGAGAACTTCCGTTATGATATGAAGCTCGAGAATTTCGCATACTGCTCGCAACTCTTGCAGAGCGAGGCATACGGCTATGCATTGCGAGACTGGAAGCGGAAGTTTGGGGGCAAAGGTAAAGAGGAGTGCGCAGGTGCAATTATCTGGCAGCTGAATGATGTCTACCCGGTTACAAGCTGGGCATACATTGACTATTATCTCCGTCCGAAACCTGCCTTCTATACGATTCGACGAAACTTTGCCCCAGTCAGCGTTGGCATTGAGCGCACACCTCGTTCTCGTTGGATAAACGAAGACAAGCCACAGGATTCATACGTCCCAAATTTCGCCCTCTTTGCTCATAATACCACGCCGGACGAAGTCAAGTGCACTCTAGAACTGAGAGCATACGACCTCCATAGTGGAAAAGATGCTGAACTGGACTGGACAGGGGTGAGCTCCGACGTGACTTTGTCAGCCGGTCACAATACCGAGCTTGGGAAACTCCAGCCACACGCGTCGTGGACCGAGGAAAGCCTGATTATTCTGGATGCGAGCCTTGTCGAACCATTGAGCAAGAAGGTGCTAGCAAGATTCACTGATTGGCCAGAGCCGTACCGGTACCTGCAATGGCCTGTCGACACGAAAGTGACGGTTTCCGTTGAGAGCACGAAGGAGGATCAGACCAATAGCGACATCAACGCTACGCACTTTGAGGATTTGGTGACAGTTACGGCTAATCAGCCAATCAAGGGCTGTTGGCTTGAGCCTCTGTACGACGGGAATGAAAAAGATGACGAACCAGAACCGCTGTGGGAAGATAACATGTTCGATCTACTGCCAGAACGGGAGGTCAAGGTGGCAGTCAAAGGTCTCCGGGGAAGGAAGGTCAATGTGCGATTCCTGGCGGATTGGGAAGTTGGGCCTGCAAAGGCACATCTTTGAAGGCGGCGGCAGATCTGAGAAACGAACTTGGAGGTGAAGAGGGTTAGAAGGTACACAAGGCACAGACATGTGTATGTGTGCGAAGGAAAAACCATACGAAAGAACAGCGTCAATCAACGCTGCTTCCATGCAGGCTCTCCGAACGAAGTGCTAGATGGGCTATTGAGGCTACATGGAGATAGTCCTTGGACATGAGTTTTTATGGTTTGATATGTTCAAGTTTTCTCATGAAGATGCAAGCAGGGGGTTGATTCTCCCAGTCGACAGGAATCGAAAAGGCCTGCTAGACAGATGCGGCTGCTCATGATGACCGTTCTCACTGCCTGACTCTCCACCACATCAGCGCGAATCATCACGTCTACCATCCAACTACTTACAAGCTTCTTATGGGCACTTCAACACAAGCGAAAAGTTTCTCCCTTTCGCCGCTGAGAATAAGGCCTGTATCCATTCATTGTACATGACCTCCAGAGCCATACCCCACAGCCTAGAACCCGTATCGTGTGGGAAATTTAGGCCATCCGTCACCAAATAGCGAAACGGTATTGGTCCTGGAGGCACTGGCATGTGTAGGAGATGGAAACCCGTCAAACAAAAGATGGGCATCTCATAGTGAAATCCTTCAGGCAACCGGGAGGCGAGAGCAGCTGAGGGGAAAGAATTCTGCTATCTCAACCCACGATCATGGACGTGTCATTGACTTCCATCGCCGGCAAGCTGGTTCTTGCTTCTCTCGCAGTTCTTATACTTGTGCTTGCTCGCTACGCTGCTGCCGGTCGTCGACCTCGAGGGTTTCCGCCAGGACCACCAACACTGCCAGTAATCGGCAACATTCACCAATTTCCCCTCAAAAAGCCTTTCATCAAGTAAGTTGCTCGCCGGGCCAGCGGCGGCATATCATCACTTACCTAATCCTCCCAGATTTCATGAATGGGGCAAGCAATACGGTGCTGTGGTCGGTCTCAAACTGGGTCCTCAAAACGTCGTCGTGTTGAACACCTACAAGAGTGTGAAAGAGTGAGTTGGAGGTACTGTTGGACCAAAATTATCTCTTGACTTGGTCATAGTCTCTTTGACAAACGCGGAGCCATCTACTCGAGCCGCCCTGACAGCTACGTTGGGAATAAACTTCTTTGCCCCGGTGACACGCATATCCTCCTGGCCCCCTACGGCCAGGGCTGGAGGGCCCTTCGGAGGGCGGTTCAAGCCATGTTGAATGCGACTGCTGTCGATGGACTTTTGCCCGTACAAGATGCAGAAGCGTCACAGACGTTATTTGAACTGATGACGACGCCGGAAAGGGCGTTCACGCATATTCGCCGTTATTCGATCGCCTTAATTCTGGCGTCGGTGTTTGGCCAGAGAGGCGCGAGCTTTGAAGCACCAAAAGTCCAAGCCCTGTATCATGCGCAGGAGCGATTCACCGGAATGCTGGCCCCGGAAGCCTCGCCACCTGTGGATATCTTTCCATTCCTGAGGTATATACCCGGCTTTTTGGCACCTCACAAACGCTGGGCCGCAGAGGTCCGACGGGAGCAACGGACACTGTATGCCAGCTTGCTCAACGAGACCATGGCAAGAGCCCGGAAACAAGACAGGGTTCCATGCTTCATGGACAAGCTCCTCGAAGTGAAAGAGAAAAGCGGGCTTGACGCTCAACAGATTGTGTACACTGGGGGATTCTGGTGTGGTATTCCTCTTTCTTGAGCCTTCTTCACCTTTACGGAGCAAAGTCTGACTTTTGAATGGGAAGGTGGAAGCAGGTTCTGATACTACGTCTGCGACTCTCCACTCGTTTGTCCTTGCCATGATCAAATACCCCGAAGTCTTGCGAAGAGCACAGAAAGAATTGGACCATGTGTGCGGATCCTCAAGGTCACCTAGTTCCAAGGACATCAAAAATCTCCCTTACTTGCAAGCAGTCATGACCGAGGTGAGACGTATCAGACACCGTGTGTGTGATTTAGCTCTCTCCAATCAAGCTGACGATGAATCTTCCCCTCCAGACGTTGCGATGGAGACCAGTCACACCCAATGGCGTGCCTCACATGCTGATCCAAGACGACACGTATGACGGCTACTTCCTTCCCAAAGGCACCATGGTGTTCGCCAGCACATGGTCCATTCACCAAGACATGTCGGAGTACGACCGACCCGAGGAGTTCATCCCGGAGCGGTTCCTCCACGACAAATTCGGCAGCAAGGACAGAAGGAGCAAAGCTTCGCCCGACGACGACGACGACCAGAGTCACAGGAGAGTGACGTATGCCTTTGGGGCTGGGAGGCGAATGTGTCACGGGCAGCGCCTTGCCGAGAATTCTCTGGTGAGTTTGTTATTCCTAACAAAGTCTTTACATTCAGATTGATATCAACAAATCTCAACCCAATATGGGGCTTTTCCCTCCTTCACACTCGCCGTTTACTTCCTTCCTCTCCCACAACAATCTGATGTTGGGCCAGATGATCAACATGTCTAAGATGGCCTGGGCCTTCGACATCAGTGCCGACCCGGCCACCGCGCCGCCGGATCTGAATGTCGAGACGGGGTACTCGGACGGCTTCGTGATGGGGCCTCATCCGTTCTCCGCCTCGTTTGCGATCCGGTCGCGCGAGCACGGAGAAACCGTCCGGAGGGAGTATGAGGAGGCGAAGCTGGTTTTCCAGAGGTATGAAGATTAGGTGAAGGGAACGAACAGGGGGGAACCTGGGAGAGTGGAATGACTTATTTATGCAGAAGTTGGGGGCAGGGGGGATGAAACTCGGGGAATGAGAGTAGTACTAAAGAATGAACTTCTCTCTCTTGGAGCAACATATTCGTATTTTTTTGGTGGAAATTCGAAGCCGAATTCAATCCAAACTAATACATACCCAGGATATGATTGTTGAGCCGGAGCAGACTCAGTCGAGGCTGTCGACTCGCCGTACTCATCCTACCTACCTAGTAGGTATGTATGGTCGTATGTAATTACTCCTGGATCCGCGGCCCCGTAGCGGCATAATGGATTTCCCTATTCCCTTCCAGAAGGAGCAGGTGAACCGAGGATGTGTTAAAGCAGCGAGCTGGCACTGGCGACACGAAGATCCAACAAGAGGTTTTTTGCTCAAGACGGTCTCTCATCGCTTTATTTCTACCTGAGGTCCAGCCAGTCATACGACGAATCGACTGGTCCCTTGCACCTCAATGACAACATGCACTCTAGAGGTGAGTTTCAAGCCCAGCACAATTCCTCTCGCTGACGAGGAATAGCCACAAGCCGCGTGTCTCCCAGTCACCGCTCTCAAGTCAGTCCTGGTTGATGGAGAATTGCTGCTTCTTGCAGGGCAGGGACCCTTTCTTCATATATACGACGGAGACGGCGTCATCATTGCATCTACCCGGGTCTTCGAGATTCAACCAGTCTGTGGGATTCAGATCGACTCCCACAATGCAGGCGAGGTCTCGAGTCAGAGCCATCGGGTCGTGCTTTGGGGAGGGGCGTTGTGCCGAACCGCTTTATTGACGTTGAACAAAGTCGAAGCTGCTCCGTCACCTGCGGTGCCTGAACTCTGTTTCTCGGGACTATTGAATTGCGGCGATTGGATTCTGGATGCTGCTTTTCACCAGTCCAGTATTCTCCTGCTCAATGCACACAATCAGCTTCTAGAGGTGCCCATTCTTGAAAATACAGGAAAGGGAGCCCTGGAGTGCGGGAGACCGGCCGCAGTGACTGGCCCAAGGTCATTCCTGTACTCCGGCTCTCTTGCCGTCAGCAAACCCGGGCTGGTTATTGTGGCTTCTGGAACTGTCTTTGGAGAGATTCTAGTTTGGACTTGCTCAAGGGAAGAAAACCACAGACAGTGGTCCTCATCACTGAGACACGTCTTCAATGGCCATAGGGGCTCCGTTTTTGGTGTGTCCATCTCTGACGTCTTCGAGCTGGGGCCCACTCACACCCGCTTGTTGGCGAGCTGTTCCGACGACCGCACGGTAAGACTCTGGGATATCAGTGACTGTGACCGTACGCAACCCGACTCCAGTAGTGGCATGGAATCAGCTGAAACAGGCTTTGGACGTGCCAGCCAAGTGGGTGAGACTCAGATTGCATCCGCATGGGGCCATCTCTCCCGCATCTGGGGTGTTGGATTCGTACAAGAGCAGGCGTCCAACAACAGCAATAGCGTCTGCCTTCTGTCCAGAGGTGAAGATGGTGCCTGTCAGTTGTGGACCATCGAGCTGCAGATTAGGAGTCGGCTGGAGACCCCTTTAACGGCGCTCCTCAGACCAGAGTCAAGTGATCGACATCACTCTGGGAAGAATGCATGGTCCATGACACAGATCAATGACGGTCAAGGTTTGCTCGTCCACACTGGCGGTGCTGATGGACAGATAATCTCTAGAAGAGTCGACGTCTCTCGTGGGAGTCTTGCTTCATTTGTCACCCATTCAATACCCTTCAAGGACATTACTGGTTCCTCGATGTCACTGAAACACTACTTGTTGTTGAACTCGCGTGAATGCCTGGCAGCCACAGATCCAGGCGAACTGTTCCGACTGACTTACGACCGTGACAAATTGAACTGGAGCAAATTGATGCCGAAGTCTGGGAACGGCGGCCTTGTGCTTTGCCCGACTGGCAGCCTGCAGCTCGTTCTCGTTGCATATCAGAGAGGGGGGCTTTCGGCGCTGCGCACCAATCACGACTCTTTGGTACCCGTCAAATGCGACCTCGAATATGCAATCTCTTGGATGCGGTTCGCGTCTCCACGCTCGACAAAATTGCCGGAGTCGACAACTTGTATTGTTGCCGTATTGGCGAATAAGAAAGCTGTCATCCTCTGGGTGAGCATGAATGACGCTTCAATTCAGGTGAGGCACACACCTTTGGAAACACCAGAAACTTTCATTATCACATCCTGTTGTTACGACAGTTCAAGCGAGGTGTTGGTTCTGGGTTCCCGCGCCGGTGCACTTGCAATTTACTCCCATGTGAGGCCTCACGCAGGAATATCCGAGGAACCGTTCTGCCTCCGCCATGCCCATGGCACAGATAGCGTTACCTCGATCACTATTCTGCGGAAAGACGCGGCGCCTTCCACAGAGACGATTCATATCTTGACGACAGGACGCGACGGCATCTATGCAATTCATCGTGTCAATTGGTCCTCATCCACAGACAGGCGAGGGCCTATTATTGCGGCCGTTCACCGGTCCGCACTTCCGTTCGGCCCCAACATTGAGGATGCTTTTTTTACGTCAGACGCAGGATCATCACCTGTAACAGAGCCGGATCTGGTTCTGTGCGGCTTTCGTTCGACGTCCTTCGTCGTCTGGAATGAAACCCAGCAGTCCGAACTATTATCTGTCGAATGTGGCGGTGCTCATCGGAGCTGGGCGTTTCGAGACTCTTCTTCGGTTGGTGACGGCGTCGAAAAATCCTTCATCTGGAGTAAAGCTGGCAGATTGAACTGGCACTCGGCTCCAGGTTCCGGTCAAAGAGTGATTCAAGAAGGAGGGCAGGGGCGAGAGATCAAAGCCGTGGCACGCAGTCCGTTGCCCTACAATCGCGTGAAAAACGAACACCATGCTCGTGTTCTTATAGCCACAGGAGCTGAAGATACCAACATCCAACTCTATGCTATACCCTGTACCCCGAAAACTGTTTACCGACCTCAACCAACTGACTTCCCGACATTTCGAGCGGTGGCAACTCTGAAGCGGCACACCACAGGCATCCAACATCTACAATTTTCTCCATCTGGTGAACACCTCTTCAGCAGTGCCGGATGCGAAGAATTCTATGTATGGAAACTCAGCTTTGACGTGCCTGGCATCGAAGCAGGAGTTGTGCTGTGGGACATAATGCCGACTGAAGAAGAGGATTCAGATGCGCGGATCATGAGCTTCGATCTGCGGTGTGGCGACCATGGGGACAAGAATTCAAGCGAAGAATACACGATCGTCATGGCATACTCGAACGGGAAAGCAAAAGTGGTGCGATACACACCTGCACCCAGCAGGAATCAAGCGATGTTTGAGACGCTCCGAGAAATCAGCTACGGCTCCTTCTGCGTGATGCAGGCTTTCTTCCTCTTGCCAAGCTTCGTCTCAGCTTCAGGTTTTCGGCCCGACGAGCATCAGGTCGGAGCGCTGTCAGCGGGCACGAATGGGTTTTTGAACCTCGTACTTTTGGATACTCGCTCTGTACCTAAGAAGTCGGCCGCTTCACCGGCTGCAGAGCTGCCGTCGCAGATGGAGGTCCACAGGGTGCATCAGAGCAGCGTCCTTGCCATGGACATGGTCTCCCTTAGCCCAACGACCTACCTCGTCGCGACCGGTGGCGATGACAATGCGCTAGGTCTGACACTGATTACTTCTGCGGCTGCATCCACGATGGCTTCCAAAGGAGAGACCAACACCGAACGGCAATCATTTCACCGCTTTCGAACGATCGTGCTACCTGCCGCTCATGCCGCCGCCCTCACGGCCTTGAAGACCACGAAACCCAGGCGCACACCAACGGGCTACTCGGTCGTTGTGGTCACCGCGGGAAATGACCAGCGCGTCAATGTGTGGAATGTCCATATCGACTCGGAGAGAGACGGTGGTAACCCTGTGGTTCCGCAAGTTGAGGATGATGGGCTTTTGGAAGCGGTCCAGGTCGAACTTGTTGGGACTGGATGGACGGCAGTCGCTGACGCCAGTGATTTGGAGGTCATCGAAGGCGTTCATGACACCGTTGCAAACGGAGATGAGGATGGTGGGAAGGGAGAGTACGCATGGAGGATATTGGTGGTGGGCGTAGGGATGGAGCTGTTGAAGGTAACATCTATAGAAGCGCACGGGCGGAGCTAGACGTGCCTGAATGGCAGAGAAAATAATGATCCAGCGTCGAGTCTCGACCCTCATGTCGACGACCATAGAGCGGGATGGTGACATGGGTAGGCACTCGCATAAGGGGTTGCAGCCTTGTCAATCCGGTAGCCAGCTTTACCCGGCTCGCAAGGGTGGTGCTGACCTCCTCCCACTTGGGCCAGGTATATACCCTTAACAGCGTCCATTTGGAAATGCATGAATACCCCTCCAATTCCTGCTTAAAATCCAACCGAGTCCAGACGATAACCACCCTATGTACCTCGAACGCAACCTCGAGCATCTGAGCTACACACAGCCCTGCCCAACCCAAGTCCAGCCACGTAGAATCGCACGTGGGCAGGAAGTTCTCAACTCAACTCCACTCACCAACCCCATTCTTTGTCCTCTGGCGCGTCCTTTACAGGAATGAATCTGCAAAAAAAGAGTGCAAAAAGAAATGCAAAAATAGTTCCTATGGGGATCGAACCCATGGCCTTCTCCGCTCCAAAGGGGAGACACTTTGTAAAGGAGATGTGATAAACCACTACACCTGGCAATATATGTTAGCAGGCGCGGAAGTCTCGACAAAGAGGGGGGGTGAACGAACTAAGGAACTCATTTATCTGTGTGACAAATCAGACCACCATTTTGCAGTATACAAATTATATAACTTATCATTATTGAATAGCCCTCTGGTCCCCCTCAGACTTCCCCGCATCCAAGCACCTCTCCTCCTTCTGGTTCTCCTCACCACCACCACAAACGACCATACAGCTCTTTTCAGCGCCTTGCAGATGGGATGATGCCTCGTGTGAGCCTCGGAGTGGGCAGGAGCTTAACATTTCGGTACATTCGCCCTGTAGAGGCCCGGTGGGTAACGGACCATGGACCCATCCCATCCCCCCTCCCTCGAGACATCACCTCGGTGTTTTGGGGGGGGGAAATATATACCGTTTTCACTTTCGTCTCGACAGAAAATTCGGCAGATTCTGAAATCGTTTAAATTTGTCAGGGTTGGACGCCGGTTTAGCATTCTTGATTGCTCGATAGCGGGGATTTTGGCAGAGGATAAGAGTTTCTCGAAAAGCGAGGCAAAAGAGATTCGGGCAGATTAGCAAGTTGGTTTGGTATCCAGGGTTTCTTGAGACGGGAGCACTTTTGATAGATCCAAAAGAAGGCGCCAAAGAAAACGAAGCATACTGAAGAGAGAGAAGAAAAAAAAAGGCGTTCGGTAAATATGGAATACGACACGTCGACCATGAATGGAGCGCCCATCACGGACAACGTCAAGCATGAAAAGAACACGACCACCCCCAATCGAGGTCACTTGAGGATCCAATGCGAGCCGACGGACGTCTCCATCCTCCAGGAGCCCGTCACCTTTGCCTTCTCAGGTCGGACCGCGAAGAACCGATTTCTCAAGGCTCCCATGACCGAAAGACTGTGCCATTGGAACAAGGAAGGCGAGGATACTGTATGGACCAAAATCCCCTCTTTTGGCGGTTTGATCTATATATATCCGTGGTGTGCTGACCAAAACTTCACAGTCAGCCCGAGGCGTGCCCAGTCCCGAGTACCTCAACCTGTACCGACGATGGGGCGAGGCCGAGATCGGCATCATCGTCAGCGGCAATATCATGGTCCGGTATGACGCGGTCGAGGCGTACGGCAACCCGATCCTCGTGGACGACCACGACGGCCGCGTCGCCAAGTTCAAGGAAGTCAGCGAGGCTGCAAAGGCTCACGGCTCGCTTTTCATCGCCCAGCTCTCTCACCCCGGAAGGCAGGGCGGCAAGTACCTGAACCCGAACCCCGTCAGCGCAAGCGACATCCAATTGAATATCAAGTGGGCTGGCAACGAGTTCAACAAGCCCAGACCCCTGACCGTCCCGGAGATCAAGGACATGGTGAAAAGTTGGGGCGAGTCGGCGTATCTGTGCTGGAAAGCCGGGTTTGACGGTGTGCAAGGTAGGTACCCCCCCGGGGAATCATTGGAGAGAAAGCAAGACCACGAAAGCTGAGATCCACGACACAGTGCACTGTGCCCACGGCTACCTGCTCGCTCAGTTCCTGAGTCCCACGACGAACCGTCGAACGGATGAATACGGCGGGGACCTGAACAACCGCTCCCGCATCGTGTTCGAGATCATCGAGGAGATCCACCGGCGGGTGCCGGACCCGTCGTTCATCATCTGCGTGAAACTCAACTCGGTCGAGTTCCAGGACCGCGGCACCACGCCCGAGAACGCGCGGGACCTGTGCCTGAAGCTGGAAGCCGCGCGGGTGGACTTTGTCGACCTGAGCGGCGGCACGTTCGAAGGGCGCGCCTTTGAGCACAAGAAGGAAAGCACCAAGGCGCGCGAGGCCTACTTTATCGAGTTTGCCGAGATGATCCGTCCGCTCCTCACCAAGACAAAGATCTACATCACAGGCGGGCTGAGGACCGCCGCGGGCATGGTCAGGGCCGTCGAGTGCGGCGCCTGCGACGGCATCGGCATCGGCAGACCGTTCGCGCAGGAACCTTACTTTGCCAAAGAAGTCCTGAGCGGCAAGATCACGGGCGCCATTGAGAACTTTTCCCCTTTGCCCCTCAACACGCAATCTAGTGGCACGCAATTGAATCAGATCGGAAAGGGGGACCAATTGATCAGTGACTGGAGCGACGAGGGCGAGGTCAAGAGGTGGATAGAGGCAAATGAAAAGGAGACGGCCAGGAAGATCAGCATCTTGCCCGTCGTGGACAGTTCGGGTTATCCACCGCTCAAGGCCGAGGCTGGCTTTGCATATCTCGAGGCCTGAGTCTCTGGAACCGGGGGACACAGCAGAAAGAGATGGCTATAAACCGTTAGAATACCGTAGACACGAATACACACAATCTGTTCGAGAGACTGGACGCGGTTTCTGTTTTCGACCTTTAAATTTCAATTTGTCGTTTGATTTTTCGGATCGGCGCTCATCATGCCTGGCTGGCCATGTGCCAGCAACAAATCATCTAGACTCTGATCTGTGCTTTTCCAGACGCCGGAAATGGACCTCCTGCCACGATCTTTCATCAACACAGGCGTCCCACCATTTTTGGCCGTAGTTTCGATTTTGTGCCAGAAACCAGCACTCTCCTTCGACCGGGCTTTCAACCACCACCACCTCAACAATACATTCCTTCACCACCGGCGCTTAGAATTTCTGGAATGCCTTGACCGCCTTTCCCGTTCGGGGCAACACACGGAGGACGTTGAATCGGACCTAAAAATATCCCGCAACACACTGGTCAGTTTCCTTTTGCTCCCTTCAACGGACCCCGTCTGCAAGAATGGCGAGGGTTTTCTTTCTTACAGTCTTGCTCAATGGTCTGCACTGGCCCACGGTGACCTGGTCACCTTCTTCGACACGGAAAGCCGGGGACACGTGTGCGGCGAGGTTCTTGTGTCTCTTCTCATATCGGGCGTATTTGGGGACAAAGTGAAGGTATTCTCGGCGGATGATCAAGGTTCGGTGCATCTTGGTGGAAACGACGGTGCCGGTCAGGATACGGCCTCGGATGGAGACCATGCCGGTGAAAGGGCATTTCTTGTCTGTTGCAATATGTTAGAACCGAGGGTCACACATATTTTTTTTTCCCCTTGTTTGACGCTGAGAGATTTTTCGTGGCAATCTTGGAAAACAGATTCCTTCGAGAGTTTTCCAGCTCAGTCAAAGGCCAGTGAAGACTAACCAATGTAAGAACCCTCAATCGCAGTCTTTGGCGTCCTGAAGCCCAGCCCGACGTCCTTGTACCATCTTCGGCCGCCCTTGCCGACTCTCCTGCTCTTCGCGGACTTGGATTTGTGGTTGAGGAAGATGTGAGGCTGTTTTTGGTAGGCGCGCTCAGACTGGACTGTCAACTCGGTCGCCATGATTGCGGTGTGTGCGTTGACAGGAAAGGGAAGTTGTGAGGTTGCGCGCAAGGTGTGCAATTTTGCAATCGGCCACGACGCTAGCAACTTGCCTCTGACAATTGACGGTGCGCATTCAAAATTCCGCCAAGACATCCAGGGAGCTAGTCCCAGATCGGCGAGTCGGGTGCTCTTCTAGGGCACGTGATACCGCCACAAGCTCGTGTTTACATCATCCCTCGGTTGGGTTTAGCTCGTCGCGGTGGGGGACGCGGATTGGCCTCAACCAGAACCAACATCCATTGCGAACATGCAGTATCCTTAGGACGACTTTACAGGTCTACTGTCTTGGTGAGGCGACAAGGCGCTGCAATGGCCGACAATACGGCAGACCAGAGGTCTAGCAGACCAAAATCTCGCCAGTCAATCGCTCATATGCCGTCGGCGAAGCCGCCCTCGTCGAGGGACAATGCGACAACCGACATTGCTGCGCTCCAGGCTCGACATACAAACGCCAAAGCAGCCAAGAAGAAGTCGCGCGGTAAGAGTCTCGGTCCAGGAGGACTTGAAGCTTTGAAAGAGTCGACAGGAAACGCAGCCGAGGTGAGAGAAACCGGGGTCTCGTGAAAGGCGGCGCATTTTTGTTGACTTCTATACCAGACTACGACACCCTTCCAGATAAAATCCATACTAAAACCATCCATACCTCTGACGCCACCTAAAGCTATACCGTCCTTTGACGAGCTGCGCAAGAGGAGTACAGGAAAGGACAAGTCACAAGCCAAGAACAATCCCGAAGAGCTTCTCATTGATTTCTCGACACCCGGTCCCAGTGGGCAGAATGCAGGCGCGGTCTCAACGTCGGGCGCCGAGAATGTTGCGGACCCATTTAGTCCCATGGTGCGACGATCCCCGAGGAAGGCTGACGGGGCTGATGGAAGCGCTGAAGCGCTGGAGCGCCAGCAGGAAGAAGAGCGGAGACGCCAGGCACAGAAGGAGGCCATATTGGAAAGGAGAGCTGCGAGGAGGAAATCCCTGGCGAACCGCCGAGTTTCCTTTGCACCGGAGGCTACTTTGCATACGTGGAGCGTTATGGAACTTGCAGAAGACTCAACGACTAGCTCTGCCTCCAACTCTACAAGAAGACAGTCCTCGATGACAGCAGTACACTCACCGGTCAAATTGATGACATCGCCTGAAAAATCAGATGTGCCTTCAACTCCTGCTGAACAGACCGAGGAGCCGCTTGTCAAGGAGTCCCCTGCGAAACAGACGGATCTCCACCAAAAGAAACGCAGACGCAGAAGCTCAGGCCTCGCAGAGCCCACGCTGGATGCTACTGAAGAGTTGATGTATTCGTCGAGTCCTTCAGGTGATGTCACCACCAACAGCAGTCCTGTTCGCTTCGAGGAAGGCATTGAGTCTTCGGATGAGTCAGACACCGATGGCGATACCGCGATGAGCCTAGAGGATGCCACCTCGCACACGGTAGCTTCTGAGGATTCCGGATCAAGCACTCCTTCCAGCCTGGAAGAACGTCTGCGGCAGGCTGCTGAGCAAGCTGGAACCCGCGGTATAGACTATGACGAGCATGGCGAGGATTTCCCCATGGAGATGGCTACCGGCACCGTGACAAACGCCTTTCAGGGCTGGGCACAAGGCCGTGCTCATGAGACCGAAAGCGATGAAATGTACGACCAGGAAAATCTGTACCCAAAGCTAACCTCGCTACCAGCAAAGCATGAGCACGAGGCTGAGATCGACAATGAAAGCGAGGATCAGAGCGGGGAGATGAGTATGGACGTCACAAGCGCTGTTGGCGGCATAGTAACAGCCCGATCTCCCAACAAGAAGGGCTCAAAATCACCTATCGCACGTCGCCGAAGCAGCATGCGGCGCCGCCGCTCATCTGGTAACGAATCCATGTTTGATGAGACCATGGACTTTACAGTCATGCAAGGAGGGATCATCAGTGCTGGAATTGAGGAAACGGTGAACAGCCGCGCGTCCGACGAAGATATCAGCATGGAATTCACGCAGGTAGCTGGAGGCGTCCTGGGTGGAGCTGTCACTCGACACTCCGTGGTCTCCGAACAGACCGATGAAAACGAGACCATGGATATGACCGCAGCTGTTGGAGGAATCTTACCCCCTATTGAGGAGCAGACCGAGCCTCAGACGGATGTGGAAGAGCAGACCGTGGCTATGGACATGACCAGGGCGGTTGGAGGCATTCTTCTGAGCAACAGCAACCAGGCGATGAGACAGTCTCCTGCAAATAACGGCCTTCATTCACCACGACGCCTACCAGCTGAGCAAACCACACCAAAATCTCCACCAAAGACACATCAACACCGGACATCTACAGCCTCAGAAACCGGCAGTCCGAGTATTGCTATGAAGCCACGACTATCAGGCAGATCCCAGCGGAGCGCCACGAAGGCTGCTTCTACTCCACAAATTGCGCAGCCGCAGAGCACACCCGTCAAGTCACAAACTAGAATACAACAAGGCACCCCGTCAAAACAGATCACACCACTCCCTACACGACCCGAATCTCCAAACAAAACTCCCTTGTCTGCAAACGTTTCGCACAGAAGCGCTTCGCCAAAGAAGTTGTTCAAGGCTGAGATCAAAGCCAGGACATCGCCGGCCTCTGCAAAACGAAACACACTCTTTTCACCAGGTAACCAGACTCCCAGTATCATCCTGAAAGCACCCAAATCACAGCTAGCCCGTCGACGGTCGAGTGGGATTGGCATTGACAAAGATGGGATCGGCTCTCCGCGAGTGACTGAACTTCTGGACCGTCGGTCCTCGATTGGAAACGCCGCACCCCAGTTCAAGCTTGTTAGTATTGAGCCTGCAACGTTGCGTTCTGAAGACCCAGAACAACTTGCGCGGGAGGTCGAGGCTGAAAGAGCAGAAGAGCAGCGCAGAGAGAGTGGCAGATTTGTCATGGAACAAGAAGCAGACGAACCTCAGGATGAGAACGTTACTTTACAGCTTAAAGATATGATAGAGTCAATGACGCCGCAGAAACCAAAATCTGGCAAGCTCAAAGGCAGAAAGAGCCTTGCCGTTGGGGGTGCTAGAGGCTTTCTGGGAAAGCGGCCTGCAGAACTCGATATGGATGACGACGAGGAGGCTGACTCAACTCCGAAGCGCTTAAGAGTGGTTTCTAGAGAGGGCAGCCCGGTGAAAAAGGTTCGCCTGCCGAAGCCACCCACCAAGGACGAAACAACTGGCAAACTCGGTACAAGACTTCAGAAGTCACTCCAAGAACTGGCGGACAATGACAAGGCGACTCCAAGTCTTGGAGCAACGTCACCAAGCAAAGACACTGTTGCGCCGAGCCCAGCCATCACTAAACGCTTCAAGGATATCAAAGGCAATGATGAAGCAAGACCAGAATCGTTCGAGGACAAACTTGATAACGTGGTTGGAGCTATCGACATCTCCACAGCTCAGATGGAAGAAGGATCGGCCCGGAGTGAAGAGGAGAAGATCTCCCTTCAGCAGTTTTTGAACATGACCAATATCCATTTCATCGAACTGTCAACCACAAAGAGGAGGCATACAATGGCACAGTCGATTCCGGCCTCGGGATTCGAGACAAGTACGAGCGGCAGTGACACAGCGGACAACTTTGTTGCGGCTGCCACCACGCTGCCACTCCTTGAACTGTATCAGCATGCGACGAGAGAGCTCAAGTCTTACATCTCTGCAGGTCGCAAGATCATCCGCTCTATTGAAGCAGAGACCCTTGCTGATCAACCACCACTTTTCCGAGAATACGTCGATGCTCGCCCAGACGTGAAGATAGTGATGGACAACCAGTTCCGTAATGGCAAGGCCAATGCTCGTCTGCAGAGCAAGGAGGGATGGTATCAGTGGAGAGCGCAACTAGTCGAGGGTCTCAAGAATGGGCTAGAGGGTATCGACCAAGGCATACAAGCTGATCTTCAAGTCTTACAGCAACAGCGACAGATCCTGGATTCTGTGCTCCCTCGGCTGGATCGCGAACGAACTGAACTCGAAGAGCAGAAGGCATCGCTACAGCAGAGCCTGGAGGAACTAGACAGCATTGACCATGATTCTTTGACCAATTTACGGCGAGAATTGCAGAGTGCCGACGAATATTGTCTTCAAAGATCTGCTTTGCTCGACTCACTCCGCGAACAAATGGGAGAAAAAGAAGAGGCACTGCTAGGCGCCGCCGAACTGAAGATTGAGATGGAAGAACAAATTGCAGAAGCAGATCGAGTAAGAGAAGAAAACAAGGGTTGGCCTGTCGCAGATGTCCTGAACCTCAGGTCAAGGGTTGATGCCATTGAGAAACAGACGGGCTGGCGACTGATTGCTGCAGAAGAAGAAGTGGAAGAACCAACCGAGTTCGGAGCTGCCCTCACCATGATGTACAAGGATGACCTGCGACTCTTCTTTTACCCTCAAGCTTTCGAATACAAGGCTCCAGATGCACCACGGCGCAGATCAGGCAGAAGATCAGCATCGACAAGCGGTCCAACTGCCCCTATCAGCTTGACTTACGCTCCCTCAGACCAAGAGGACTCGGACGCCAAACAACTAGAGCCGCCGACCGAGAAACGTTTCTTCTTGCAGTTGGTCAGAAGCCAACTGCACGCGTTTGCCATGATGCCGAAGCGGTCAGTGTCATCCAAAACTATGCTATCAACTGTGTCTCAGGGCTGGGATCTTGCATGCAAGCTTTCGGAAGAACTTCGACTTTTGAATCTTGTAGGCATCACGACGGCCTCAATCCTGAGTGACGAGAAACTCGGAGTCAAAGTCGTATTGATCAGCCCGAAACAATGGCGTGTTGATGTTGAGTTTGCGGTAACCGTCGCGATTCTGAATGACGGCGTCATTGTTGCTTCCACCGGAGTAACAGCGCATCCAGTTTATGGACGTGCAGTGGAACTGCTGAGTGGTGGCAAGGGTAGGAAAGTGCAGCACGCGTTGGGGAAGGAGGTCGAGAGTAGAGTCCTGGGCGAGGGAGCGTTTGTCAGTGCGATCCACGGCTTCGAGGAGTGGTTACGTGGACAGGACAAGGCGAAACAAGCCACCAAGCTGGAGGAAGTGGCAGCGTCTGTTTCTACCTCTGAGCCTGCTCCCTCTGCTGCTTTCTCCAAAACATCGACACTCCCTTCGAGCTCGACTTCAGCTTCTACTCCAGCGGCACCCAAGCGGTCTCCTCTGGCGCCTAAACGAACCAACCCCCTTCAAAAGAAAGCTCTTCCGGTCCCCAAGCAGCGGCACGAAAAGGCGAATCCTCAACATCAACATCCGCAGCCAGCCTCGGAGAAAGAGAACTTTGACCCGTCCTTGTCGGTCTCAAGCAAGACGCAAACCCGTCTGGAAGAAAGAGCAGGCACCGTCGACTCGGCGGCCGGGTGGGAGGATATGCGTGACATGGTGATACCCCGTGCGGCCATCCCGCCCGAGATGCAGGAGGCCATGATGCACACGCCCATCAAGAAGCGCGTGGGTGCTTTGAGGAGGAGTCCGTTCTGATTTGATTCTTCCCACCACTCATCCCCGAGCGATGGGGAGTGATGCCCTGACGATCTGGATCTGGCGTGGTATGAAATGTGATATGAACAAATAGGAGTTTTGGGCCACGGTGCTGTTGCTAGGCTTTGGGTACCGCTTTGGCTTCGAGTATGGAGTTTGGATAATTACCTAAGTATCGATATCGATTCGGACTTGGACTTGACTTTGACTTCTGACTGGAAACTTGGGGTTTGACTTGAACTTGGTGGTATTGCTTCGAATTGGAAAACAGCATCATTATCGGGATGACTGCTCATTCACCGAGTGGATTATTGGGTTACTAGCTTAGTGGACAGCGCGAGTTCAAAATGGATGGGTGGTGCGGTAGATACCTAGGTAGTTGCATGTAACACATGTAGTAGCATTGATTCATTCCCCCAAACAGCGAGTGAGTGATACATGCATGCTAGAGACACTTGTATATAGATAGACGTCACCCTGGTCCAGGAGCAACCATCGTCGTTGGCTTCCCAGTCCCGGGCCAAGGAAGACATTAGCCATTCTCCATCAACCATGGTGTCAGTCACGCTCATCCATCCATCCGTCAATATCTCATCCACAGTTATGCAGGGAGTCTACCACCCACCACCACCCTGGTGACCTTTGCCCCCAAACCCACCACTCTCATCGCTCGCCGATTTCCCGCCTTTATTCATCTTATCGCCTCCCCCAGCCAACCCAGCGGCTCTCTTCTGCTGCGCCGCTTCGTGCTTCCTCAATTCCTCGGGCACTCTGGAAATAGAGCTCTTCATCAGCATCTGCTTCAGATCGTACAACACATCATTGTCTTCATTCCCCAAAAACGTGATCGCCACACCGGATTTGCCTGCTCGTCCGGTACGTCCGATGCGGTGGGTGTAGGATTCAATGTTGGTGGCCATGTTGAAATTCACTACAAGACTCACGTCGGGGACGTCGATACCACGACCTGCCAGGTCGGTCGCCACGAGGACGTCGGTCTTGCCGTCCCGGACTGATTGGAGAGCTGCCTCACGCTGTTCCTGCGTCTTGGACCCGTGCAGTGTGACGCTGCTGAATCCCATGGATTTGATGTCCCTGGCCACAGCGTCGCAGTTTCTCTTGATATTCACAAAGACGATGATCGGTGGACGGAATTCTCCACTCGAGAGGATCTCGTTCAGTCTCTTCTTGCGTTTATCCTCGCCAGCGACGAACTCCACCCGTTGTTCGACAGTCTCGACCGCTTCGCCCACATTGCCGATCGTCACGATGGCCGGCCTTCTCAGGTATTTCCGTGCGATCCTCTCGACGGCGGCAGGCATGGTTGCTGTGTACATCATTGTCTGCCGGTACCGGTCCTTTCCACCCAGATGGCGGGACATAGCTCTTCCGTCTTCCGCGGCTTCACTGTCGGGCTTCTCATTGCTTACAGGCAAAGCATCGAGGATCTTGTTCACAGGCTCTTCAAACCCAAGATCGATCATGCGGTCTGCTTCGTCCATGATCACGTAGCAGCATTGCTCCAGCACGATGATGCGGCGATCGATACAATCCACCAGACGACCTGGCGTTGCGATGATGATTTCTGCACCGTTGCGTAGATTATAGGCTTGTTCCTCGATACTGTGACCTCCTACTATCGAGACAACCGTGAAACCCAGTGGTGTCGCAAATTTCTTGGCTTCAATTTCGATTTGCTGGGCGAGTTCACGGGTGGGCGCGAGGATGATGGCGTATGGTCCGTTATTACGGCGCATGTCGTCTTCGTCTAGGCGGGGAAGTTCGGCAATGTAGACGAGTAGAGGGAGGAGGAAGGCTGCAGTTTTGCCGGAACCAGTTACTGCAACACCGATGAGGTCGCGATTCTGAAGGGCGATAGGGATGGCGGCCCGTTGGATGGGCGAAGGATCAACATATCCTACTTGATCGATGATTTCCAACAGCTTTCTCGGCAGTCCAGATTCTTTCCAATTACGCATGGGATTGGGGATGCCGCCACCTTTCGTGCTGATATTGAAATCCTCTTTGAAAATGCGCCAGTCCCGTTCGCGCATATGCTCCAATTTCTTCTCACTCCAGTGTTTGTCAATGGACATCCGGCCGGATTCTTCCTTCCTCTTGCGCTCCATTTCGAGAATCTCTTGGGCGCGTGCTGCTCCAGCAACTGTGTCTCTCGATTGCAACGCCTCTGCGTACTTTCGTGCTGCCGCATCAGCCGCTTGTTCATCAAACCCACCCAGTCGGCCTCTTCCGAAGAAGCTGACCTCGGCGCGGTTGTTGTAGATAGGATTGTAGTCTGGCGTCGTGTCCTCTTCGGCATTCCATTCGAAGTTGAATTTCTTTTCTGTCGTCCGCCGTCGCTTCTTCAGGGCAGAGAATGTCGACACATTCATGTCAGCACCCATATACCTCTGTCGGATGATCTCCGTTTCTGCCTTTTCAGACCGGTCGTCCTCCGCCCCTCGCTTCTGTGCTCTGGAATCACCACCAAAAGCGATTGATTTGGGTGCCGCGGGAGGCACAAAGTCGACGCCCTTGTTGGGTTCTCGTGACCGCATCGCAGCAGGACCTGTAGGCACATCTCCATGACGCAGAGCCTTTGGTCCCGTCGGCGCTGAGCTTGGCTTGGGGGGTTCCGGCGCTGCAGAGGAGCCGTTCCGTAAAACGCCGTTCTGTTGTTTCTGAGCAGAGGCCGCCTCGACCTCCTTCTGCCGCTTCTCCAGAGCGAGCTTTTCACGCTCCGCCTTAGAGAGGAACTTTGGTTTGCTGGCTGCAAGATCGGCTTCTCTCTTCTTCTTGAGGAGTTCCTCCACACTCAATGGCGTCGCCTTGGCCGTCTTCGTCGAGCCGCCCCATCCTTTCTTCTTCGGAGGTTGCGGCCTGACGACATTTGTCTTCGAGTCTGGTTCGTCGCTGGGAGGAGGCGGCACCGGCTCAGGCGGGGGAGGGGGCACGCTTGAATCTGTAGGCGGAGGAGGCGGGGCGAAGCTGGCTTCTAGCGGAGGCGGAGGCGGTTCACTCTCAGCGGACGGGGGAGGCGGAGGTGTCTGTGGTCTTGAAAGAGGGTCAACAGGAGGTGCTGGCATTTCAACTTTGCGGTGGCCGTTCACCATTGTACCCGCCATTCTGGCGTCTGTTGCGCCGGTTCGGACCTTTCACAGGTCTTGGTCCAGGCGGACAATTGTGGGAGGGGAAAATAGTGTCAGTTGTATGAAGGGCAAAGAGTCTCACTCAAGAAGCACTGACATATTGGGGAGGAAAAGGAGATCAAGACTGTGATAGAAGTCTATGGTGGAGACGCAGTGTCAAGGGCCAGAAGCTGGAAAGACCGAGAAGAGCCTTGGAGTCTGAGACCGCGGTGAATCAATTTTCCGACAAGGCTTACGCTAGCCACAATGGGGCTGGGTCGATCTCTTGAGAGTGCGGAGAACACGGTCAGCATTCTCTTAGTCGAACAGAAGCACAACGCTCATAGAAGGCGATACCTGAAGGGAACTAAAGGTTTTCATCCTCTGTGAGCCCACCGGTGCCCAAAGTCCAGCCTCAACTGCAAAACAAAGAGAACAATCAGAAAGGTACCTAGGTATTCCTTGCTATATAGTACAGGAAAATTAAGGCTACAAAGACCCATGCTCTTATCAACAAGCCGTTTCATATCCATTACTGTATCTTCGTCGAAAAAGAAAATCCTGACCACCACCCTCTGATCCAATCCTCGGTAAGATTCTGCTCAATATATCTGCCCGCCCGCAGTGATCGAAGCGGAGGACCATACTCCCTCAGAGCATATTCGTGGCTCCTTTTTTTGTTGGACGACTCCTTCTGACCCGTCAAGGACAGTAAGAGGATGATGCGAGCAGGGCTGTCGAGAACCATTTTAGGTGTAGATTCCTACGCCTTCCTTCCGTGTGTCGTCACCACCATAATCATCTTCAGCCGTGCTCTCTAGCACGGCATCATTCCAAATCGTGATACTGTCGAGTCTTTCGCCCTTGTTTAGATGAACCGCTTGAAATGCGTCGACTTCTTCAACATCCTCTTCCTCTTCACCAATGACACCTGGCTCTTCCTCTTCCTCTTCTTCGATGATTTGACTTTTCCTCTTCGAGCTGCTGTTCCTTTTACCACCTCCAGCCATAAAATCTTTGAGGCCCAAGTTGAGCTTTCCGTCCGACCCTTCACGGTTTCTTCCAGCGCCAACGATAGCAGGGCTTCCGAACGCGGCGGGAATTGTTGACGCAGAGAAAAAGGCCGAGTTAAGTGTTGGGCCTTTGAAGGGTGATTTCTTCCGCCGAGCGAACATGACGTTTGACCCAAAGGCGTGGCTCTGTGGTGTCCCTGGTGGAGGATTGAGTATCTCATTGCCCACCCCAGAGAGCGGGCGAGGCTGAAGACCGGCATCGGAGCCTCTAGGCGTCCGGACTAATCGAATATTCGAAGGGAAAGCATTGGCTGTAGGCGTCACGGGCAGGACTTTAATCGAGGGATGAGGAGAGCGGCCATTGAGACTAACCGTGCGGCTCGTGGGGCTTTGGATCGTATCAAGACTGTTGGAACTCTGGGATGAGGCTTTGCTGTGAGAGGTGTTGTGTCGGGCCATGCTTCGGATCGATGAAACGGACGAGGATGTCGATTTTCGGCTCTTTAGACCGGTGGAACTGCGTCGGTACGAAGACCGGGGAGTTACAGGCGAAGGTGAGAGAGAATTGCGATGAGGTCTCCCACGGGCTGTATCGATCCGAGGCGCAGGATTTCTAACAGAAGGAAGAGGTTTGGAAGTGGAAATGGCGGGAATGAGTGCAGACCCGTTAGAGGATCTGTCTGGATTTGCCGTGCCTGTGAGGTTTCGGGTGCTCTTGTCCATTTGATTAGAGTCTTTGGAAAGAGTTGCTTTGGAGACGTTGTCGGAATGCCCATTCAAGATTTTGTCGATTCTAGGACTGACTGGCGATTTGGCTCTCTTTGTGGAGTCGACGATCCACTGCTTCAGCGCTGTAAGTTGGCTCAGAAATTGTCGGTTGCGGAACCTCCCGCTTCGTCTCTTGTTCACTCCATTTAAGGGCCCCAGTAAATCGGGATTTGTTGTCACGAGCTGTAGGGTACTGCTCCGCCGATTGCGGTCCTTCGATGGTAGAGGAGGTCGGGAGCCGCTCCGAGAGCGCACGGAGTCTTTATCGATCGGTGGTGGCGGTGGCGTTTCAGGCCCAGGAGACTGGATCACGTCTCCTTCGGGAAGCTGAGGCAAGTCGCTAACCAATATCTGAGGCGTACTCCTTCGTTGTGTTCTGCCTCGACTGGTGCTCCGACGGCCTTCAAGCTCGCCAGGAGAATGCTCTTCATCGACCTCAACCAACGTGGGCGCGATCCTCTCCAGCCTGCTGCTAGCACCACTCAGCCGCCTGAGGATCTTCAACTCTGCTTCTCTTTCCTTCCGTTTGCGTTCTTTTCGCACTTGCTTCCTTGTCTCTTTTTCGATGAGTAACGCCCACCATCCAGCTAGCGTATCGCAACGTTGCGAAAGTACATTCTCGATGACTTTGTCAATATCAACACCTGCCGACTTCATCCTTTCAAGGGTGTCCTTTTCCAGCTGAGTGGTGAATGCCGCTGGTTGTGAAAGTTTCAAAATCGCTTGTTGCTGAGGCGCGTGGTCCGACAGAAAGGGGTCTGCGAGAATATCTGACAAGCTGGGTCTGTGCAGGGGCCGCTTCGAGAGGAGCTTGGAGATCAGAGTCTTTGCGGCTTCCGGAAAGGACTCGGGATAGACGGGATCGTCCTTCAATATCTTCGCCTTGGTGGCTGCATCGTCGTCTTCGTCAAAGGGCAGTTCTCCCTTTAAAAGCGCGTAAAGAATGATCCCCAGGCTCCAGACGTCAACCTTCTCGCCGGCATATTTCTCGCCTTTTAGCATTTCCGGTGCACTGTAACATACCGTCCCACAAAATGTCTGCAGATAGTTCGCTTTGCCCTCGTACTCCCTGGTGAAGCCAAAATCGCAAAGTTTAACGTTGTCGTTCTTGTCGAGAAGAACATTCTCCAATTTCAGATCGCGGTGGACACATGATTTGCTGTGGATATATGCAACCGCTCCGACCAGCTGAGTGAAGATCTTCTGCACAGTTTCGACGGGAAGTGGCCCATTCTTACATAGATAATTGTACAACTCGTCGCCTGGAGCGTGGTTAGTTGGCCGAGTTGTCCACCTCGTGGAGTCAGATCTTCGTACCAGGACAATATTCCAAAACTAGCCACACAAGAGATTCTGTTATTATAACTTCGTATAATCGAGCGATATGAGGGTGGATGAATTGTCGATGGTGGTGGATTTCTCTCGCAAGGTTTGGGTCGTCTTTACTCGAGGCCTTGAGTACCACCTTTTGGGACCCCCAGTCAGCGTGCTGCGGCTTGAGGCGCCATGTGTTGTCCATGCCAGAACTGACCTTGGAGCCATTTGTCAAGTTGTGCTTGGCAAGGTAGACCTTGCCGAAGGAGCCCTTTCCAATGAGTTTCCCTAACGAGTAGTTTCCCACAGTCTTGAGTTCTTTTGAGGCAAATTGGCTGGTTGCGAATGTCAGCACAGACTCGGTACAGGTCGAGGACGAGGGTTCTTACTCGAGTAACTCCGAGTAGGAGTCGGCAAGCTGTTCGCCATTCCCAGTCAGCTCGATATGCCATACGAAACACGTCACAAATGCACCGATTATGGTCCTACTTTTGCTTTATGTTGCTGAAGCTCGGCTTTGGTCCTCTGAGCTTGCATTCCTCGCGACGACTGAACCCTGCAGATTGGTGTGGGCGTTCCTGCGGCTTCTTGAGGGTATGGATAACATGTGGGCAAGTCCGAGAGGGGGAGGCTTCGCCCGCTGGGTGGTCTTTGCGCGCTTTCAGGAGATGGCGAGTAGTCGAGGGGTAGCAGGGAGCGAGTCGCGGTCGGGCTCGAATGTATAAAGGCGCATTTGAGACTGGGAGAGCTGAAAGATCCGAGTCAGGGCTCGTTGACAGTCCGCAGTCCGCAGTCCGCAAAACCAGTGACGTGAACAGCGGGATGTGATGCAAGTGGTGACAGGCGGGCACGTTCAAGAGTTTGGGATCTCGAGACCAATTATTGCGAGCGCCCAAAAATATTAAGTTGTTCAGGGTTGTGTGGAGGTGGGAGAAAGGTGGGAGGGAGGCTGCGCCGGGTTTTTTGGGTGTGGAGGGCCGATCAGGCGTGTATCCCCTGAACCCTCACTTTTAGCAGAAGAAACCCAGCAGCATGGAATAGGGAGCCCATCCGGCCCCTTGGATCTGGTCTACCTAGGTATGTATGTGCTGATCTCTATTCGTATCTATGTATGTTTAGAAACCTCCATCTACGAACGGTCTCCACTGGAGTCGTCGGACACCAATGGTTACAAGTTACTATGCTGCTCATGTAAATGACGCCGCCACAAAGGTTCCTCCAAAATACTCGAGGCAATACTGACTGCTCCACATGGCACGTGTGTCACAATAGCCCTGCCGATCGTCAGACAGGGTGAGATGGAGAACATAGTGGTGGGTGAGACAACGTTGAAACTGCGGTCTCCATCATGTCGAAAGGTATGCACATGCACATTGTGGAAAGGGAAGTGATAACAAGATATCGAATGATTCAATAACGGCACTGTTCATGATGCTCGCTTCTACCGTAGAATACTCATTTGCCCCAAGATGGAGCCGAAATCCTGGAGATTCCCAAAAGCAATATCCCCCAACGCCCGGCTCAGTAGCAAAACATTTTAGGTCTATATACATTATACACGTACGTCTCGACGTTCCAGAACAAGAGAGGATCGTTAACATCGTCAAAGCCCGGCGATAGCCTGAGTTCAAGACCTCGGGGCCTGGTATTCCTGGTAATATCTGTTCTCTGAACGTTGTGACGAGGGTAGTTCAGAGATCATGCTTGTCCGGTCAGAGAAACTGCGATGGCCCGACATGCCTGATGCGACCGACGGGGCGCTGTCCTGCGACCAATCCTTTGCGTTTAGCCTCTGGACATAGGGATTCTCTGCCACAAGGCTGCTCTGGTCGGACTGAGCTTGCAGATTGGGTGAGCCCATCAGCGTTCCTTCAGACCCTGACAATTCAGACACCACGCTCATTCGGTGGTCCAACGGAGGAGTATCGCGGGCGTTTGGCGCAAGATGGCCTGTGTGATATGTCGAACCAGGCAACTCGGCCACGAACTGTTTGGGGGGTTCAGGTTGCTTCAGTGGTGCATAGTAGCTCATTCGTTGCTGCTGGGCGTTGGCTTGGTATGGAGGCAGACTGTAGGTGCTTGTTCGCTTGTCGTCGGGCCGGAAAGCCGGATGTAGCGCCATTGTCTGCCAGCCCAGGTCTTGCTGCGGCGACAGCATTTGAGGGGAGAGAGGTCTTTGGTAGATGGCCGGTGCATTGAGGATTTGCGAATTCGACATGTGGGAGCCGGACTGGAATCGAGGGGTTTCTGGAGCAGGAGTCATAGGGACTCCCAAGGTCTGGACCTGTTCCTCCACGCGCTCGGCCTTTTTGAGAATACGCTCCACCAAAACTTTGTGTGAGTTGTCGAGGTTTTTGCGAACAAACGACGTAAGGAGCATGTTGCATCTCATGTCGCCATCCTCGCGGAGATAGAGGCCTGTTCGAGGCACCTCGATCCCCAGTTCTCGTGGCTCCGGAGGCTCACCAGGCAGAGATCCTCCTATGGTCCATTTTTCTCGGATGTCCAGGCCCATCGGAGCATAGATGTGTGTCTGAAGCCCATATGGAGTATCATGAAAGCAAGCCTTATAGCTGACTTTCCCTTTGACGATGCCACCGGGTAGGTAATGGATCTTGTCCGTCAGCTCTTGCCAGGCGCAGTCCAAGAATTCGTCGGCCGGGGCATCTCGGGGGGTTTTGATGGGGTGGTGTTCGATGACAAGCGGGTTCAGCTCTATCATTTCATCGTGGTTGTGGAGCATGGCAATCGCGACCTCGCGCGAGACTTGAGGAGGGAGAGGGGTGATGTTGGTGAAGAGGGTGCGTTTCGGCATCGCTAGATGGGCCTTGTTTCTCGGTTGCTGTCGATCAAGGTCTCCAGGGGGAAGGATTTTCAGTCTTCTTACTTGACTCGAAGGATTTAAAAGTTGACGATATACAATGACATGAATGTACACTGGATACTCTAGACTGTCGCAACAAGACCAGTGAGAGCAGGGAAGGATCCGAATTTGAACAACTCAGTCCAGGACACATGCAGCTGTGCCTGGGAAGAGCCTAGATGCCGTTAAAAGCAAACGACCGTCTTGGTAAGAATTCACCTCTAAGAATAGCTAGTGCTTATCACCTTCTGGGTAGTTGTGAGGGTGAATCGGCTCTGTGGCTGACGCGATGCTGGCTGCGACGATCAGCGAGTGGTCAGAGGTCATGCCCAAGAGGCCCCCCTGATCGCATTGACACCCGCTTTTTCGGTTAGATCCAGGATAGACAGAGGCGGAGCTGTCGAGTTGCAACCCCAGCACTGCTGCGCTTTCGAAACACCAAAATTTCCCTAACCCCCGGGTTGCATCGAGTCGCAGTGGGGTGAGGTCCTGCCAGATGAAAAGCTAATGCGCGCACACAAACACAACGCACCTATACACGTCCACAGAAAGAGAGAGACACTTGAGGAGATAGAGAGCTGCCCGTGCACATGAGTCGGCCACGTTGGCGACCAGGGCCACGTGTGGCCACGCTCTGACCCCTGGGCGGCCAGCGGCCAGCGGCCAGCGGCCACGGGAGAAGCCAAATTGGCGATTGAATACGAAAATTGACCTCAGATGGGGAACATGATGCCGTGGAGGGGCCTGCTGCGCCGCACCAAAGCTCCCTCACCTACCTAGTAGGTACGAGAACACGCCGAAGTCCTGTAAATGCTAGCTTTGCCACCGTACTATCTTCGTCAACCTTTGTACAGCATCCTTGCTGATACAGAATGTGGGATCCAGCTCCTTCAAACCGGGCTCGTTGTATATTGCCAGTGTTGCGAGCCCAAGATATGAGTGCAGGAGATCTGGAAGAGATGTTAGGAGACCGAGTTTCTGCAAAGGGGCGGGACCTCGAGACGCTGTGAGCACTCACCCGGAAGTTCGCCAGGGCCCTTCGCAAATCCGCCGATCATGTGGGTGACCTTTCCCAGAAGATATCGCCTTAACGAGTCGACTTCAACAAGATGGTGCTGTTGCAGGATCTGCTGGATGATCAGCCAAGTAGGTCAATTGTCCCGTTTAGGCACACTGACTGCAAGAGCTCCCACGTTCCAAAAGCAATAACAGGTATCTGCGATCTTCCCACAGCGGCCGCAAAATCCAGCAATCGCCTTCGGCATGACCAAGCTGGTCTGCAGACTGGACAGGTCAGAGGACGATGGGTAAGCTCCGTGGTCGTTCCCGGTATCGGCTCGATCTCCAGGCTGGCTGTCTTCGCCTTCATCTTCGTCCTCGTCGTCTTCTATCCATGTTGTTTGTCGATCCAGCATCCATCTGGTACAGATTGATGTGTCGACGTTGGCTCGTTCCGCCATCTCCTGCACGGATATCGCGGGTTTGTGAAGCAGCCCGAGAAATGAGAGTGTTGCGATGCCACAGTAATTCAGCCCGGCTGGGAAAGGAATCAGCAAAGTGATGGACAATCCAGCAGTGGAAGGATCTTACAATGAGCTTCGAGAAGAGGAGCTTGACCAATCCCACCCTCATGAGACTAGGGTAGAAATCAGCCCTGCACGCTGGTTGTGCGATCATTGGTTCCTTACCTGACAATTGGCAATATATCTCTGCAAGCCTGCTTCGTCGAAAGTCGACCTCTCCGCTTGCTCCCCATAGCCCTGTAGTATTTTCATGATACCAACGGCGCACATGCAGTGTCTTGGATCGTCTGCCCCTTCGACCTGATCATTCTCTCCGAGGAACTCCCCGAAACTGCCATTCGGTCGTTGTAGACCTGTCACCCAGGCAAGGCATTCTTTCCTCTTCACCCTGGCAAGGTCATCTCCCAGAATCACCAAGGTAGCCAGTGCAAAGTAGGTGTTTGGCAGATTGGCCGGATCCCAGTGCCAGTTGTTGTAACTCCTCTGGCCCCCGAGCATTGTCCCCGTGAAACCCCGGAAGCCGCCTGTGTGAGGGACTTGACAGGTGTAGATCCACTCAATCCAGCCCTGTCTCTCGGCTGGCGTGATGACGGTGTCGAGTGCTCCCAGCAGATCCAGCGCAGCCACGATAAAGAAGCCGAAACTCATTCGGTTGGCTTCACCTGATGTGTAAGGCTCGGGCAGGATTTGTGCACACCTTTTCCAGTATTTCAAATGGCGCTCCCTATCAAAGAGATATTCCTCCTCGGAGGCCATGGTGCAAAAGTCACAGAGTCGTGAATCCTTTCCAACGGGAGTTCGATGTCAGAATGCAATCCAAGAAGCATGTGGTTGAGGCCAGAGTTATCAGTGTGCCGTAGCTTCGCTCGACAGAGGTACCGTATGGTGTTGTATTTCTCACGTCTTCCGATGATTTTGAATCTCAAGGGCTCGGAGTAGAGGAACAAGTTTGAACCGCTCTACTATGTTTTTGGACGAGAGAGCCTTAGACAAAATGAAATGGAACATTTGGGCACCGGGTAAAACTACTTGGTGGTAGAGAGAGGCCCAAGAAGAGGTCAACGAGGCTAGCTCTGCAAGGCGCGGAAAACTCGTGTTTTCTGCGTTGGGCCTCTTCAACTATGTTCAAAGCGCCTCTTCAATGGGAATCATATTCCGATAAAACGTGCCATAGTCATGCTTTCAAGTGGATCAATAGAACTCTGATCAAGTCATAATCTAAGTCTGCCTATCTGTCGTGCATCCTTTTCATTTGCAATGTCCCGGAAAGAATTGGAAAATCGAAGAAGAAAATCATCAAGTCAGAAAAATTACATAAAATCATCGTCCCCGAGGCCGTCGTCGTAGCTAGTCGTGTCCGCTATTCCTCGGCCCATGTCCCGGGTTGCTGCAAGAGAGGACTTGGTCTTTGCTGCCTTTGACTTTTTGCCGCCCTTCTCGCGTTCCTTTTCCTCCTTCATCTTCTCGTTGCTCAGAGCCGTTAGTGCACTGGCCGCTTTTTTGATCTCTGCACTGGGTAACTCAGAAGCTATTTGCTTCACAAAGGTTGGCAGCCAGATAGCATAGTGCGGTTTTGAAGAAGCCGCTGTGAGTAGAGGTACCAGGACTGCTGAGAGGGCGTCGAATTGTGTCTTGGTGGCGGGCTTGAACAGAGGCAGTTGTGAGAGATCGATTGTCTGACCCGGGTTTGCCTTGTCTTCTATTACTACCGCCTTGGTGGGTGCTACACGCGACTTGGGGTCCAGTGCTGCATCGGCAAACAGATCTTGGGCATGTTTGAGGTCAGAATCTTGCTCTGACTTCCGTAGTCTTGCACGCCTGCTTGCTTCGTCTTCCTCTTCCTCTGAGCTCTCCTCGTCTTCCTCTTCAGCACGTTTCCGTCGGTTTGCCTCCCGGTGCTCCTCTATCCGTTGAGCCTTGCTCTTTTTGTTGGCTGCGGCTTCTGCGTCAGCCTTGGCTTTGGCAGCGGCTGCTTTCGCAGCTTTCTCTCGCTCGGCTTCAGAGTCTTCTTCTTCTTCCCAGTTATCGGCAACCTAGCACTCGTCAGCCTTCCCTTGGTGCGCTGCGCCTAACGAGGACCTTAACGTACATCATCAGAATCTTCTTCATCCGCAAACTTGCGGCGAGCAACGGGAACATCTACTGATTCTTCCTCAGATGACTCTTCGGACTCCTCATCTGTCCAGATAACATTGTCAACAAAAGGTTCCTGGTGGTTTGAGGTAGGCGAAAGAGGATTTGCCCCGCGGCTTCAAGGGATGCGACTCACCCCACTTTGAAGGAGGCATATTGCCGTTGGAAGAAAGACCGGGGGATTTCGCCTTTTTGTTTGATGAATCTGTTGCGCTTTGAAATATCGTCGCGGGGAGTGGGAATGGGATCTAGGTAGAAGTAGCGTGGTAGGGTACAATGAATCGAGTAGAATACGAGGATTTGACTGTCAGTTTGGTGACGACAAGCAGGCGATCTAATAAAATTATGGGCGAGGATCTCAAAATTGCCAAGACTTCCATCGCATTGATGAGACACCGCACAGCGAGACGGTACATTCACGTGACGGTTCAGGACGTTCTTCACGTGTTAGGGCATCTCTAGTGGAATAACACGCCAGACGCTCCGTGCCGCTATGTTTGTCAGGGGCTCCGAAAAGTCTTCCGTCTCGTAGGGTTTGATAGGCCTGTTACGTCTGCGCCATCCCGGTCTCATGAGACTCACGTACGTCCAGATGTACGAGGTATGATAATGAGTATCAGTTGCAGAATTCGTACTTTATTCTTGTAAAGTGCATAGAACACACACAACCCGCTCCAAGCTACCCGAAGGGCGTCTCTCCATTGAAGTTGTTTTCAGCTGCTTCTTTCTACGGCTTGGTATCCCGGTTTCTCCGAACTCCTTCTGCTCACAAGGTGACAGACTTGCGGAAGTTGGTGCCAGCATAGATGGCGTTGGATCCCAGCTCTTCTTCGATGCGCAGGATCTGGTTGAGCTTGGCAAGACGTTCAGATCGTGCTGGCGCGCCAGTCTTGATCTCACCAGCTCGGATACCCACCACTATGTCAGCAATGGTGACATCTTCAGTCTCCCCGGAACGATGAGAAACCATCACTCCCCATCCAGCTGCATAGGAATCTTTGGCGGCTTGAATGGATTCGGTGAGGGTGCCGATTTGGTTGACCTTCAGCAACAGAGCGTTGCAAGCTTTGGATTCAATGGCTCTCTTGATGCGCTTGGGATTCGTCACAGTCAAGTCATCACTAAGTCCTGTCAGCGATCTTGGCTCTTACCGCCGTGAAATATGAGAACTTACCCGACAATCTGGAAGTTGGACGTCTTGAAGAAATAGCTCCATGCCTCCCAATCGTCTTCGGCAAAAGGATCCTCGATCGAGACAATTGGATACTTGCTCGCCAGAGACTTGTACATGTCGGCTAGTTGCTCGTAGGTGATCCATTTGCTTGGGTCGCTGTCGGGATTCTTGAAGTCGAGGTCATACTTGTTCTCCTTCTCTTTATAGAACTCGCTGGAGGCGACATCCATAGCGATATTCATCTTGCCCTTGTAGCCAGCTTCCTCGATCGCAGCAGAGATCAGGTCCAGAGCCTCTTCGGCGGTTTGAATATCCGGAGCAACGCCACCCTCGTCGCCAACGTTGCCAGCGGATTGGCCGTACTTCTTCTTTGCCAGAGCCTTCAACTTCTGATAGACCTCGGCACCCCATCGAAGACCTTCACTGAACGACGGAGCTTGGCTGTGTTGGTTGTTAGCTCAGCCCGATGGAGTATAGGGACGAAACTCATACTCGGGGACAATCATGAATTCTTGGAAAGCGAGACGACCACCTGCATGAGAGCCTCCATTGAGAACGTTCATGAATGGGACAGGCAGCACATATGGCTTCTTCGTGCCTGCCAGATCTGAAACATGTGCGTAGAGAGGGACACCTTTCTGAGCAGCACCGGCTTTGGCAACCGCGAGACTGACGCCCAGAATGGCATTGGCACCAAGGTTGGTCTTGTTTTCTGTTCCATCGAGCTCAATCAGGAACTTGTCGACCGATGACTGGTCTGTGCAATCGATGTTCTTCTCAATCAACTTGGGTCCAATGACGGTGTTCACATTGTTAACAGCCTTCAGAACACCTTTGCCTCCCCAGTGTGTCTTGTCACCATCTCGGAGCTCGCAAGCTTCGTGTACACCGGTGGAAGCACCAGAGGGGACGATAGCGCGGTGCAGACCGGTCTCAGTCACGACGTCGACCTCGACCGTCGGGTTGCCCCGGGAGTCATAGACGGAGCGGGCGTGCACCTTGACGATAGGCATGGCTGTCGGTGGGTCAGTCAATGGAAGATATCGGAACAATGGCAAGAGAAGAGTCGAGGGGGACTAAGGGCTCGAGCGCTGAAGTAAAGTCAGGGAAGTAAGGCAAAGAGCAGATGGCAACTGCGACATGGGCTGAGGAGCTTCACGAAGATGGTTGAGGAGAGCTTGGGGGAGGTACTCACTTGATGTTTTTCAGTGGTGTGACAGAAGTTGTTGAGTCAGTAAACAATTGCTTAGTGATGAGTCCAAAGGGGGAAGTAAGAGGAGAACTGGTAGAGAGGAAGAGAAATGTGCAGGGACGAAACGAAACTTGAAGATATCAAGAGCAGTGAAACTTTTTGTTGCTTTTACGGTGGGGTATGGGCAAGAGCAACTGAGGGTATTGATCGCTACAAAACTTCCAACTCAGCAGTTTCACTCAGCAGCGATGCAGGGCGGGGAACATGATTGAACCCCTCCAGAGCTGTGGTTGCCCAACCAGCTAGTATTAACTCATCGCCGGCACCGACAGCGGATAGGCCAGGGCACCAGGGGTCCTCCCGTGCCCAGCCCGCCCCAACCAGCATGCTCGCGAGCCAGCGAGCCCAGCCTGCTCAGTGCTGAGCCTGGGCCAGGGGGACTCTTGTTGGGCTAGGCGAAAATCAATCGTCACCAAAGGGCAAAGGGAGCAAATGTGCCCAGCTCGCCAGATGGGTTATGCACTTGCACGTGATTTCGTTCGTTCTACCTTCCCAAATTTGCCTTGGCCTTCCTGCGCCTTTTGCCGCGTAGTGCTATGGTACCTGCAGCGCGCAAGCTTCCCATTCCTGGACTATTAGACACTTACTGATCCCGATTCTTGAAAACCTACATCGACATCTCGCGATTCTCAGACCTTAATACGCGGATCACTTCGCTTTCTCGTCTTCGCCATCCATCTCATACGCAGATACTCTCGACGGTCCCATAACCACGGGGTATCGCACCCGACCTCCTCTAAACAGCCAACATGGATGGAAACGGTGATCCGGAGCGGCAGCAGGCCCTCGAACAATATAAGAACAAACTTCTAGAGTCTCGAGAATGGGAAGCCAAGTTAAAAGCGCTTAGAATGGATATCAAGGGACTACAGAAGGAGTTTGAAACAACAGAGGACAACATCAAGGCATTACAAAGTGTTGGACAAATCATTGGCGAAGTCCTGAAGCAGCTTGATGACGAGCGGTGTATGTTTGTCGAATCTACCATGCGTTTGGAAATTGTTAACACAATCTAGTTATCGTCAAGGCGTCCTCGGGGCCCAGATATGTCGTCGGCTGCCGTTCCAAAGTCGACAAGTCCAAACTGAAACAAGGCACGCGAGTGGCGCTCGACATGACCACCCTGACCATCATGAGAATGCTCCCCAGAGAAGTCGATCCCTTGGTCTACAACATGTCTTTGGAAGATCCTGGTCAAGTCTCTTTCGCTGGTATTGGTGGTTTGAACGAACAGATCCGAGAACTGCGGGAGGTGATCGAGCTGCCGCTCAAGAATCCCGAGTTGTTTATCCGAGTTGGTATCAAACCTCCCAAAGGTGTACTGCTCTATGGGCCTCCTGGCACTGGGAAGACGTTGTTGGCAAGGGCAGTGGCAAGCAGTCTGGACACAAATTTCTTGAAAGGTGAGTCCCCAAGTCGTTGGTGGTTCACAAGCTCCATGCTGACTTCGGTCCAGTTGTGTCATCCGCTATTGTCGACAAATACATCGGCGAGTCGGCAAGACTGATCCGCGAGATGTTTGGTTACGCTAAAGAACACGAGCCTTGCATCATCTTCATGGACGAAATCGATGCCATTGGCGGGAGGCGCTTTAGCGAAGGAACTTCGGCCGACCGGGAAATTCAGAGGACGTTGATGGAGCTTTTGAACCAGCTCGATGGTTTCGACTACCTCGGAAAGACCAAGATCATCATGGCCACCAACAGACCCGACACCCTAGACCCTGCTTTGTTGCGAGCAGGTCGACTTGATCGAAAGATTGAAATTCCACTGCCCAATGAGGTTGGCCGTTTAGAGATTTTGAAGATCCACGCCGCCGGGGTGGTGACGGAAGGCAACATTGACTTTGAAAGCGTGGTCAAGATGAGTGACGGTCTCAACGGCGCCGACTTGCGAAACGTCGTCACCGAAGCAGGGTTATTCGCGATCAAAGATTACAGAGATGCTGTCAATCAGGACGACTTCAACAAGGCGGTGAGAAAAGTGGCCGAGGCGAAGAAACTCGAGGGCAAGTTGGAGTATCAGAAGCTGTAAGATATGACTGGGTGGTTGGGATTCCGTGTATTGCATAGCGAGACGACCCTCGAGGTTGAAGCGAGACTTGCAGCGGTGAGTAATGGATGGCTGCGATGTCCTAATGTGGCTCCCTTGTTATGCCTGCATGAATCCCATGGCGACCCGCCACCACCGCTGAAGTCCTCTCGCCTCCATGCGTGTAGCCATTTCCTTGACCGTCGCGACTTCTTCTAGACAACCCAGCCCGTCATCGTCCTGTTGAGGACTATCCCGCCAAAGCTCGGATGGAACAGCATGGACAGGCGCTGCCAATTGGTAGTCTTTGTATCTCAGGTCATGAACCGTGTCGACCCACTTCTGGACATTGGATCGATCACTGCCTCGTACATACATAACGCCAGGAATCCCCCCGGACCGAAGCAGAGCGTAGCATTGGAACTGTTTGGCGGCGGCTTTGAGTCGGGCAACCTTCTTCCTAGACGTGATGTGATGCGTTCGGATCAGGGCATGGTATGCTGTACCGGACATGCCTCGCCCACCTGTGGTGAAGGGATAGAGAGGAGGTTGTAAAGCAACTTGAATCTGTGCGAGATAGTCATTGATACTCGAGGCGAAGCCGAGCAAAACTGGGTGGATGGACGATGTCGGCAGATTGTCGGCTTAACATTCATCTTCTGCAATCTCTCCATCTCACCTTCACCTTTTCGCCCTCACAAAGATCGCAGCAACGAGCAATCAGGCGTATCACACAATCTTGCTTATTCTACTTCATATCTTCATCTCCTCCTCGACATTGCGTTTGTTCCAGCAGGTTGACATGCACTGACACAGTCCAAACCAGATCTCAGACAGCCAAACTCATCCTCCTCAATGGGCGAAGGAGTGACCTTTTAGCAACATGAAAGAGGCGGACTTCTGCGCACTCTCTGCCCTCACCACCAAGAACGCCTCGTCCTTTTTGTGCTTTTCCCCGCATCGAGGATATCGCCCTTTGAAAGCTCCAAACCAAAATCTTACAGCGGAAGCATAGCAAGATGGCGGCATTCGGCACAGGCTACGAGGTACAGGTAGCCTGTTCTTGCGTCAGGAAGCAGACGAGACCACGCCAATTCATAAGCCTAAACGTGCTCTGTTGCCGGCGGCTATTTTCCCAGCTCAGCTGCCTAAACCCAACTCTCTTGGACAGGGACGAGGGGAACAAAGGGGCTTTGCATCGACACTGCGTATTAGGTGCCGCCAATGTGATGCCGTAATTCCGCCATTGTGCCGTCGGATCCTTGACCAAGGCAAGCAGCTGCCAGCCTCGGTACATGCAATGCGTCCTCGCTGCAAAATGGGCCTTGGATTCCCATGGGGCTTTCAGAAACGACACCCATTTGCGGATTTGACCATCTTTTGAACAGACTAGCACCACCCCTTACAAATGCCCCAAGCCCGGCGGTCTTTCAGGTGGTATTTTTGCATTACCCCGGTTATTCTGTAACTTGGTTTCCTTCTCTTCCCATTCCCTTGTGAGCGCCTAGAGAGCCTGAGCATCGTGGTGTGGCATTGAGAGGAAGTCGTCATGGGTCTTTGTGTTCAATGATTCTGTTGCTGCTTTCGTCCAGACTCTTGACGGTTTGCCAGAGTTGAAGGTCGGACCAATATCTCCTGTTTTACACACTGCCCTGTCGCCATGTCAAACCCCCAGCATGATATTTCTAAGACAAGAGTCGATGCCATTCCCATCGATGCTCCTAGTAGCAAAGAAGTTGAGATCGGGGCGACGGCCGTTGTTTCTTTGCCACCAATAACCCTCATAGATGGTGGATTCCGGGCATGGCTCCAGGTCATTGGGTGTTTCCTTGTCTTCTTCAATGTCTGGTAAGGATTTCCGCTCCTTGATGGAAACAGATTGCTAACTGTGATCGGTAACTAGGGGCTTCACCTTTGCCTTCGGCCTCTTCCAGAACTATTACGAGACATCCTTCCTAAAGTCCAGCTCTGCATCCGACATATCCTGGATCGGAACACTCGCATCCTACCTATTGATCGTTATTGGCATAATTTCTGGGCCATTGTTTGATCTCGGTCATTACCGCTCCATGCTCTTTGGCGGCGCGGCTATGTCATGCCTTGGAATTTTCATGTTAAGCTTGTCAAGTCAGTACTATCAGATCATATTGACTCAGGGCATCTGTACTGGCCTGGGCTGTGGCGTACTTTTTATCCCAGGAATGGCACTTGTCAGTCGTTCATTTAAAGCCCGGAGAGCAGTTGCACTGGGCGTCGTGAGTTGCGGCGCTCCGTTTGGTACGTGAATGGTTCGAAAGTTATTCAATGCAACGCTTGCTTATTGTCATATCAGGTGGCATCATCTATACCATTGTCTTTCAGCAGCTGATCGACCCCTTGGGTTTTGCGTGGACTGTCAGAGTTATGGGTTTCATCATGCTCTCAACGTTTCTTATGGCCTTCCCTCTGTTGCTCTGGGGCGCGACAAATACTGGTGACATCAGCTCGGGCACTGCGAGAAAACTCTTCGACAAAGCAGCTCTTAAGGATAGCGGGTTTTGGTTCTATACTTGGGCAAACTTCTTCGTCAGTCATTACGTGGCCCAAAAAGCTATATCTGTTCGCGAAAGCTGACTGTCACAGTTGTTTACTGGCTACCTCGTTCCCTTCTTCTATATACCCAGTTATGCACAGCTTGCATTGGGCACATCACGAGCTCTGGCGCTTTATTCGGTTGTCATTGCGCAAGGATCTTCTGTGGTGGGGCGAATGATAGCCTCGACTGTCGCTCTGCATATAGGTGTCATGATTCCCTGGTTGACATGTGGCTTCGTCTCCGCCATTCTTTGCCTAGCTTGGATAGCCATTGACAGCAAAGCATCTTTCTGCGCATTTGCCGCTCTTTATGGTAAGCCATTCCAAAATATCAGTTGTGGTTCTTACTGTCGTGATAATAACTAGCATGCAGGCTTCTTCAGCGGCGCTCTCATTCCACTCCCACCTAGCATATTCCCCGTTGTCTGCCCTGACCCGAAGGTCTTGGGCGCTCGCCTTGGTATGGCTCAAGCAATCGGCGCTACTGCTTCCCTTATCGGTAGCCCGATTGCTGGAGCCCTTGTTGGTGATGACGGACGGCACTATGTGGGACTGCAACTCTTCAGCGGGCTTGTGATGATGGTCGGAAGTGTGTTTCAACTATGCCTTTGGTTCACCTTGGTCAAGAAGAGAGACTGCAAGGTCCTAGTCTAGGCACTCATCCCTGAAATGCTGGAGGAAAGCACCATTCTGTCGTTGTCTACGCGAGTCGAAGAGTCGCACGCACACAAGGTTTCTTGAGAAGCTTTACACAACCCTGGGATCCAGTCGCATGGCATTCTCCACGATCAAGCGAACTAACTCGGACGCCTCACGTACATCCCACCCCGAAACGCAATACCCGTGACCTCGATCTCAGCTCAGATGATGGACATAAATAGCACTCCGCCTTCCGGCCCCATCCCTCCGTACGATCATCCCCAGACATCAATCTACCAGTGGGCTTACAAAAGATATGCATTTTCGCATAGTAAAGTAAGGCAAGCTCCTTTTCGTTCGATAATCTTCCACAACACCTACCACGATGCCTCTTGGGCTGGATGACGATGAGCTTGAAGCCTCCATTGGCATGTACAAATTGCAACTAAAACAAGGGCCCAAGGCTACACATTCCCTCCAGGCGCAGGCTTCAGCAAAAGATTCTCGCCTGCGATCAGCGACAGGGCCATCAACTCAACGCGGTTTGTTGCATGTACGAGGAGAGGATCAAGTGGAGAAGCAGTTACAGCGGCTCAGCGCCGTCGAAGAAGAGACGTTCAACAGCCACTTTCGTCCGCCTGTAACCAATTCTACCGCCTCGCCATGGTCTAAAGGAAACGTCCGCGATCCGAGAGAAGGGAAAACGAGTACGACAGGCTGCAGTGACGAGATGCAGCCTCGAAAACTGACCTGCAGCACTTCTCTCCCTCCCTTGGCATCCCGTCGACTCTACTGTTCCGGGCCAGCCCTCCAATATCAGCGGACGCCTGTAAGAAATCCTTGCCGTCGACGATTCAGTTACGCAGATGAGTTTGAGAAGGAGCTGCGAGACATGGACGTGAAACACGGGTGCAGACCGAAGGCGACATCTACTAGCAAGTCTTCCCACACTCGGACTCAATCGGACTTGTCATCGACAAGTTCATCGCCGCCACAAATTCAGAAGAGAGTCTCTTTTTTCTGGAAACTCAAGAAGAATGTGCATTCGCATGGCTCGACTTCTTCCGCTGCAAATACAGAGGCTGACTTTGATGCCAAAGAACCTGCCACCAATACTGATGTATCACCACGGCACGCGGGGAAACGGTCTACTCGCTTTGAACGGCTGGTCAAGCAGCTGCAGGGCTGCGGTAGTGACAGTGTTGGTTCCGCTCCTGGCGGCGGGGCTGGTCAACATCATCCTGGACATGGGGATAGGGAAAGGGAATCGAGTGGTTGAAGACTCGAAACCCTGCCGGAAGCCCTTGGGTGCTGGTGCACGGACAGCACGATTTCAACTTTGCTGGTCTGGTTCGGATTGGTTGGGATTACAGTGAGGAAGACGGGATGAAGAAGCAGGGAACGAATCCTACTGGCCTGGTGTTGGTATCGCCTACAACCAGATAAAATGCTTGGGCCGTTCATCAGGACTGATATCGAGATTCCAGTCTCGAGTTACATGGTTGGCTATTTGTACAGGACCACAGGACAACGCGCCGGGTATTCCACCACGAGATTTACTGCATATGACGGGAGAGGTCTGATATACAAAAGAATTCATGGAATATTTTTGGGCGGAGAAAACCATTCGTGGAGTGTTCGGACATGGGTGTTCCACCTCGTGTCCCTTTTGCTGAAGTTCCATGCGAGGTCGTGCTTTGTATAATCCAGCGAGGCAGTGATCCGTTCGACGGCTCGGAAGATGGCCGAAAAGGCGACTGGATAAGTATTCCTTCCCCCGTCCACCAACAGGCAGAGCGCTCTGGTCTTCGTGAACCACAGAAGAACCTCACATTTTTCTCCCCTTGGGCAGAGGTGCCGCCACTGCCAAAACTAAACAGACACCACGAGCAGGCAGAGCGCTCCAAATGACAGCGTCTATTTGGGATACTTCTTCCACCCTCGCCCATGGCCCTTCTGTTTCCACTCTCTGATCAACTCCGGCATGCTTTCCATTGCCTTCCTCCTCTTCTCCAACGTCGCCCCCATGTGTCTCTCCCACTTGTGGCCCTTGACTTTCTGTCCCTCGCCCGTGCCTCTAATCCTCAGTCCTCTCTGCAGCAACCGCGACTCCTTGAACGCAGAAGATTTCTTCCCCGGTGGAAGCAGCTCTTCTATGCCGAACTCCCTTGCGAGTTTCACGAGGTCCGCTTGCCGGCGCAGACCGATCTTTGGGCCTGCCCAGCGGCCGGTTACGAAGTTTTTCCGCGGGAGGAAGGGGTTGAGCGGGAATTTCTGCAGGTTGGTGCTAACCGTTTGTATCGGCGTAGGTATAGGGGGAATTTCTGTCTCGGCTGCCACTGCTGGCGAAGCCTCTGACTCTGAAGAGGATGCTGTGGTTGATACTGATATGGGCTGTGCAAGAATGCTCGCGACGGGGCGCGACGAGCGGGTGGAAGAAGCAGACACCTGGGTTTGTAGTTCGGCGGCTCGGGCGACGGCCGCATCTTTCGCTTCTCTCCGCGTCAAGGGTATTGTGATGCCTGTGAATTTGGCAGAGTAGAGCTGAGGAGGGTACCGGGCGAAGAAGTTCTTCAACCGGAGCGGCAGAGCATTGAGCTCCGCCATGGCAGAGATGTGGGAGGTCAGTGTCAGAAGTCGTGATGGGGAAAGAATGTGACAAGAAGCCTTTGTTTGTCGTCTCCGGTGGCAGGTAGTAGCGTTGTATTGTTTGAATTCGCTCGGTTGTCTCTTGGTGGTAATAGGGATATTATAATTAATGGGCAACTTGAAGCAATTCCCGCATTGGAAAAAGCTGCCAGAGCGCGCGGCGGGTTTCATTCGGGGTACGAGGCGAGGAGGGTACCGAGTATTGCTCCGCAGGCTTGGCACTACAAGCAAACGAAAAGCTGCTCGCAGCTCATCCATTATCGGTTTGTTAGGTTGCTGTTGTCGTCGATTCATGATACTGGTAGGCTAGAATACATTGATAGAAGGTCTAGAAACCTGGCACCCTGTGCATCTTGTCGTATGGCACTCATTGTCTTCAAGTAGAGTCTGACACTTTTAACGACGACGAGGCCGCCATAAAGAAACAGCTCATATTTGGAGACAAGTATAGGGATTCCGCCATGCTCAACAGTACCTTGGGTAGATAGAAAACCCCTTATAAGTGATACTATCCATAACTAATGGCTAATCACTTCTATTAATATTTTACTACCCTATCGTATGCCCATCTCGTCAGACCTGTGCCACTTATTTCTGAAGTCCGTCCGAGCGACAGTGTGCAAGGGTTGAGAGAGTAGAGCAAGGTCCGCTGCGGTCCGTCGATTGATGCAATACCAAGGAGAAGAGGCGAGCAATTGCAAGGCATATATGTACCTACCTAAGGTACCTAGGTAGGTATCTTGCACATGTCTCGTAAGTGGGAACCCGCGTGGGAGCCGCGAGCGGTCACCTGCATGGGTTTGCATGGTACCTATTGTAAACGAAACCTTGGCGGACGGGAAGTTCTTCAAAGTTCGGCTGCTTCAGCCTCCTGCCTTTTTTTCCTACTCACACATGATTCTTCAGCCCTCTTAGTCCGTACCTCTATCACATGCAGCGGGATACTGTCTGTTGTATCCTCGTCGCTGAAAAATATTCCTGGAATAAATCCTGACCCGCTCATCGTTGCCTACATCGAACGGAACGTCTCTCTTGTGCCCGACCTGGCCCAGTCCAAATGGACGCTTACGGTGGAAATGATGAAGAGAGTGCTGAGTTGCGAAAGCTCTTGGCCGAGGTGGTATGTGATTCTTAGGAGACGGCGACATGCTCTTCGACTAACTTCTGGCGCTCGCAGAACGATGACTCGGACAACTTCGAGATCTGGGAGAAGCTCGTTCGCGCCGCCGAGGCACTCGAAGGCGGAATCAACAGGAACTCGAGTTCGCAGGCAATCACGGCCGTCCGGAACGTCTATGACCGCTTCCTCCTCAAGTTCCCTCTTTTCTTTGGCTACTGGAAAAAGTATGCCGACCTGGAGTTCTCGATAGCGGGAACCGAGGCCGCCGACATGGTGAGGAAGGACACTGCAAATAAGAGAGGCTCCCATGCTAAGAGTCGGACAGGTCTACGAACGCGGGATTGCCAGTATCACCAACTCGGTAGATCTGTGGACAAACTACTGCTCATTCAAGACCGAGACAAGCCACGATTCCGATGGCATTCGAGAGTAAGTATGAAATATGTGTTCCCTCTTGTCGAAAACCTAAACATAGCACGACGCAACTTCATTAGCAGAAGGAGCTGGCGATGAACTCGATGATGATGGCCACCGCGCAGCTTTGGTGAGCTCATCATCGCTATCCCTCCCCTTCCGAGCTTGTTTCTCACTCATCACCAGTCAGGTGCTTTGATTTGATTTGCCCGAGAATGGGGCCTTTGCCCGTCCACCCTTTCTGCAGGACCATTTCAACTTGTCGCAAAAGCAATTGAAGGACTATTATCACGTGTACATTCCCCATCCTCCCATATCTGCTTTCTCCCTCCTCTTCCCCGGATCCCTGGCAAAGGTATCTCGCAATAATGCTGACCAACTGATGAATCAGGCTCTTTGAGAGAGGAGCAGTGTGTGTTGGCCTCGACTTCCTCGCCCATCCCTTCTGGGATAAGTACATTGAGTTCGAAGAGCGCATGGAAGGATTTGACCGAATCTTCGCCATCCTCGGCAGAATCATCCACATACCTATGCATCAATATGCGAGATACTTCGAGAAGTACCGGCAGATGGCACAGACACGCCCGCTCTCTGCCATTGCGCCGCCCGGTACCCTCACTCAGCTGCAGATGGATATCGAGAACGAGGGTGCCGGTTATAAAGCCGGCCGAAGCCAAACAGAAGTGGAGCGAGAGTTACGTGCCCGGATTGACAATTATCACCTCGAGATTTTCAGGCGGACACAGACCGAGACTACGAAACGATGGACCTATGAATCCGAAATCAAGCGGCCATATTTCCACGTGACAGACCTTGACGAGGCTCAATTGGCAAACTGGCGCAAGTATCTCGACTTTGAAGAGTCAGAAGGTGACTACACCCGCACTCAGTTCTTGTATGAACGCTGCTTGGTCACCTGTGCCCAGCATGATGAATTCTGGTTAAGATACGCCCGGTGGATGCTCGCCCAGCAGGGCAAGGAAGAGGAAGTTCGAAACATCTATCAAAGAGCATCCTGCTTCTATGTCCCAATCGCGCTACCAACAACCAGACTTCAGTACGCATATTTCGAAGAAATGACGGGTCGGGTTGATGTGGCAAAGGACATACACGATGCCATCCTCATCCAGCTCCCTGGCCACGTCGAGACAATTGTCTCCTTGGCGAATATAAATCGACGTCATTCGGGCTTGGAGGCAGCTGTTGCCGTGTACCAAAGTCATCTCGAGTCTTCAACCATTGACTCTGCGTCCAAAGCTGCTCTCGTGGCAGAGTGGGCGAAACTCCTCTGGAAGGTCAAGGGCTCACCGGAAGAGGCTCGCCAGATCTTTCAGCAGAATCAACATTGGTACCTCGAGAGCCCGGCGTTCTGGACCAGCTACCTGCGTTTTGAGATTGATCAACCCACGAGCAGCGAGACGGAAGAACAGCACTACGAGCAGATCCGGCGGGTCGTGGACGAAATCCTTAGCAAGAGCGTACTCCCCGAGCCCACCGTTCAGGAGCTCATCACCACGTACATGAAGTACCTGCTTGAGAGGGGCACCAAAGATGCAGCCAAAGAATACATGAATCTCGATCGTGAGATCAACGGGCCGATCTCGGTCCAGAAGCTACCCAAGGCGAACCCCGAAGCGAATAAGGGACTTGGAGTAGTTAATGGACAGGTACGTTGTCCTTCGCTGCTTGGCACTGACGCCGAGACTTACTGACCACGTCGACAGCCTCTCCCGATCCGATATCCTTGATCGTTCCATGGCGTATATGCCAAACAACGACAAATATTGGCTACGAAGAAACGGCTCACGGAATCCCTCATTACATGGTCACCGGAGGCGGGGTAAAAGGGAAAGTATGCAGCATGACCGTTCCTTGTTTCTATTATTTTGCTCGGTGGAGGATTACTGCATTGGAACGGCTAAAACGATGATATCCCCTTGATTGTGAGGAGAGACCTTCCCTGTACACAGATTCAATGTTGATATTTCACTGAATGCAGCCCGGTCATCCTCTCCCTGTTGACTTGGATGTCCCTCTTTATCATGCTCATTCTGGACCGGCGCAGTCACGAAGTTCAAACGAGGACGCTTACTGCTGCTGTGAACACACGTGCCTTGCCGCGTGTCTTTGTGTCGGTGTCAGACCTACATCTCGTCGCCACTTTGTCATGCTGAGGCAAAGAGTGAAGCATTCCGAGTTCACCTGCCATCTAATTTACTGGAAGATCAGGTCTAACCTGAGCGCCAGTCTGGTGATATTACTGTCTTCCAGTCTTATTTTCCACGGCGTCGCTAGTCACGCTCTCTGGGATTTTGTTGGAGAAACTTTCACTCAGCATAAGGCTTCCACAAATTTCCATACCGACCAATCCTTATATAGCGCACACATCCGAACATCCTCCCCTTCAAACTTAACTTTCGGCCTCGTAAATTTCATTGCTTCATCACGGCCCCTGCTCAGTGTGCTCTGAAAGTAATCCTTGGCTGGTGGGAGGTCGAACCCACCAGCATTTTGTTTGAAGAATGATGAACCCCGCTCTTAAATAGACGCCCGGTGCCAGCCGATATTTCTGACTTCAAACATGGCCGGCACCCACAAACGGCCAGCACGGGGATGAGGCAGAGGGAGTCACAATTTCGAACAAATACGGCGCTGGCAGATTTGAAAGGAGCAATTTATTAGGGAAGCCTATCAGCACCAGAGCTCTGCCGATGACTAGCTGACTGATCGTCTCGAACCCTTGGAAGTCCATCATGATCTATGATGAAGGACGGACGCCGCCAATGTGCCTCGAGGAGAGAAATGGAAGTACAGGATCGATCCATTGACACAATGTCAAGGTAAGGACAAGCAAAGAAAAAGCACACAGGTAGCCAACAAGGAGCAACCTCTGTCGAGAATCGAACGGGGTGCTTCAAGGAAGAATGGAGTCAAAGGTACAGCGAGAGGCGTTGGTTTTGTGGCAGCGTAACAAACAGGGTAAGATGGAGGGAGTGATAGCCTTTTGGCAGGTATAGTCAGTCCTATGCAATGTTCATTCGGGCAGGGGCTGACAAGTTTAGGGTGAACAGCATATAGAGGAAGGTGCCGTGTGCTATATGCTTCGCAGGTACACATACCGTAGCCCAGCTTTGGACCAGCGTCTCAGGTTCGTGATTCCTCTATTGAATCTAGGGCAAGTAAAAGGACAAAACCACCGGGACAGTGTGTGCGGTTCTTCCCAGCGCGACCGCAGTGTCGAGACATGACGGTCTACCCTCCGGCTTTGACTACCTGCCCTCTACACAAGCATATACTACGCTAAAATGGGACATTCGTGTAATCGAGTCGGTGGCGCTGGCCCATCGTGGTTGGTTTAATACCATGAAGTCCATCGTAAGGCGCGCTCAATAGCTAGCCTGGTCGAGTTATCACGATATTTGGGCTAGTATAGGGGTTAAGAGTATGACACTTGATAATATTCAAACGATTGAGATTGCGGGGCCGGGAGAGATATTGTATCGTTAGGGCATAGAAGAGGAGAGTATGTGTCGTTTCTACGAGTACTCTGCTTGATAGCTGTCATTACCTAGGTATACTTCTCCTCCTGGTGCTGCTGCCTCTGGCATTGCAATAGCCCTAGTCTGGACGTGGGTGGGTGGCGTTGTTGAACAGAGGACGACGTATGCAATAATGACACGCTAAACAACCTCTTGACGCGACTTGAGTGGCTTTCGGCACTGACCTCACAATATAGCATGCAATCACTGACCAAATTTTTTTCTGTTTCGCCTCGAAGGGTTCTAATGGCTCCGACGTCATGATGTGATGATTCATGGCATGTGCTAGCAAATGCGCTCATACTGCGAGTTCCTGAATATAAGAAGATTTGCAGATCACATATAGACCGCGCCCTCATCTATCGCCATTCCAAAAGGCCAGCACCAGTGACTCCAAGCGCAGTCGTAGAATCCCGTCCAATTCAAGACAATCTCCCATCAACTGCCATATTTAGAATAGGCCTAGCCATGCCATTCCCGTACAAGAAAGTGGTAGTCATCGGAGCAACGAGCGGTACGAAGATTTTTCCCATCCCTCATCACGATAGCACTCCGCTGACGGAACAGGCATTGGCGAGGCGCTGGCCAAGAGACTACTCGACGATGGCTCCTTTGTGATTGCTGTCGGCCGTCGCAAGGAGAATCTCGCGGCCCTCGTCGAGCAGTATGGCCACGACAAGGCCCAGGCCGTGCCATTCGACATCACGAAACTAGAGTCCATTCCACATTTCGCAACAAATATCATGAACACTCATCCCGACGTTGACTGCATCATGCTGAACTCGGGGATTCAGAGGAAGTCGGACTTTAGTGACCCTGACTCGATCGATGTTGATGTCCTCAATCTCGAATTCACCACCAATTACCTGGCCCAGCTGGCACTGACCAAGGCTTTCTTACCGTTCTTGCAGAAAAAGGACAAGGAGAGCGCCTTGATATATGTCTCGTCAGTACTCGCTCTTGTGCCGATAGTTAGATGTGCAAACTATTGTGCCTCCAAGGCAGCCCTGCATCAATTCATCCTCTGCCTACGCCAGCAGCTGAAGGGCTCAAATGTCAAGGTGGCCGAGGTGTTCCCTCCTGCAGTGCAGACCGAGCTTCATGACGAAAAGCATCAACCCGATATCAAGAACGGCAGATCGATTGGAATGCCTCTTGACGAGTTCACGGACAAGGTGTGTTTCCACTTCTGGCGAAAGTTAATCGATCCCAAATCTGATTGAAATGTTGCAGGCATACACTGGATTGGCCAGTGGACAAGAGCAAGTTCCCGTCGGCCAGGGAGAGCAAGTCTTCAACGCCTTTGAGCTCAAACGACAGGAGGTTTTTGCACAAATGGTGAAAAATATGGGTAGTAAATGATAGCCAGGGCAACGGTCAATTGACGTACCTTTCGGGACGGGCCATGTGGATAAACCTAGGGCAGTAGGGACTTTTGAAGGCTGGTCATAACAATAATAGCATACGCATTGGACTCCTTTGTAGCAGGGCGCAAGAACGAGTGAAATAGGCAAGTGACACTCAACCCCTATTCCGCTTGTTCGTATCACATAACCTGCAACAAGCTCTTTGGGTGAAAGCTGGAACGATTACTCCAGAAGGGAAGCAGCCGATCCAGATGCCACGGCGGGGCCAGATTGTCTCAGCACGCAACCGTCATCTCACTCGACACTAGGAGAGGCTGACGAACCTCCATATTTTTGGACCTCAGCCGCTGGTGGAGAATGAGGAGCAACCTCGCATACGCTCGCCTGCGAGGTTAACCTGTTTTGTCCATATCAGCTCGGAGAATAGGGTTAGACTCATGCACATTTTGGGCACTTATACGCAGCAGGAGAGTTCCCGTTACTCGTAGTCACAGACAGACTGGCCAGATGGCAAAAGATGAGACGAAGACTTACCGAAGGCTGATCGCTGTCTTTCCTAGGTTGCGAAATCCGCGTATTATGGACGAAGAAATGCCAAACAACGGGCCGCACCAGGTGGCACAAGCAAGGGGGATTGAGGCTATAGTGAAAACTGTTTCACCACCAAAGGACCCAATTTGTATGTACTCTGTGGGTAGAGAGCTATAGCGGAGCTTGATGCGGCTTTGTTGAAAGCTTGGAGTCGGAGATGAGGGCTTGAAGCTGCCTGCACTGCCTCCCACTCTTACCTCTAGCTACCTCGCTACCTGTCTCCGTGACCCCGCTTAAGCGCTGCCCTGGTGCTGGCGATGCTTGTTGCTTGTTGCTTGGAGCAATTGTCCCTGCCAAGGGGGTGTCTCGGAATGCTCTAGGCGGTTGCCGGGTTGCCAATAGGCGGTGGGCACTCACTGAGCACCGAGCACAGAGCACAAGCTAGCGAGCACGCCCAGCCGCCACCACTGGCCACTGAGCCCCGGGTGCCACTCGCGAATTGTAAGCCCGATACTGAGCAGTGCGCATCACCAAGTGGAGGCCAAAATGGCTTCTCGCCAGCTGGAAAAATGGGGGCCAGGAAAAGGACCCTGCGTGTTGCGTCTTGGACCTGGACCACATGCGGCTGGCGAAGCAGCTGAGTTGAGTTTAGCAGGCACCCTAGTCGCCCTGGTCGCCCTGGTGTTGCGCCTCTGATGCGCGTCCTGTGCCCGACAACTTGCATGCACACGCTTTTGTGCAGTCGAGGTTTGAATTTCAGCCCTGACCTGGGATACCGCTGGTTGTCAGCACCAAAGGAACTTTGGTTCATTTGTTTCTCTCACGGTGCTACAACTATCTTGCTGATTCCTCTCAGCTGATCCCTTTCTCTCTCTCACTCACTCCTCCTATCTTGCTCTCCAAATTACAACCCAGCACCTGCCCATCGTTCCTCAGTTGCTTGCAATCCCTCCTTGACCGCCCCTCCTTTATTGTCCGCAAGAAGCGTATCCTTTCCTTTGTCCGTCGACAGGACCAACTCCTCATAACAAGGCTGGCAGTGCTTTGTGACATTCTCTTCTGTTCTCACTCCGACTGAAATCAATCTCTTCAGCTGTAAGCTGCAACAGTCTTCAAGATGTGGTTTGTATACAACCCCCCCCCGGGCATTGGGGCAAACTCGAGCAGGTGCTGACTGGGCATAAGTGGCATCTTTGGCTACATCAACTATCTGGTTGAGAAGGACCGCAAGTTCATTCTTGATACCTTGCTCAATGGTACGTCGTGCCTCGTATACCGCAAGCAATCACTGATCTAACATGGAATGGTTTAGGTCTGGCCCGTCTCGAATACCGTGGCTACGACTCGGCCGGTCTCGCAGTCGATGGCGACAAGAAAAATGAGGTGTTTGCCTTCAAAGAGGTGGGAAAGGTGGCTAAGCTCCGAGAGCTGGTTGACAAGTCTGGCGTCGATATGACCAAAGTCTTTGACTCTCACTGCGGTATTGCCCACACCCGATGGGCTACCCACGGCCAACCCTCCAGACTCAATTGCCATCCTCACAGGTCAGTACAGAAACATTCCACACGAGAGCGAGCCATCTCTGACCAGGCACAGATCTGACCCCAAGTGGGAGTTTGCCGTTGTCCACAACGGTATCATCACAAACTACAAGGAGTTGAAGGCCTTGCTCGAGGGCAAGGGCTTCAAGTTCGAGACAGATACCGACACCGAGTGCATTGCGAAGCTTGCCAAATACCTCTATGACCAGCACCCGGACATTGATTTCACCACCCTCGGAAAGGCCATCATCAAAGAGCTCCAGGGAGCCTTTGGTCTCCTCATGAAATCCGTCCACTACCCCCACGAATGCATTGCGGCTCGAAAGGGCTCACCCTTGGTGGTGGGTGTCAAGACGGCGAAGAAGATGAAGGTGGACTTTGTGGACGTCGAGTACCATGAAGATGGTGGTGCTTTGTCCGCTGAGATTGCAAACCACAATGTTGCAGTCAAGAAGTCTACGGCTGGTCTCTTGTCCCCCAATGGCCTGCTGGCTCCCCCTGACAAGTCTCTGCTTCACCGATCGCAATCACGAGCATTCTTGTCGGACGATGGTATGCCGCAACCCGCTGAGTTCTTTCTCTCGTCCGATGCCTCGGCCCTGGTCGAGCACACCAAGAAAGTTCTGTATCTTGAAGACGACGATATTGCACACATCCACGATGGCCAGCTGAACATTCACAGACTGACCAAGGATGACGGGACTAGCAATGTCCGTGCTATTCAGACCATCGAGCTTGAGCTTCAGGAGATCATGAAGGGCAAATTTGACCACTTTATGCAGAAGGAAATCTTCGAGCAGCCCGAGTCAGTCGTCAACACCATGCGTGGTCGTCTCGATGTTGCCAACAAGACTGTCACCTTGGGAGGTCTGAGACAGTACATAAGCACTATCCGAAGATGCAGAAGACTCATCTTCATCGCTTGCGGCACTAGCTACCATTCCTGTATGGCTGTCCGAGGTGCCTTTGAGGAGCTCACGGAGATCCCAATTGCGGTTGAGTTGGCTTCGGACTTCCTCGACAGACAAGCCCCTGTCTTCCGAGACGACACCTGCGTTTTTGTGTCACAGTCCGGTGAGACTGCAGATTCATTGATGGCTCTTCGATACTGCTTGGAGCGTGGTGCTCTCACTGTGGGTATTGTAAACGTGGTCGGCTCGTCAATCTCCATGCTCACCCATTGTGGTGTCCACATTAACGCCGGACCTGAGATCGGTGTCGCCTCGACCAAGGCATACACTTCTCAGTTTGTGGCCATGATCATGTTTGCGTTGTCCCTCAGCGAGGACCGCGCTTCCAAGGCACAGCGCCGCCATGAAATTATTGATGGCCTGGCCAAGGTCAGCGACCAGTTCCGGGAAATCCTGAAACTCAACGACTCGATCAAGGAGATGTGCGCCAAGTTCCTACAGAACCAGAAGTCTCTGTTGCTGCTCGGCCGAGGCAGCCAATATTCAACAGCTTTGGAAGGTGCCCTGAAAATCAAGGAAATTTCGTATCTTCACTGCGAAGCAGTCATGTCCGGAGAACTCAAACATGGTGTTTTGGCCCTCGTCGATGAGAACCTGCCCATCATCATGATCCTGACCAGAGACGACATCTTCCCCAAGTCGTTGAACGCATATCAGCAAGGTAAGGACTACCCGGTCTCACCCCCGGTCATGGCTAACAATGTGACAGTGATTGCTCGTGGTGGACGACCTATTGTCATCTGCAACAAGGACGACCCAGAGTTTCCTCCTTCCAAGACGGAGCGCATTGAGGTGCCAAAGACGGTCGACTGCCTGCAAGGCTTGTTGAACGTCATTCCACTGCAACTGATTGCCTACTGGCTTGCGGTTGCTGAGGGATTGAACGTGGATTTCCCACGTAACCTGGCCAAGTCTGTCACTGTTGAGTAAGCCTCTTTGCGGAAAGGGACTCTACCATCTGCGTGTTATGCCTATTTGCTCTATGAGGTTATCTCAGGAAATGATCTGGGAACGTATGTGAAAGGAAGAAAGGTTGCTTGTAGGAAGTAAATGAGATACTGGTAGAGTACTCCATGGAGTTATAAGAATAAGACTTTTCTTTGCTCACTCGCCTGTTCTCCTCTTCCATTAAGGCACTCTGCATGTGGTACATAGGTAGGTAGCCGCATATCAAAGTGTAGAAGGCATCGAGGGTTGTCCTGGTAAGGCTGAGTTGGAGAAACGCGGAGAACATGCTTGACGACCTCGACGTCTGTGTTTTGACAACCACGCAACTTACGGATCTCAATCTGTGCTTCCAAGTCTTTTGAATACCTCTCCGAACTTCCACATGGAATGCAATGTCAACAGATGAGTCAGTCACGGCAAAGGCCGTGCTTCAAACCGAAAAGGATACAAAAGCCCCCAGTCGCGCACACGCTTCGTCTCCTTCCACTGCGCGACGATCGTCCTCTATCGCATCTCACAATGTTTTCCTATCCTTAGTCGGTTTGCGGTTGGTCAATGCCTTGACGACAAGGACATTCTTCCAGCCAGATGAATATTTCCAGGCTTTGGAGCCAGCATGGCATTGGGCATTCGGGGAAGGAGGAGGAGCGTGGATAACATGGGTGCGATAAACAGAAACGCGGCACACGAAGCAGTGAAGGAATGCTCATGACGGACAACAGGAGTGGAAGAACCATTTGCGATCCGCGATACACCCTGCAGTCTTCGGACTATGTTACCAACTGGCCGACTTCGTTGCTGAGCACCTGACGTTGCAAGGCCCTGTCCGCTCTGAGGTCCTTCTTGCTGCTCCAAAGACCTTGCAGGCCTTCTTCGCTGCAACGGCGGATTTCTATACCTGGAGACTGTCATCCTACATCTACGGAGAAGACTCAACAGCATCTCTAGCGACGCTTTTCCTGACAGTTGCGAGTCCGTGGCAGTGGTTTTGTTCGACGCGGACATTCTCGAACTCGTTGGAAACGACCCTCACGGTCATCGCGCTGTGCAACTGGCCCTGGAATTGGACGCTCCCACATGGTAGAAACCGCGACGCAGGTAACGGCCATCATGACAACCAAAGATCCCGCACTCGGGACGACCCTGTAGTCGAAAAGGTCCCAGCAGACGAGGTCACCCGGTTGAGGAGGGCGCTGCTCTGCGCTGCGGTGGCGACAATCCTCCGGCCCACGAATATTCTGATCTGGATGATCCTCACATTTCTCACTGTCGTTCGGAAATGGAACCTGACAGGCCTTAGCTGGACCGAGTGCATTCTGTTCCTCCGCGAAACTGTCCTCTGTGGAAGCGTCATCTTAGCCTCTTCAGCAATACTCGACCGAATATTCTACAGTGCCTGGGTCTTCCCACCCTTCAACTTCCTCCAGGTCAATGTTGTCCAGTCATTGGCATCATTCTACGGCAATAACGATTGGCACTATTATGTCTCCCAGGGGTATCCTCTGCTCCTCACGACAGTGCTACCGTTTACGTTAATCGGATTATTTCGAGCCTTGAGCTCAAAAGATGCATATTTTGCGCAGACACCTCCGGCAAGCCGCAATGCCCTTCATTCTCTATCCATCATATGTCTCCTTGTCCCCGCGGCTTTTTCGGTCATCGCCCATAAGGAGGTGCGGTTCATCTATCCCTTGTTACCAGCTTTGCATACTGTAACCGCCTTACCCTTAGCGTCCTTCTTCCACGCGTTGACAACTCCGTCTCCGTCGTTGCGCGTGGGGAAACGACTTGTACTCCTCCTTATTCTGTCCTTGAATCTCACAATATCATACTACATCACCCAAGTCCACAATTCCGGCATTGTTGACCTGACGCATTATCTCCGCCACGAGTTCGAAACAGTCTATCTCACCTCTCCCACGCCCTCGAACATGACAATTGGCATGCTCATGCCCTGCCACTCCACGCCCTGGCGCTCTCATTTACAATACCCCCCGTCTCTTACGCACGTAGGAATCCGAGCTTGGGCATTGACATGTGAGCCGCCACTCAACCTCAATGCGACCGAGAAATCAAGCTATCTGGACGAAGCAGACCAGTTCTACGCCAACCCATCGTTGTGGGTTAAGAAACACATGTCACGCCATCCTCCACAGCGCAAGGGAGGCAACATTCGACCGAGTGGCTCGGTAGCAGGAATCCTTGCAGCTCCAAATTTACATGGCAAGATCGACACCATTCCCACCGATATCCTCGAAAGCGAGAGGGCGGAGCAATTCTGGCTCACCGGCGGCAACAAAGGTCGCCAGCCATGGCCCGATTACCTCGTCTTCTTCACACAGCTGGAACCCACTTTACAAGTGATCCTCAGGGGAAGCGGGTATGGCGAGTGTAAGCGGCTGTTCAATTCTCACTGGCACGACGATTGGAGGAGGCACGGCGACGTGGTTGTATGGTGTCTCGATCCTGCCAGACAGCAGGAACTGAAGACCGCACCAGCAGGGCGAGACGCGAGGTCTCGAATTGGGATGGAGGAAGTTGAAGACGCGATCCACGACCCCTCCGCTTTAGAAGACATTGCTCCGGGGCAGAAGATTCTGGGCGGCGACGGTGCCGCGACGAAGAAGGGCAAGAAGGCGAGGGAGAACCGGGAGGCCGACGATAGGAAAAAGAAGCCATTCAAAAGAGTGGTCGAGAAACCCTTCTGGAAAGTCAGAGATCCAGGGGACTGATTCACCACCAGCCACCAGTCCCTTGTCCTGATCCTGGACCTGAACCTGAGTTTGAACCAACCATATCTGAATCTGAAGCCAGAATTCCTACCCCGAGCCATGCATACCAATTTCCCCCAATAAAGAGACTGCCTGAAAGGAATTCACAAAGTCATATCTTCTGACAAATATATGTATACCTCACGTATACATACACACCCTTTTCGGCGTCGAAAAAAAAAAGGCAGAGAAAGACCCGCAAGACTTGAAAAATAAGGAACCATTGAGGACCGAGGACACCTAGCGTAGATGGGACTGTAGATGTGCAGATACTATGTACCCATGGAGGTACATATCTAAGTAGGTACTGTGTGTACTGGGCCATTCATTATATTATTCCCCGCGTCCACGCGACGTGGCTGTACGCCCTCTTCGTCTCTCTTTCTTTCTTTCTTTCTTCTCAAGGGAACTAAAGAACGCCAGCTAGCCAGGCTTCACGCCGTCAGATCAAGAATTATCTACTGTAGGTACATGAGATGTAAAAACCATGTGATATTACTTTCCCGCTACCCTCTCACCCTACACACTCGACTCGACTTTTTGCCCATTCGTCTCGTCCGTCCGCCATCGTGACCATTGTCTCATCTCATATATCTCGCGCTCAAATTCGCAAACGCGTCGGGACTATGCCTTCCCGCTTCCAAATTGTTGATACTCACGCTCTCTGCGCTGGCATGCCTTGCTGCGATGCCATGCTGTGGCCTTTGTACTCCCACGCCCCCCATACCGTTGGGCATGTTCATCGCTTGTCCAAACGGCTGCTGTGGTGCCGCAAAATTCTGTCCATAACTCTGGTTCTGAGCAGCCTGCCCTGGAGGAGGGGATCCAAATGGACTGGCGCCGCCACCAGTAAAAGGATTCACAGCTCCATTGGCATTGACGTTATTCATGTTAGCACTGGAGACATTGGTCATGAATGGGTTTCGATTCCCACTCCCACCAGCAGAATGCATATTCGACAGCGACACAGGCATAGTAGCACTACGTTTCGCCGGCGAGATATGACTGTTGCCAAATATATCACCCGCTGAAGCATATGAGACTTGTTGTTGAGGCGTTTGTTGCAGGTGTTGCTGTTGCTGCTGGTGCTGCTGTTCGGATACAGGTTCTGGAATTGAAGCGAGCGGCTGAGGAGCGAGCTGTGGATAGTTGTAGAGGGCCAAAATGGAACCTTTGTCATAGCGGCCTGTTTGTTGGGGCATCAAAGTCTGTTGAGTCTGCTGAGAGAATTGTGGCTGAGAGTATAACTGCTGTTGCTGGAATTGAGGCATTGGCATTGGCGCCGATTGCGTTTGTGTGTGCGGTTGGGGTTGTGTCTGAGGTTGGGTGTATTGGAAATTCGCATAAGGAGATTGACTTTGAGATACTTGAGGACTCGACATTTGAGACTGTTGCTGCTGCTGTATGCCTTGCTGTTGGAAAGGGTTGTTCGGCTGCGGCTGACTCTGAGGAGCAGTACCGAAGAGGTCTTGAGGTTGCTGCAACTGGGCATACTGTGTCGTTTGAGGGGGCGAAGACTGGGAGGGTGGTATCCCAAAGGGATTGAGATTCGCTGGGAGCGAGCTCTGCCGTAATTGTCCTTGCGCTGATTGTCCAGGCGACTGCGAATTGAAGAAGGGATTCGATGAAGGAGATGGAGGCACCTGGGAAAGGAACGGGTTGTTCCCTGTGGACTGAGCTGACACGGAGGGAGGCTGGAAGAACGGATTGCTGACGACCGGAACCGCTGCTGGTGACGCCACATAGCCTTGTTGGAATTGCGTCGATGTGACTGGGGGCGTCATTGAATACTGAAAGCGGGAATCCTGTAAAGGAGCGGGTTGGCTCGGATATCCCCCAGTACTGTGAGGGAACAAGGGTTGAGAAACTTGCATGGATTGAAAGGACTGTTCCAATCCAGTCTCGGGCGGGCTGCGATTAGGCTGAGCATAAGGATTGTTGCTGCCATAAGTCGTAGCGCTGGTTGGAGTCGAGGGCTCCTGGGACTTTGCCAGCGAAAGGCCAACAGTCTGTTGGTTAGTTATGGAAGTAAATGGGTTGTACGACTGCTCTTGAGGCCTGGAGGTAGGCTCTTCACTCGCAGCAGGCGTCGATCCCTGTCTTCTGGAGGAAACAGTATTGCCATTTTCTTTCGCCCCAAGTTGAACTAGAGCCTCAATGGTCCTTTCCACATTCCCATTCAAGCGGCGCAGCAGGCTCGTGTTGCGGTCGGTGTCGGTAAAACCCATGTCTCGCAATGTAGCCAACTTCTTTTGCAATTCCGCATCTGTCATCTCAAAGCGTGCATCGTCCATCCTTGAATCGTAGTCTCCAGTGGGAATGCGGAACGAGCTGTCGACTCGGGGCTCTTTCTGATGCTTTTTCTTGTCATGCCTCGACAGAGAATAGGCGGAAGACGAGGCACGAAGACCGAAACCAAAGAATTTGCCTTTCTTGGGAGGTAGAGGAGGTGGAGAAGAATCCAGATCTCCTCCTTGAGGTCTGGAATAACTGGAAGGTAAGTCGTCGTCGCGCTGAGGAGGTTGGGGCCTGCCATCTGAGAGACTCTTTTCCTGGTATTTCTTGCGTATGAATCTTTCCATGGCCGAGTCGACTTCGTCCACATCGAGAGGCATGTCAGGCTTCTTGTTCTTGGGGTTGTAGATCTTGTTGACGGCGTTGTTGCCGTTGCGCCTCATGTTCTGCGTGATGTGTCAGTGAACCTGCTCTGAGGAGGAATGGAAATTCTGCCCACCTCAACCTGCTCTGTCGACCAAGTGTCCATGCTCAGGGACTTGACCTTGGATATATGAGTGCCCAATTTGCGATGCAGGGAGGCGCATCGCATGCAGAGGAAGACTCCCAGATTCCAGCTCGCCCACGCCGGGTTCTTCGCACCACAATCGGCGCATTGGGAATTCCCGGGCACGGAGAGCAGCTCGTGAAGCTCCCGCTCATTCCGCGCCTGGGTTCTCTTGCTCATCGAGGCCATCTCGGTTGCGCAGCCTGTTTCGATTCGGGCGTCGTGAATACTGAGTCGAGCCGAAGTTCACAACATGCGGAGCGCAGGAAGATCAACGGACAAGTTGCGGTGGCAGCAGGTTCAGAAGCTCGAGTTTTGATCGACCCGAATGATCCAAGACACCTCAACTCATGGCGACGACTTAATGCAGCGTCGATCCTTTGAGTCCTTACAGAATGATTACCAAGGGTTCTTGCGGCACTTCGAGTGGTATGATCTGAGCTATGCTTTGTTCGTCCTTCTGCCCTTGCCGCAATTACATAACTGGCTGCAGTTCTAAGAACCCCTTTCTGGAAAATGGTCCAGCGAATAGATCTCTTGCAGTATCAGATCCCACCTCGTGGCGAACGAGAAAATGGGCACTCGACGACTGGATTATTGCTTGCAAATTAATCTTGTCTGTTTATGTGCAATTCCCATTGAATAAAGGAAGGATGTCGATCAGTATCTACAATCCAATCTATGCAGCCATGAGATCAAACATCCCAAGCAGTCTTCCAACGCCAACATCATGCCTTGTCACTTTCAACTGATGTGTAGTCGTCAAGTCACACTTCGATCCCAGACTCAAGACATCTCTGAATCCCCATCACTGCGTCTAGCAACCGAATAGTCGATTCCGTACCCATACATCTGCTGGAGCATGCCGTACTGGTGTTCCATAGGCTCCTCATCGGACAGATGCCACCATTCTCGGCTATTGTATACCGGATCCTTCGATTGTTGGTAGTTATCCTCTTTCATCATGAGGGGCCCTAGCTCGGTCGAGGCTGTCACTCCGTTTATGCTTGGCCGTGCCTCGTAGCCATGTAGTATATACGGCTCAGCCGTCTGTCTGATCTCACCAGCAGGCAGAGCACATAGATTCTTCAACTTCTCTTGTTCTACCAACTGCAACCGATACTTGGCGGCTTCTTCTTCTCTTTCCATGCTTGTCTGCGGCCAATTTGCCAAATCATCAGGGTGCATCTGACTACCGTACGTTGGAGGGGCGATTTGCCAAAGTTCGATCAGCCTCAACCTTTGTTCAGGCTCTGCGTTCTTGAACAACTGCAACTGCGAGGGGAACAAAGCAGAGGCATTGATGCCGGATCGTTCGAGGATGGTCGAGACAGGAAGATCGTTTGGTGCCTGGTGTGCTGAATGATGATAGTGTTGTGTGATATATGTGATCGGCGTCGACTGTGGGACGACTTGGGGCGTCGGAGGCATTGACAGGTCTGGCGGAGACTGGAGAGGGCCGAGGTGCAGGTTGCGTGCCATCATATTGATCAAATCATCCTGCATCTTGATGTCGCTCTCGAATGCCGATAGTCCGCACTAGGGCAAAGAATCAGAAGGTCATGAACAGGGATTGGATCCGGACAAACCTGTCTGCAATGAGGGTTCTCTTCAAAGGCTGCCAGATTGTTTGAGAGATCTGTCTCGTAGCCACAATACTGGCACCTGTGAAAAGCGGAGGCCATGATCTGATGGCTTTAGATTCGACAACAACACCAGCGGTTAGAGATCCTTGTGTCTGCAAAACGAGAACCAGGCAGGGAAGAGGAAGCAAAAATTCTGGGATTTAGGCTTCAAATTCGTATTGTACTAACTAACACACGTCTGCTATAGAAGCTCCAGAGAGTCCAGCGAGGAGGTCCGGTTTCCGGATCCGGTAGATGAGTTCCAAGCTGGTCGATGGTCCAGAATCCAGAACAAAGAGCGACCTTGGATCCAGATTTCCAGTCCACAGGGATTTTGATGGTCCAGTCCTGAAGAAGCCTGAAGTCAAGAAGCTGTTGATCTGTTTGTGAAGAGATATGAAGTCAAAGGGAAGAGGAGGAAGTCAAGGGGAGCAGAGGAGCGGGGTAATGAGGTTTTGTAATATGTGTTGCGAGTCGGTCGGTTTACAGAAGGCGAGGACTCAGCTCAACATCAAAGCGTGAGGGCCGCCTGCTGAAGGGAGGAATCTGAGAGATGTCTTTGAGATTTTGCTGGCTGGGAAGAAGCTGTAGAGGACAGAGATAGAGAGGAAGCTGAAGTTGAAGAACTTGAAGGTGGGAAGTTGGAAGGACACGAAGGGGCACCACACATGACCAAGTCGGGAGGTGCTGATGACACGTAGCGCTCGCTGCTGCCCAAAACTCACCAAACACGCCAAAATCTCCCGAGGCGCGCCTTGGCAGAGCTAGGCTCCTTTTGGATCCCTGCTCTACATCTGCAATGGCGCGGCTCTGGGGAGCCTGCGTCGCATTCATGAAGTCTGGCCGTGACAGAAGTTCTCATTGTATAATCATCTTCTCGATATTCCCATTCCAAGCACAACCTTGTTGACGTCGCTCTGATTGGAGACTCGGTATTGAGCTCACACCTTTCATAAAGCACCAGGAATCTTCTCAAGCTATCCCGTTGCAATGGTATGGTCCTTATAGTTCCATCAAGCTCTGACGAGATACTAAATGTTCGTTCTCTAGACGTCGATAGGTACAGGCTACGATCTCTCCAACTCCGTCTTCTCCCCAGACGGACGAAATTTCCAGGTCGAGTACGCCGTCAAAGCGGTGGAAAACGGCGGGACGTGTATCGGAATCCGGACAAAGCATGGGGTGGTTCTGGCGTGCGAGAAGATCATTACCTCAAAGCTCCTGAAGCCTGGCTCGAACAAGAGAATATCCACGGTCGACCGTAACGCCGGCATTGTGACCTCCGGATTATTACCAGACGGTCGTCACCTCATCAGCAGAGCAAGAGACGAGGCTAGTAGTTGGAGACAAACATACAAAGCCCCCATTCCCACACATGCTCTGGCTTCAAGAGTAGGGGGTTACGTGCAGGCATACACTTTGTACTCCAGCGTACGACCTTTCGGCGTGACAGCCATTTTGGGAGGTTGGGATTCCGAGGCAGAACATGGTGTGGACGGTCAAGTCGGAGAAGGTCCCCCGTCAGGCGCAGGCGGCAAGTTCGAGGGCGAAGCTGTCAAACGAGGTGGTCCAGGACTTTATATGATCGAGCCTAGTGGGCTCTACTGGGTATGTCAACATGAAATGGCCTCGAAACATGCCGCTGACAAAAGGGTTCTAGGGCTACTATGGTGCTGCAACAGGCAAAGGACGACAAGCTGCCAAAGCTGAGCTGGAAAAGCTTGATCTAGGCTCACCGACCTGCGCCCTTACTCTCAAAGAAGCCGTCATGGAAGCTGCAAGAATCATTTACGTTGCGCATGAAGACTCGAAAGACAAGGAATTTGAACTTGAGATGACCTGGATCTCGAGCCTGGACGGTCCTACAAAAGGTCGACATGAGCAGGTCCCGCAAGAATTACTCGAAGAAGCTGAGAAAGCGGCCAAGAAGAGTCTGGAAGGAGACGACGAAGACGAAGAGGAGGAGGATGCCATGCAGGAATGATTGATTTCGCCTTTCCAGCACTGTAGCATTACCGGCGTTGAAGACAGTCGATGGGGTCTCTAGTTGAAAAAGGATGCGGGAACCAACCATTGGCGGGATATCTAGTTTTGTGGCTTTCTACGTCTCTCGCAGACCAAGTCTTGACACCGGAGAGACTTCCAGGCTTGTGATACTCTAGAAGACCAGCACAAGCACCTAGGTAATGGTGCCTAGATCACGTTCCGCTGATTTTGCCTTCTCCCCAGCCCTTCCTCTTCACTCCAAGCTCGACAGCTGCGTTGCCCCAGTCTTCTCCGTGGTTATGTCCCTTGGCCTCCTTGCCTGTGCCTCCTTCCAGACCAGCTCGAGCCAGACCCTGGCCTTCGTTCAGAACCGTAAGAAGACCAAAGATCACTGGGGCACCAGTGTCCAATTGGACTCTCATCAGGCCGTGACTCACAGCGTCGGCGATATATTCGAAGTGCATGGTCTCGCCTTTGATGAGCACTCCAATGGCTATGATGGCATCAAAGGTATGCCTCAGTCCTTTCACATCTTTCTTCTCTGGCTCTGGCGGACCTGGCTGAAGACTTCCCTGCAGGTCTGTTGTCGAGTTACTTCCTCCCAGAAGGTCTCCAATCCCACTCGCGAGACTGCCCATGCCACCTGCGACTGCGCTCGCTGTGCTCTGTATTTGAGAGGCCGCGTAGACTCGTTGGACTGCAAGGGGAAGCTCGTAGGACCCAGGGACCGATTCCGTGACAATGTTCTCCTCTTTCACTCCTTGAGCCAGCATGGCTTTCTTTGCACCGCCGACCAGGGCTTCGATTATGGTGCTGTTCCACCGGGCGTGGACAATTGCAATTCGCAGGCCGGAGCCATCGTGTTTCTGAGGAGCACCTGGCCCCTTGAGAGTTGCCATTTTCTCTTTTGGATCAGACCTTGAGAGTGCGGTTGTCGTTTCGCCTTGAACCTGAGGTCTAGTGTAAAGTGGGTGTCTGCAGCAGGCGAGTGCCAGTGAGAAGCAGAGGCTTGACTGCAGACAAATCCCGTGCTTAGCCGCAGTTGACCTTACAGGGCACGCAGGGTCAGCCCACCACCGCACTGGCACCCGCCTAGTGAGCCTAGCCCACCTCGCCCACGTACCCCTCGACAACCCCTCGCCTCTCGCCCCTCGCTCACTGTTCCGCCTCTTGTTGCCCTTGCATATCTCATTACGCTCCCAAACAACCAACCATCAAGCCTAACCACTCAAATCACTATCCACCATTGCGGGTCAAGCGTTGGACACGCTTAAGCTGCCCTCCATTCAGGATACACCTGCACTTAGGGGTATAGCAACAAGTGAGTTCCATGTGGAAAATCTCTGCACATGACCTGACGTGGTGGACCTCATAATCAAGGGTACTTAAATCAATTCGCCCCAGCATTCCTGTGGAAGAGACGACGATTACTTGACTTCCTCTGGGCTATATAAAATCGAGTACATTTTCGACCTTTCAGTGCAAGACCAAACTGTCGGCCAATTAGCGCAGCCTCGATTCGGATTATCAGGAACCGAAATAAAGCTCCTCACAGTCTACAATGGCACCATCAGCGACTAACGGTGATGGCGTCAACGGTATCACCAAGGTGAACGGCCAGACGACTGGCACTCAGTTGAAGGCAACCGCCCCGGCATTCCACCCAGCTGGCACACCAGACCGATCAAAGTACCACGCCTCGACTTCCGACGAAGCCATCCACGCCGAGCACGAATATGCCGCCCACAATTACCATCCTCTACCGGTTGTGTTTGCTCGAGCACTGGGAACCACCGTATGGGATCCAGAAGGCCGGCAATATCTGGATTTCCTGTCCGCATATTCTGCCGTGAATCAGGGCCACTGCCACCCCGAGCTGGTCAAGGCGCTTGTTGAACAAGCCTCCACACTCACCCTAAGCTCGAGAGCATTTTACAATGACGTATTTCCCCGGTTCGCAGAGTTTGTCACCAAGTACTTCAATTTTGACATGGTTTTGCCGATGAATACCGGTGCTGAAGCAGTGGAAACAGCCGTCAAGGTTGCCAGGAAATGGGGATACAAATCCAAGGGCATACCACACGACGAGGCAATCGTGCTTAGTGTGGCGGAAAACTTCCATGGACGGACATTTTCTGCCATCTCCATGTCCACAGACCCTGAATCTCGCGACAACTATGGGCCCTACCTACCCGGCGTGGGCAGCATCTCTCCAGCAACCGGTAAGGTTATCCCCTACAACGACATCTCGGCCGTCCGCGCTGCATTCGAATCCCACGGCGACAAGATTGCCGGTTTTCTCGTGGAGCCAGTCCAAGGCGAAGCCGGGATCGTAGTTCCTGACGACAGCTATCTCACTGAGATCCGCGCCCTCTGCGACAAACACAACGTGCTGCTCATCTGCGACGAGATCCAAACAGGTATTGCCCGCACAGGGAAGCTTCTGTGCCACGAATGGTCCGGCATCAAACCAGATCTTGTTCTCCTCGGCAAAGCCATCTCTGGCGGAATGTATCCAGTCTCGTGCGTTCTCGGCCGCAAAGATGTAATGCTCACCATCGAGCCCGGTACACACGGATCCACCTACGGCGGTAACCCGCTAGGGTGTGCAGTTGCCATACGTGCTCTCGAGGTCGTCCGCGACGAGAAGATGACCGAACGAGCAGAGAAACTTGGACAAATTTTCCGCGATGGGCTGAGAGATCTGAATTCGGATTTGATAAAGACAGTCAGGGGTAAGGGATTGCTGAACGCGATTGTTATTGATGAGGCAAAGACGAATGGTCATAGCGCGTGGGATTTGTGTATGTTGATGAAGGAGAAAGGACTATTGGTGAGTTCCCTGCCCGTCGGAGTCCCTTCATGCGCGTAAATCTCCAAGGTCGCGATTCTAACCATACACGACAGGCCAAACCTACGCACCAGAACATCATTCGTCTTGCCCCGCCGCTAGTCATCACAGAAGAGGAAATCAAGCGTGCTTTGGCAATCATTGCAGAGGCAGCCGCAGAACTTCCGAATTTGAAGGGAGAGAAGGAGAAACAGGTCCTTCCAGAAGGAGAGAAGAATGTTCACATTGGCGTGGATAATTAAGCCGGACTATGCCGTTGGAGACGACCCGCCGTCTGGTGGGACTACAGACAGTGTGAGGCTATGATGCATCTAATACTAACGAGTCACTGAGGAACGACATACACTAAAGACATGGGTGTTTCTCGGGGAGTGGTGGCATCAACATTCAACTTTTTCAGTCAGCGAATGTCGTTTCAGACTGTCAAGGCGGTGGGTATTCGGTTGCTATCCTGGAAAACATGTATATTGGTAAGGCACAAATACATATGGGACGCAGGACGCCGGCTTGGCCCTTTTGAAGTGTTCCGTTCGGTGTGGCCAAGAACAACAAAAGGAACTGAGAACCAAAGACGAGGCTTCGAGTCGGTTACGGACCAGAATGCTGGCCTGCATAGACATGAATCAACTCCTCTGCTTCCACTATCATCCATCCTGTTCGCTCATCCCCTCAACCAAGGTTTCCTGCTCTCGTGGCTTCATTGTGTCCGTGGTCTCATCTCATCCGGCGAAAAAATGGCCGACGTACTTCAGATCATGGACAATCGACGGCTTCTCTTGGTGTGCATCGTGGCGATTGCCGGCCATTGGGACTGTGGACGGCTGGAGTTCAGTCTGGTTCCAGCGGGCACCGTCGTCGCTTGGACGCCAGCCGTTGGTTGCCGCTGCCGTCGTCGTCGCGGAGCTTCGCTTGGCGGAGGCGACGTGACTGCCACCGGTGATGGGGCTCAGGTTGTGCCACGGTTGGGCCCGGTGGTCTTCAGCCAGGAATCGCTGCATCGGGGAAACGTCCTCAAGTGTTGGCTCCTTGATCGTGTCGGCACATGCGATGTTCTGGACACTTATCCCTTCTGGGAAGGTGCCACTCCGTGTGGTACTTGGGTTGCTCATGGTACAAGCTAATTGCGAAGGGTACTTGTGAAAGTCAAGCAGAGGACTCGGCAGTGAAGAGCTATAGAGTATCACGTGGTGACAAGTATTCAGTCTCCCGCCTCAGTTGTCTACTCATCCGTTGACCGAGCGGACTCCCCCGTCTTATATCCTGCTGGCTAGGAGTCAAAGTAAGGGCGTTGATCAGCACCGAGGGCTTTTTGGAACTGTGGATGCTGAGGTTTCCTCGGACGAGGAGGCCCAGCAGCAAGGTATACCACAAATTTCTCGACATGGCACTACGACTAAAGCCGGGCCTACTGTAGTGCTGCCAAATCAAATTTCGGGGTTGTAGGCGTTCATCTGCGCCTGGTCATTTTGGCTCCCCTAGAGTCAGCTGTCCAGATATACGACTAAAGTCCCGACAGGGCTGTGCGTCATGCACCACAGAGTCGACGTTGCGATATCCAAAGCGGCCTCATTTCCACCACTTGTTACGAGATGCGGCGGCGGAGGGCCAGGCCATTGAATGCTCTTTGGGCTACATTCGTGGCCCCCTGTGGACCCCAGGTTGTGCCTGATGACTGGCTAGGGTGCAATTGGTTCCCATCGGTCACACAGCATGGGCACCAATAGCCGTAGGGGACGGAAAAGACGCTGGAAAAGTAAGCAGAATCGCAGGGAGAAAAAGCAGTAACCTTGCGCCCGACGCCGTGGCCCGTTGTCTATTCACACTCTGCGCCAGCACACAGCGAGCAAGATCGGCTTCTCCTTCTTACAAGTTTGCCACTGGCCCAGGCCGACTTCTTGTGCTCAAGGCATCATGCAATCCAACATGTGTCTGTTGATTGGCTCAGGCATCCAGCATCTCAACGAGTGTTCGCCTGTCCCCGAGTCGCCTAGGAACAAATAAACCGGGGCATGGAGAAGCGAGTAAAGGAGGATGCAAGAGGGTGCGAGAGGGTGCGAGAGGGTGCGAGAGGGTGC